TTTAGGGGCTCAAATTGGTAATTGAAATAGTTATTGGAAGGAAAGGTTGAGGGATTTCAGAAAAAGAGTTGAATAGAATGATAAGAGTGCTCCAAAACAGGAGAATGCACCCTAGTATTTGATTTGAATGTGGTGAGGATGGAGGTGAAAACATTAGGAAATGGTCTCAGGTGGGTGAACGAGTCCTGTGCTACTATCAGAGAGAGAAGTACTAAGGTGAGACAACAAACAACAATCACAATAACTATCAAAACAGATGGGCATAAGACTAAAGAAGAGAAAAGGAGAAACACATCTGTGTGCTGATTCGTAGGAAACACCAAAAAGAAAACTTGAAACTTTGTGTATAACAATTTTGCATTAGGTATCAAAACTTTTGGAGAGATCGGAAGTGGCCCTTGAAAGCAGCGACTGTGTGCTCTACCTGCACACAGACCTAAGTATAGATATAAATAAATAGATGAGGAAAAATAAAATAATACACATACTTTAGAAAGGGGGGTGTTAAATTCTTCTGGTCACTAGTTTCAAGGAGGTTTCTTGAAAGGGGGTAAGCACTATCTGTCCAAATCCAATAGTTATTCCTAAGAAGTGTTATATGATTTTTGAAAATGTGAGTGTATTGGAATGCAAATGCATCATGTGCACTGTCAGTGTGGCCAATAGAATGATCTGCAATAATGAGTGTTAACAATTTTGAGTGGGCCCAAATAGCTGGTACTTTTTATATATAATTAGGCCTGGATCATGTATTTGCATGACCGGGTGGGCCCACATAGTGATCCGCCATGATGTGCGCCGGCAAGGGGATAACTATGAGACTATTTTTGCCAGAGATCATCACAGCTCACCAGGATTTTAACATGTCATGGCCAAATTTTCATTTTACCAGTTTATACCCCTATGAATGATTTACAGCTGAATGTTGATCAAAGTACTTAATAATAGTTGTCTAGCATGATGTGGACCAGCGCGGGCATAGCTATGAGACTACCCTCACCGGAGATCATCACCACCCACCATGATTCCAACATTTTATGGATAATTTGTCATTTTACCCCTATGAACAATGCCTAAGTAAATATTAATGTCTGTACTTAATCACAGGGTCTGGCATGCTGTGGAATGGCGAGGTGGTAGCTATGAGACCATCCTCACCAGAGGTCATCACATTCCACCAGGAATCCAACATTTCATGGCTGATTTTGAGACTACCCTCGCTGGAGATCATCACCACCTGCTGGGATTCCAACATTTTATGGTTAATTTTTCATTTTACCCCTATGCACAATTCCCAAGCAAATATTGATGTCTGTACTTAATCACAGCAGTCCAGCGTGATGTGGACCAGCGAGGGGATAGCTATGAGAGTATTCTTGCCAGAGGTCATCACAGCTCGCCGGGATTCCAACATTTCATGGCTAATTTGTCATTTTACCAGTTTTACCATTATGAACAATTCCCAAGTAAATATTAATGTCTGTGCTCAATAACAGTGGTCCAGAGTGATGCAGACCAGCAAGAGGATAGCTATGAGACCATCCCTGCCAGAGGTCATCACATTCCGCTGGGATTCTGACATTTCATGGCTGATTTTTCATTTTACTAGTTTTTCCCCCTATTGGTGATTTAGATTTACAGCTGAATATTGATGAATATGTCTCATGATAGTGGTCTGCTGTGATGTGGACCAATGAAGGGATAGCTGTGAGACTACCCTCGCCGGCAATCATCACCTCCCGCCATGATTCCAACATTTCATTGCTGATTGTTCATTTTACCAGTTTTCACCTCTATAAACAGTTACCCTCGCCTCGCCGGAGGTCATTACATTCTGCTGGGATTCTAACATTTCATGGCTGATTTTTCATTTTACCAGTTTTTACCCTTATGAGTGATTTACAGCTGAATGTTGATAAATGTATTTAATCATAGTGGTCCAACACAATGTCATCTGGTGAGAAGATAGCCAGGAGACCATCCACACTGGTGGTCACCACATTCACCTATGAATTCCATATTTCATGACCCTCATGAAGGAGTCCCTAGTCAATATTGAGGTCTGTTCTAGACACCAGGTTTGCTGGCTTGCCCAGAATCCTTACTTTATATATGCATACCTATCACTCATATGGTGTGGTAATTATAACTCTTGCACACATGATCCTTTGCTTCCTTTTTACTGATTATTCAATGTAAAGTACAAGAAATTGAGATATTCTCAGATACAAAGGAATATGTGATAACTAGTGGTGTGTCTGCTGACTCTGCTCTTCGACATAGTCCCTGGCTGGTATAGAACATGTTGAGCCAATATTACTTAGTAGATTCAATCCCATGCACAGTGTCTATCATGCAAGTTCAATGATACTTATTATATACATCAAAGGTTACCTTTGAATCAACCATTTGTATGTGGTCTAAATAGATAAAATGATATATCAGCCATGAAATGGTGGACAACCAGCATAATATGATAACCACTGGTGGGTCCTGGTTTCATAGTGATTCCCACAATACAGCAGTCCAATATGACTCACTGCTTGACTTGATATTCACCTATGGATAAAATAAGACGGTAAAATGGAAAACCAGCCATAGAATGTTAGGATCATGACCTCCGGCAAGGATAATCTCCTGGCTATCCCCTCACTATATTCCATTATGATGAACCACTCAAAGTTGTTAACAAATACTTTGTTGCTGTTCCATAGGCCCACCTATACATACATTAGACTTCAACATAAGCTTTCTCCAAAGTTTCGAAGAATGTGTGCTGTGGGCCCACTCATAACCATTAGATACACACTGTATGCAGGCCCACCCAAAGGCATTGATATATAATGATAAAGTGGGCCCATGTCACATGGGAAAAATGTCAAGGTGGGGTGACCATGTTTACAGAGTTAGGTCACTGAAGGGGCTCATAATAGTCATAAAATCTTGGACCTTGATAAAGTGTAATGGTAAATGTATTGGCCACCTGTTTTGAGAAATGCCAGAAATGTTCAAAACAAGAGGGGTGCATGTGCACATTTTGAGACATGGTGGACATGTGTGAAACAAGGCAGGTGCATTTGCACATTTTGAGGCATGCCAAAAATATAGACAACAAGAGGGGTTGTCATATCCCATATTCCAGACCTACATCTGACAATATTCCTCTGTTTGCTTCTACTCAGGACTTGTTCTGAGTAGCCATTATACATATCTATATCAGGATGAAACCTCATTGTAATTTCCGGAAGTTCCTCCTGAACTTTCCTGCACTCATCTGGAAGTTACTTGCACTTGTCCAGAAAGTCCTTCCAAAGTTTCCCGCGCTCTTCCGGAAGTCCTTCGGACTTTACTTTCTCCAGACATCATTCTGAAATTAAGGGCACATACTCGGGTAAGGGGCGCAGTGCATAGCTGAAGCCAAGCCCCTTTGAATCAGTCCTACTCTTTGTGCACGGTCTTAACAGGGGTCCATTTTGCACATTTTGAGGAATGCCAGATATGTGCAAAATGGACCCCCTCATTTTGCACATTGTGAGGAATGCCAAAAATGTGCAGAACAAAGGGGGTGCATTTGCACATTTCGAGGCATGTCAACAATGTGCAAAACAAGGGAGTCCATTTTACACATATCTGGCATATCTCAAAATGCGCAAAACAAGGGGATGTGTGACATGCACCCTACCAACTGTGCAAATGGACCCCCCTCATTTTGCACATTTTGAGAAATGCCAAAAATGTGTGAAAATTGACCCTCTCATTTTGCACATTTTGAGGAATGGCGAAAATGTGCGAAACAAGGAAGGTGCATTGTGCACATTCTGAGGAATGCCAGAAATGTGCAAAATGGACCCCCTCATTTTGCACATTTTGAGAAATGCCAAAAATATGTAAAAATTGACCCCCTTGTTTCGCACATTTTGAGGAATACCAGAAATGTGTAAAATGGACCACCCTTGTGTTGCACATTTTGAGGAATGGTGAAAATGTGCAAAACAAGCAGGGTACATTTGCACATTTTGATGAATGCCAGAAATGTGCAAAATGGACCCCCCTTGTTTTGCACATTTTGAGAAATGCTAAAAATGTGCGAAACCAAGGGGGTCCATTATGTACATTTTGAGGAATGGCGAAAATGTGCAAAACAAGGGGGATACATTTGCACATTTTGAGGAATGCCAGAAATGTGCAAAATGTACCCCCTTTGTTTTGCACATTTTGAGAAATGTCAAAAATGTGCAAAACAAGGGGGTCCCATTTTGCACATTTTGAGAAATGTCAAAAATGTGCAAAACCAAGGAGGTCCATTTTGCACATTTTGAGAAATGTCAAAAATGTGCAAAACAAGGGGGGTCCATTTTGCACATTTTGAGAAATGTCAAAAATGTGCAAAACCAAGAGGGCCCATTTTGCACATTTTGAGGAATGCCAGAAATGTGCAAAATGGACCTACCTGGTTTCGCACATTTTTGACATTTCTCAAAATGTGCAAAATGGAGCTCCTTGGTTTCGCACATTTTTGACATTTCTCAAAATGTGCAAAATGGAGCTCCTTGGTTTCGCACATTTTTGACATTTCTCAAAATGTGCAAAATGGAGCTCCTTGGTTTCGCACATTTTTGACATTTCTCAAAATGTGCAAAATGGAGCTCCTTGGTTTTGCACATTTTTGACATTTCTCAAAATGTGCAAAATGGACCCCCCTTGTTTTGCACATTTTTAACATTTCTCAAAATGTGCAAAATGGAGCTCCTTGGTTTTGCACATTTTTGACATTTCTCAAAATGTGCAAAATGGAGCTCCTTGGTTTTGCACATTTTTGACATTTCTCAAAATGTGCAAAATGGACCCCCCTTGTTTTGCACATTTTGAGAAATGCTAAAAATGTTCGAAATTGCTCACATTGAGCTAGCCATAACCATGGTCTAACCATATCCCATATAACAAAATATGCTTAGAATCATCCATGTAAACGAATCATACCGATCCTGTAGGAAGCTGGATTAACTTTGAAGGCACCTAAAATTTAAGTTTACCTTGATGGGAAGTAAGCCAGTGTTATCGGACATCCGGCTGAGCGCATTATAAAACTCGAAGGCAGATACTTTTGACTCAAATGAGAGTAGGTGATAGTGTTCAAGAACGCGGAATGTTGCAGCAGTTTTTGGATCTGATGTTGTCAAAGGAAACCACGATATTTGAAGTAGCTGTTGTATATGGCTTTGGGCTGTTGCACAATTGCAGAAGTCGAGAGATACTTCGTGTATGCTGTGGGTGTCGACAACAATAAAATCATCATTGAATGCGCGACAAGGGTTAGGACATTTCAGGCCAGTGGTGTGGCCAAGCTGGATGCAAAGGCCCAGGGTTTTCAGAGAGATTCGCTCGAAGTATTGACTGTTCCATTTCTGTATTAATATTAGATATTAGCCTTTATCAAAATTTGCTTAGACCTAAACGGTGTTGTTGGAAATTGATTTCTGGCACTTGGAATCACCAGTATGACATTTTCAGACAGTATGAGTCACTGTATATAACACTGATGCATCACTGATGCATCTCTATGATTAATACAAAATATTGATATCAGGAGCAGTATGGTATAGTAGCTCACTGCGTGAAGTATATCCTGTAGGCATGAACAGAATGCAAGTGGCAGCCAGGATTCCTAGTACGAGGCGAAGTTACTGTGTCTTTTGGTACACATCAGTAGCTAGAACAGAGAGAGAAGTGTGCACTTTGCATTTGAATATCTCTTGCAGTAAGAACTGTTGGACTCAGCCCATACATGATGACTGTACGAGCAGAAGAGTAAAAGGATTAGTAATACATACATAGATGAATAATGTAGGGAACACTGACTTACCCGGGAATAGCCGGAGCGGTGTCGATTAGTAAGCACAGCACAGAGAACAGACAAGTCCGTTTCGGATTGGACACATAGAATAACAGTTTAACAGTATATATTTTGTATGTAGTTACAAATAATTTATTCTAGATACCTCTACAAGAACAAGCAGTATCGAGTTGCCAGTCTTTTGGTGTGTGATGAAATTAAGGCTGAAGCACTGACTGAGTACGGCTTTGCATTAAGTTACCACATTTGGCAAGCAAGAACTGACACAAATCAGCCAAAATGGTCTCATTATACATCAATCATATAGTACTACTTAGATCAGCTCAGAGTATGTCTACAGCGGTTCTACCTTGCACAATGATCTTGATAATAGCCAGATTAGTTATTGAACTGATCATCTTTAGGCTCAAGTGCGACACATAATCATGTTCACTGGCAAGTTGGAACTCAACTTGAACGTTGCAAACACTGTGAGTCAATAACTACTATCACGCATGCTATGGCACATTGCATTGGACTAGTATCAATGCCCAGGTGATTCTCTCCTTCAAGTTGCTCTCGATGCGTTCTGGTACCTCCACTGAGGCCAATGTTGAACTGGCTGCTGGTCCGGCAACACCTCAAGCTGAGGTTGCTTGTTTGCCGGTAGTCATGAAGGCCGCTGATGATGCCAATATGTAATTTGTGATGTAGAATAATGTACATATGTTTGCTAGTACTATAGAACTCATGTATAGTTTACTTTGTTGTTTTTTACCATGGAATCGGCACCAATGTGGTCTCAATGGTCACCGTACATGGGAGCACCTGTCTGCGCCCACATTGTGTCTGGCGCCTGGCGATGGTGTTATTCAGGTCCTGAAACCTTGTTCCAGCATGTCATGGGCCTCCTTGTATCAATGGCGGTACATATGAGCCTGTTGGAATCTAGCGAGCTATTTTCCCAGGCTCACCCTGTCACCCACTGTAATGATTGGGCCCATCACCCCATCAGACCATGATATGAGCCTGCACGTGGAGTGCCTTACATGGTGTGAGCCCAACCGTACAAAGAGCGCAATACAGCTGGGCCTATCTGCACCCTCCAAGGTTACAGCAGGCTCACCCTACTATTTTCTACTTCTAGGGTGGGCCTGCATCCCTTTGTTCAGACCTCCAGATGGGCCCACCATCATTGTTTGCATACTGCCGGTAGGCCCATTCACAGTGCCATACATGGTGTGAGCCCCACTGCACAAATGCTTGGATGTAGCTGGGCCCCTGCGTTTTCGGCAGATGCATCGGGCTCCATCCACTATGCTGTATTTCAGGGGTAGGCCCGCATCCCTTAGTTCATCCCTCCATGTGGGCCCACTAATCTTTTTGCATACTGCCAGCAGGCCCATTCACTACCCATGACATGGGTTGGGCTCACTCTACTAGTGCGGACACCGACAGCAGGCCCTTTGATGTGCTGACATGATGTGGGCCCATCGACACACCATTGGGGAACCGCAGGGTGTGCTAAAAATTGTATTTGCTCAGCGGATAATGCACATTCGCCGGGGATTCCTGCTAATAAACACGACTATGCTAATGATTGTGCCTGATGTGGATGCCATTTCCATACTCCGGTGGACTCTTGCCGGCAACGTAAAGATACCCTCCCAGCAGATAATGCAGCCGGCAGAGCTTGCGTGTTGTAGCCACCGGTATGTCAAATTTGCCATATTTAAATGCCAGCGGACACCTGCCAATGATGTGGGAGCGCATGCGCCCGCTATCATGAAAATTATGTAGCCAGCTGATGTTGCAATTTGTATCTGCCGCTGTATCTGATGTTTGCTGACCAAGATGCCATTGGCGAATGTAATTTGGCTACATCTGAATCCACGGGCCTACTCGAAAATCTCGAGAGATGGCCTTTGCACTGTACTATGAGCCCATCTGTAAAGAAAGTTTTCTTCGATGAAAAATATAGATAGGAGGCCCACTGCTATCCATTGGGCACACAGAATATAAGGAGCCCACCCAGTGACATACTCTTACCCTCACAACATATACTGGGCCCATAGTGAGTTGGCCCTTCAATCAGTTAGCAGTTGGTCAGTTTAGCACTGGCCTTCCAAGACTCCCACTGTGTGGGGGCATTGTTCATCACACACTCATCCATAGTGTACATGAGTGTGGCCTTCCAAGACTCCCACTATGTGGGGGGCATTGTTTATGACACACTCATCCCATTGTGTACATGAGTGTGGCCATCCAGGACTCCCACTGTGTGGGGGCATTGTTCATCACACACTCATCCCATGTGGATGGACCACAGAATGAGGACATAATGGCCATCCACCACTCATAGTGGGAGTCCTGGAAGACCACACTCATGTACACTATTGGGATGTGTATGTTCGGTTATGTTTCATTAATGGAACATACTGATGTACACTATGGGATGAGTGTGTGATGAACAATGCCCCCACACAGTGGGAGTCCTGGATGGCCACACTCATGTACACAATGGGATGAGTGTGTCATAAACAATGCCCCCCACATAGTGGGAGTCTTGGAAGGCCACACTCATGTACACTACGGATGAGCAGTGTTCCAACTAATGAAGGGTGGAGGGTCCACACACAGTGGGAGTCCGGGACTCCCACATCTGATGCATGGGGATATCTGGAAAATTGAACCGAAGGGGTCCATATACAGTGGGAGTCCTAGTAGGCCATATCTGATACATGAAATGTTTTGAAAGTGAAGCTGAAATCGACCCTAGGCTGACCCTAGGAACCCCCATAACAGGCAGTACAACCGCAGTTCGGCTACGGCCCACTCCGATTTGGCCTTGCCCTCCACCTCCGAGTCAGGCAGTTTTCGGAGGCAAAAGGTAGGCTTTCAGGCCGGGTTCCTACATCTCGTACACTCACTAGGCCAAAATCGTAACAAACACACCACTCCCCTGTTACCCTTCCGAAGTACTTTGGCTCCCTAAAGCTCCTGAAAACAGCGAACGGGCATTACTGAGTCACGTACAGCAGAGGTCAAGACCTAAGCACCGCTCGATAAGGTATCTTCTGCTCGTGTATAAGGTCAAGTACCTTGGTATTGCGCCATCGCGCGTCTACTATTATTGCCCACCACGCCCAGCCTGCAGTACTCTCCCGCTACCTACCAGGCTACCACACACCCCCAACCCAATTTCATAAAGCCTAGTGCTACCTGTAAGCCTTGAAACCTCGCGCTGCCTCCGACCCCCATGCCAGAGCGTGACCTCCCGAGGCCCTCCTGTCACTTCCTGCTTTTGCCCAGTCGTACCAGGAAAATAGATGGAGTGCTCATTTAATCTTAGTCGTAGCAGAATATGATTTAGCGATACAAATAAATTTGTCAGTCTAACCAAGAAGGACAATGCACTATATCCACAAAATGAAGGAGAGATGTCTCTATGTTTTGTTTCAGCTCGTCCAACTTCAAAACGGACAGCGTGTCCAAGTTACCATTGCTGTTTGTGAGTGCAAAGATAATGATAGCTGATAGGGGTAGCACAATCCTCCATACACGGCCGAGGCCAAAGACATCGTTGTTGAATAACTCGGTGACAGCGTGTCCGGCATTGTCGACAGTATAATGAGTTGAGGCAGGCTTTCGCAGGGAACTTAATGGTGGCCAAATGAGAGCGTGGGCGCTAAAAGTGTACTTCCAATCAACTAAGATGACGGACAAGTGGAGTGGAGGACGCACGCCACCGCATGCACTGATGAAACTTGACTTGGGGAGTTAGATGAGCACGAATGGCGGGTATTCTGGACAAGCAAAAAGATAGGAAATGAAGGGCAGTTGATTGAGGTTTGGGTGACGCCCTTCGTGTAGACAAATGATCGTTGGCGTTGGCGAGCGCCAAAAAGTTGCCGCCGCTGTTGGTACTTAGACTCAGAGGCAAATTTGCGGCTGACGAGGTTTTCGAGGTCTTGTCATTGTGCTGTACATGAGGGAGCCGAAGGCCCCAGGACAGTAACTCACGGTGTTCTCTTATCACAAGGTTATACCGTTCTTGTGAGTGGCAGAGGGTAAGCATTGGTCCAGTTGGTCAGGACGAGAAGAAACAATGTACAACCGAGTGAGTTTGTACTGTAAAGATGTGCCGTGAACATGATGGTGTTTCGGTTCATTTGAGTAGGAACTTGGTCGATTGGAATAAATCAGTATTGCCTGGACGACATGCAGGATGAGTTACAATATATATTGGGAGAACGTACGTTCAAGATTCATAAGCACCGCCACTTCAAAGAGCCCTCAGCGAGTAGGCACCCTCCTGTAAATCCCACATCGCATACGGAGGTTGAAGATACTGCAAACACACCCAGGGACAGTAACCAAGTTGCTATATTCCAGTTCGTGGGTTATGGTCCAAACAGTAATATAAAACAGCATGAGTCAGCCAATCCAAAGAGCCGAAGTAAAAAATGAACAAGTCCGTCGCTGCATGTAACAACAATCGTCTCCAGTAAAGGTAAAACAGGTAACCCATCACCATCATGAATGTCAGTGTACAGGTGCAGGTATATTAATATATGCAGGTCTAAATGATATAGTCAATGGCACACTGGATTCATGAGAGGAAGATCATTGCGAAGAGAGTACCGGTGACACCCGCAAGGGTCGAAACGCCAAGAGCGACGGCACCGCCGGTCTGAGTTGCAGCAGCAGCACCAGCTGAGTTCGAGCCAGTCCCAGTGGCCTTAGCAGTACCGCCACTTGCTGAAGCGGAGACGCCAGTAGGGGTAACGGTGGCGATACCGGTGTAGAGAGCAGAGCTGGCGTAAGTCACGCAGTTGGATGAGGCGGGAGTGAAAGCTGTGTAAGGTGGGTTGACAGCGGCGGAATCTGGCTGGCTGTAAGTCATAGTAACGCCGCCGGTGACGTAAAGACCAGCAGGAATCTTGAGATCAGAGTCGCAAACCTCGAAGGTACCGTTCTGGGCATTGTTGGGCATGTTGTAACTGCAACCCATGCGGTCGTAGATGTTCTGGCAGTAAGCGGACTGGTTTGCGCTGCTAGAAGCAGGATCACAAATTGTGATACAGAAAGCATCGCCACCCATGAAGCTGCGGTGCATGAGAACGAGAACGGGGATTGATTTGAGTTCAACGACTTACTTCGTCCAGTCGATAACTTGCTGGTAGGAGTCGTTGTTGCCACCGTTGCTTGGGAACGCGTTGGAGTACATTAAACCCCCAAGAGGATTCCCACGCTGTGAGAGTCAGTTTAACTCTAATCGACAAACGTGAGACACTCACAAGGTCAGCACCATGAGGGTCGAGCTCTCCTCCGTAGTCTTGAGCGTTCATGTTAATCTGAGTCTGGTCGATAAAACCAGCGATTTGAATGTACTCCGATGTAACGAGATACTGAACACCCTGGAGGGCACCATTGGGGATGAGACGAGTGCCGTGGCCAGGCTTTGTGCACCATGCGACCTCCTCTTGTTCGGTATCGCCGATGGTGGAGTTAGGAATGGGCGGTGCCCACAAGCAGAAATCTGAAAACAATACGGACATTATGAGCTATGAACGGGTACAGAGTTGTTAACCGGAGACGCACCGTCAATATGGTTCACCATCGAGGTTTGGCACAAAGAATTCTGGTTCTGTGTGGTGGAGTTACAGATGTTATAGCCGGTCTGAGGGCCACGGATAGCAGCAGTGTTGTAGTCGACTTGGTAGGGCTTGAAAAATCAATGCCATGTGAACACGGTGCACAATGAAAGAGGGCCTGAAAGCTTACAATTCCTGACGGGTAGGCATAAGTCTTGTCGACAAGTGGTGTTGGGTCAGCTGGGTCGGGTTGAGCAAGGGCGAATTTTGAAGTGACAGCGATGGCCAAAAGCACGGAAAGAGTGGAACGAGACATATCTCAAAGTTGGTGGTGGTGATAGAAGTAAGGAAACAAAGAACGCTTTGGTTTTATAACGGGGGAAGCGAGGAAAAAAAATGAGGCAAGATGTGTAGTCGGATCATTAAAGCCTCATATAGTTTGACAAAAATAATTTCAGACACCGGAAATAGAATGTTGACAGCTATATTTATATCACATCACCATGCCTGAGGCTTCCTGCTTGAACATAGCAATGGTAAGTACGGGTATTTGTCCTGCAGAACGCATTTTACATTAATTGACTTCAAACTTCGCAGGGAATTTAAAATTGACTTATTACTTGTGTGATCTTTTCTGGCTTAGTCACAACTTGAATGCGGCTACAGTACTGATCTGATGGGAGTTGTGGAACATTACCGGTTTACCCCTGGGCCCGGTTGCCAATACGTGGTCGAACTCATAGCTATGGCATAGTGGAACGATGATAGAGTAATCCAGTACGTAGGAGAGCTGCTCCTATGACGTTACCAGTCCCACCATGTGCGTCATTCTGACTGCCAGTACTCCTTTTCTGTCACGAGCTCCTATAAATATTGGGTCTTTATAACGCTCCACTCTCCCCGACAGTGTGATTTCAACTTCCCAACAACACACCATGGACAAATTATCTTCTGTTATCGCTGCTCTCGACGCAGGCAAGCTCCCCACCCAGAAGCAGGCGGATACCGCAATCGATTGGATACTCCAGAATATCATCGCGAGCGTCGAATCTCCTGATGCGGGAAAGATCAGCGAGTCGGGCGAAGTTCTTGCACGCGGTATACAAGACCTCCTCATTGCATACAAGAAACTTGGGGACAACAAAAATTGTGAGCGTCTCGACTTTCCTCAATTTCAAAATCTAATTGCGGTATAGATGACAACCTTTTGCAACAAGTTCTTTGGCACCTCTCTGAGGGAGATTTCGCGGACATGCGTGTAGAAGCAATTGATACAGATAAAGCGTCGGCCGATCTCCAATCCATCCGCTCCGCCATCCGTGCTCTTCTTCACATTCTTTGGACCAACATCAGCGATGAAGCAACTGTCCTCCTGAATGACTTTGCGTCTTTTGCACGTCTGGCAATGGCTGACCTCGCAGGGGACATTGAAACCGGAGCCGTTTACACCAAGGAAAGTCTACGCGAGCTCGACATAGGAGTGCGGCAAGGTGAGCGGGACAACTTGGGGCGCAAGCGAAAGACCCCTGAAGAAATCGAACGGGAGCGTGAGCAAGATACAAAGGCGAAATTTGAGAACACGATGGATGCTGCGAAAGAGACGGGATCTAAGGCTATAGGCGTCGGGCAAGAGGTGAAGGCTTCCGCTGAAGAAGCGGCTGAGCGTACACGTATTCGCCTGCAGCAGACTTATTATAATGTCCGTTTTTTTCTTGTCAAACCTTACCGGTGCTGACAGTATTCTGCGCAGATCTGTGAACGTGCGCAGAAGGATGAGGACTACCATCACGCCATCTCCACACTTTTCAACATCGTATCGAAGTGGATGAACAAGTCTCTTGATGCTGCCACTGATATCAACGAGTCTACATCGCTCGAGTCCTTCATTGACGATCCATCGAAAGAGAAGCATGTCCTCAAAGCCCTTCATGGCATCCGCACGCTCGTCGAGCGTGTCGCAGGTGGCAAGTCTCTGGATGACGTCTTCGCCAAGGCCCGTCTGTGCGCCGTACACGTCAGGAATGATGAAGACCTAAAGAACTGGTTCAATGATTTCTTCGCTCATGTCCGGAAGAGCCTCGACGAGCCTGCCTATGCACGATCAGAAGAAGCCCATCGCATGCTCCAACAGCTTGCAGAGCGTTGGAAGCAGCTTCTTGATCAAGACTCGAATGCAGGGCGTAAGTGGAAAGAGGATGTGCGGGCTCTCAGGCACGAGCTTTGTGATTTCCAACAGGCGATCGCAAGGGATGCAGACTTGCAGCGCGTTCGGAAGGCACATGCTATGTTTGGTAAAGATTTGGCGCAGAGCGTTGGCACGGGCGGACGCATTGGTATGCAGTTTGCCCTCGATCAAGCCTCGTGGTTCTGGCAGGATGTCTTCAACGTTTATGCGCCACGCCTCTTGAGCGTCATCAAGGACATTCCGACTCCAAGGCAGGTTCCTGGGTTAACTGCGCGTTTTCACCATTTGCTGACGAGCTTGATAGAACCGAGTATGTTGATAATGAGATCGAATTTGTACTCGAGAATTTCGACATCTCGTCGTTGAGCTTGCTTCCTGGGCACGTCTACATCCGCAATATCACTGACGTCGACATCACCGCTCCCGCCGCATCGCAGTCAACCACCACTGCCATTGGCACACTCACGCACATTCGGATGCAAGCAGTCCAGCTCGCGCTCAAGGAGGTGTCATTCTTCTACAGGGATAAGGTTGCTATTGTCGGGCCCAAGGACTTCACAGGTCTCATAGAGTTCAATCTGCCACCAAAGGGTATCGATATCGACCTCAAGTTCTCCTTGATCCCAAACACGCCCCAAGGTCTTAAGGAGCGCGAGCGTCTTGGACGGTTCTTCAAGATCGAGCGCATCGAGGTGACTGTGGCGGAAGATATTAACATGCAAGTCAAGCAGTCCAACCACCCCATCCTTGCATCCGTCTTCAGGCCTGTCATCATGCTTCGCTTCCGCGAAGCGATTTCACGCACCTTGGAGGAGCAGATCCGGGGGTTGTTCGATACTACTGATGCTCTGGCGTTTGATATTGGGCGACGTTCAGAGGTGTTCAAGGATGCTGGACTTGGGACTACATCGTCTGTCGTTGCTGCAATGTGGAGCGAGATAGGGAAGCTCCGGCGGATGGAAGGTGGTTTGCTGTCTGGCTGGAGAGCAACTGGAACAGGAATCGTCAAAGATGATTTAGGCGGCAATGCAAAGATTGCCATTGGCGCGGAACCACAAATTCTTTCAGGGGAGAAGAGAGGGCCCTTAGGAATTCGTGCAGAGCCGCTTGCGGAAAGGATCCCGAGTGCGGATGTTGGAGGCGCCTTGGAAGGTGCAACGACTACCGTTGAACGAGTAGAGCAAGCCGGGAAGAAGGGCCTAAAGCAGGTGCACAGTTTCAAGCAAAGCGTTGAGCATAAGAAGAGGGAGGAGGAGAAGCGGAAGGGATGGCAGAGCCCAGCATTCGATATTTAATCGTCGATGATTCATTTTCTTGGTCTTTATCACGATGTTTACAAGCACATGAATAAACGGACAGTTGTGCTATCCCCGCTTCCTCTTAAGGTTACTACGCGCGTTTGTAGCTTGTATTGCACATAAAGGCCCCTTCTCGAGTGTCTTGTGTTCTGTAGTATCGAACTCCATCCCTAGATCTTCCAGGAGTATCTCGGCCTCTTGAGGTGGGAGTGAATCCGTCGCAAGCTGCCAAAACCTAGCCTGGTAATTAGTAACACGACTGGATGTATCGGATGCGTTGATGGTCTGGAAGTGTCAGTGGGTGGGCAAAAACTAACGTCATGAAGACTTTTCTTCGGCGAGTCCATTGCGCTCGCCATTTTGCCCAGTCGACATCGATCTTGACGAGTTCCTCAGCAGAAATGAGCGGTGCACCAGAGCGAAGAGGGACGAGTCTGCCGGTGAGTTGCACTATCTTTGTTGGGACAAAAGTAGGTCATATTGGTTCCCTCAAAACCGGTGAGAGTCGTGTACTCACTTCCTTTTTCGTGCTCGCAATCTGGGCCTCGAGTTCTTCGTCCGTTGGACAATTTTTGAGCTTTGATAGTTCTTTCGCGGTTGAGATTATATATAAGGGGATTGGATCTGCTTTCGTTCAGCGCTTACCTGCTGTTATAGCTTTGACCTCTACCGCAAGTACGTTGTTGCTGTCCTCGACCGTCTTGCACTCAACCTCAAGTTCTGTAAGCTTGTCAGCAGGAACTGTGTCAATGCTAGCCTGATTGGCAACAAAGAAGCTCGTTTTCCCTGGATAGGTCGTAAATACAAGAAGCTGTTATTTATAAAACTATACACACCATATGTTTTCTGCACAATCTCCCCCCTTTCTGCTAGAGCGACGAGGATCTTCTGCGTTGCAGCCTTCGGCACTGCACCTTTTAGGTTGGCAGCGACATCCACAGCACCAAAGGGACGGTTCATCTGTTGCATGTCATGTCAGTATAGCGCATATATGCACCTTTTTCTGGGTCACTCTTTTCAGATATTGCAATATTGCATCTTCGGCTAATGCGAAATGAGAAAAGCATGAAGGAGTAGCAATTGGGCCTCACCTTCTTGACCTTTGAGAACCTTTACATCTGAGCTTTTCGCTTTGCTTGCCATTGTCAGTTGTGAGAGCGATGTCGATGATGATCCGGGTCAGTTGATTCTGCCTTCTGGAGTCACGTGTGAAGAAATTCGCTTGTGATTGTCTATTTCGGCTTTGCTTCGGGAGAGTGACATCCTCCGCTCCCTGTATGAGTGTGTAAGGTATTCATGAGTTCTACTGTCTCTCACCAGCGAGACAAACGTTCATTCGACTATGCTATTCGATCTGGAATTGCTGGTGGTTTGGCAGGATGCATCGTATGCTTCGTTTTTCTCATGCTCTCTGCGGTCAGCTAACGCCGAATCTGTAGGCAAAGACGGCTGTGGCCCCCCTTGACAGAGTTAAGATCCTTTTCCAAGCCTCAAATCCTGATTTCCAGAAGTATGCTGGTATGTATACTTGACAGCGTGTCTCCGCATCTACCTCCGGACTGACTTCATCCCCCAAAGGAACTTGGACTGGAGCTTATCGAGCTGGACTCGCAATATACAGAGATGGTGGTGCCAGAGGATTACTTCAAGGCCACTCCGCAACTCTTCTACGCATATTTCCATACGCAGCCATAAAGTTTATGGCCTATGACCAATGGAGAGCGGTACGTCCACTATTTCATATGTGTACACGCTTACTTACTGTACCATACAGCTTGTGATACCTGACAGGGATAAAGAAACAAATTTCAGACGGTTTACTGCTGGCGCTCTTGCAGGTGAGCTGCCCCCTCAGTCATATCTTGTCATTCAATCGTATTCGCCACAGGCATGACCTCCGTCACTTTCACCTACCCACTCGAGTTGGTCCGCGTGCGCATGGCGTTCCATAGTCGACTGTCTAGCTCTTCCGACCAGACGCGCCCCTCCTTTCTCAGAGCTATGCGCGTCATATATAATGAAGGTTCCACGTCTTCCCCTGCAACGCGGACCACAGCGGCGCAGATCTTTGAAAGCTTTCCCGTTTCAAAATTTTACCGTGGCTTTAGCGTGACCATGGTGGGCATGATTCCCTACGCCGGCACGGCATTTCTCACTTGGGATTTCTTGCGTGCGCATTTCTTCCCAGTCATAGATGACCACTCCAAGCGACCCCACCCTTTGGCAAATCTCGCCATTGGTGCTGTTTCTGGTGCAATTTCGCAGACTGTGTCGTATCCTTTTGAGGTTGTTCGTCGGCGAATGCAAGTCGGAGGTTTGACTAGACCAGATAGGTGGCTACGGTGGGGAGAGACTGTGCGTGCTGTGTACGCAAGTGGAGGGTGGAGAGGTTTCTACGTCGGATTAGGAATAGGTTACTTGAAGATCATACCCATGACTGCCATCAGTTTCGCTGTTTGGCAAGGAGGCAAAAGCCTGTTGGGTGTCTAGATTCATCCGTTGAAACATAACATTTTTCCGTGCAAACATTGAAGGCCATTGTCCTCGGGGCCAAAAATGCGAACTCTGGTGGACACGACCTTGAGCGATTGAAGTGGTCAAGTGAGTATCATCGAGAACTGACATCGAACAAATAACACGCAAATCAAACTACATGAGGGCGAAAGCAAGGCTACAGATAGGCAGGTAAAAATACACGGAGCTCATGACGACTCGGGGTGAACGACGCCTCGTCCCCTTCCCCGGTAACCCCTTCCTCTCCCACGATCAAGATGCGACATATATCCTCGTCCTCGAGAACCACCTCTAGGATGTGGATAAGGGCGCATGGCAGGCTGCAATGTCGATCCAGAAGCTTCGCCTCCTGGGGTGCCTTCTGTTGTCGATGTAGGACGACCGTTTATTGCAGGTCCACCACGCCCATTTGGCGATCCTGCGTAGCCATTCAAGGGAGGGCCTCCACGAGGTACGCGAGGGACAAGCCCTCCACGACCCCGGTTCGGATTGGACATAATTGCTACAGGTGGTTGGTGTTGGCTGTGCGGAAGTTAGCACCGTATATCACCCGTGAGCACAAGAACTTCACCTCTGTGCAGCAGAACGGAATCCAGTAACAGCTTGATGCCCGGGAGCAGGCTGGATGGCTGGATACGGACCAGATCGAGGTTTGAAAGGAGCGTTTGGACGAGGAGGATAAGTTGAACCAGGAGAGGTAGAAGCGATGAATTGGGGGTTGCTTAGGTTTAGACATGAATTGAACTCTACAGTCGAACCTCGATACTGAGAACATCTACAAATTACAAGTTTAAGTGTCTCAGGCCAGAAGAAGTGTTCCACTGACCTGTCCCCAAGCGTCGTACCAGACATAAATGGCACGTCCCACACGACATCCATCGACTTTGTGTTCAAGCCAACGACAACGCCCTTCGCAGACAACGGGACTCCACCTGAATCTTGAACCATAGTCACTCTGTCTCCCAAAGCAAAGTGCTGGTTCTGAAGTCGATAGATAGCGTGCGATGGTTTCAGGACTGCGTGACGAGGGATGTTCTTCACAATAGCTTTCTTGATTGTCGCTTTGGACCTGTTCTTGTTGATGTCATCGGCGACCTGTTCGATTTCTTTGACGGTGCTCTAAAAACAGCTTTGAGTGAGACACGATTCGGTATGAATGGTGATTCTGATATACCTTCGCTAGGCTGTCTGAGAAGAGGGAAACTGGCTCGAGATCTCGGACCCCCTTCAATTTGAGCCACGACTTTACTTCCTTGACCCTGGCATCAGCGTGAGAGTCAAAGATGTCCGTATCGCGGGCCATATCTATTATCCTGGAGTTGAGATCAAGGAGTCGTTGAGCTAGTCTAACATCTTACCGTCGCCTCCTTGGTCCAGAATCGCGAAGATTTCTGGGAATTTATCCTGCAAAGAACTAAGTTCCAATTCAAATGTGGTTTCGATAGGACCAACCTTATATTCACGAATGAGGTCAACTGCCTTCTCGCTAAACTCCCAATAGCGACCGGTCTTCAGCGAGTAGTCAATAACCTTCAAGCCCTTAGCCTCGAACTTGATGCTTAATCCGAGATTGTTCTTTTGATGATCGGAGGTGAGAACCATGAAGCTAGATGTGATCTTAGAGAGCGCTCTCGGTGACATTCCGATTGCAGAAGCTGCTTTGTACGATGGCAAGTAGTGCTGGGAAACACGGGTGTCGACAATAGTCTTGAATTTGTTGTTCTCCGTTTTATCTGAAGGGAAGAACTACGAGGTCATTTAGAAAGATAAATCATGGTAGGCGTTGTGACATACTGCCAAGACAACAGACAAAGCGCTGTCGGTAGTTGAAGACACCTGGGCAGCCGCACCATACGCATGTTCGCCTAGGAAGAAAATGTTCGTTCCATCAGAAAATTCCTCCGACAGAGGTGGAGCATCCTTTTCGAGGAATCTGGGATCTTCAGATGCAATTTCTGAAATGACCATCTGGACGGCTTGTTCGAGTTCTTTTTCGGGTCCTTCGTAGTCCTTAACTAATGCGCCTGATTCCAAGCGTTTCAAACCTGCACGAATGTGTAAAAACGAACGTGCATAAAATACCAGCACACACCTTTTAGCGGACGGACGTGCACTAGGACATCGACGTCACCAGTGATCACTCCACATTTCTTTGAATATATCGACTCAATCCGCTCAGCTTTGCCTCTCCAATGGCTTAAGCCCTGGTGGGAATGCGGATTTGATACAACCTTTTCCGGGGTGCCAGGTACGAGTACCAACTTCTCGTATTTGAACAATGAATCGGACACGGCGGTGACTAGTCCCTCTTGCAAAAAGGGCCAACCGATGAAAGTGCGTTTGCCAACCATTTCCTTGGCAATGTCCTCTACCTTGCGGTTTTCGTGAGGATTTTGGATGTGAACTACCATTGACTTATTGCGGCTTTCGGAATTGTGTACATTGACACCATGAAATCCTAGTTGCGCTGTATGGGGTAATGTATCCAGCGAGGGGAATCCAGCGAGGGCCTCCGCACCGAGGCATACACCTTCACATAGTCCAGGCACGAGATGGAGTCCGTCAAGAGTTGGTAAATCGAAAGATTCCGTCTTGCACGTGCAACGATATATGGGAGGGAAGAAGTCTGGCAACGATGAAGGGTAGACTGTGGGTTCTCCAGGATTGAAGAAAAATTTAGTGCTGGTTCCAAAGTCATTGCGGCGACGTTCTTCTGGAGTCAACCTATGTTCTCGGGCTGGACACATGGAGCGATGACGAACTACAACCAACAAGCGGAACTTGCCACTCACAATGCATTGCTCGTAACAGCCGCTGCTCATCAATGAAGGGAATCTTAACGATCGCTTCCCATTCTTGCTTCTTCCCATTTAGGTCTTGCTCGAATTCGAGTGGGTAGAAATCCAATATTGGTGAATTTGGATCGTACATTAGATCCTATGAGTGATTAGTCTAACGCACGACACGGGGCCACTGAACATACTTGATATGCCAACGGAATGTGATCCTTGCTTGCGGACGGGAGGACGCCCATCAGTTGTTCGAAAGGATGGAAAGGTTTACCCAGCTCGAATGCGAACGACATGTCGCCAAGGCCGCGTAAATCTTGGGGAAATCGTGAATGTAGTGCAATGAGGACAGAGACTGCAAAAAGTACCAGATATCCGTGGTGCGTAATGGTAATTGTAAAACCAACCCCATGAGGCGATCCCGCTGTAATAGTAGTGCATAACCCATTGTAGGCCCTCTACATAGCGGTATATCAAGTCGTGCATATCTTCGGGGTCGTCAAAGGAGATTTCAAGTTTCTCCTATGGTGCAAACGGTTGGTCTAAAGACCGGCATGTGGTGCGGGAACGCACCTTGTAATATCCTCTCTTCCATTCCGCCATTTTTTCATTGAGAGACTGTTCATGTCGAGCGTCGAAACCCCCACCTTCATCATCATCCATCACAGGTGCCTTGTCGAATTTCTTCAACACTCGATCCACTGCAGCCCTGCCTTCTTCATCTTCCTCGTCCACGTCTTCCCACTCATCCTCAGTATTTTCATCTCCGTTAGATCGCTCGACATCAGGTTCTGCTGAGGGTTCGTCTGAAACTCCGGGAATTCGCCACGTGACGAGATTCTGGTCCTCCTCATCGTACTCATCCCAAGTAACAGACAGATGCAACTCCTCCGCCAGGGTACTGATGAACTTCCGTTCCCGGGCGGGAAACGTATTGGGCATTGTTAGGGTTGTAGTTCGGTGCTGCGTCGATTTCCTGCGATTTTGCAAGACAAACTGTTGTACTTGATCGAAAATGTCTCGTTGAGGGCGCGTAAGAACTAACATAAATTAATTATTGGTTGTCAACACGAAGAGTAGAGAACTGTACCAAGCTTAGCACGCTTGCGCGCAAGTTCCATTTCTTGGACGTGTTTGCTCCGCTTTCCCTTGAACCAATTCGAATCCGCGTATTCTTTCTCGTAGATCTCTCGCTCCCATATAGTCATTTCGTCCAGGACAACCTGCAGTCGCTTGGGATTAATGACCCCGCCCTCATTTATATAACCATCTGAAACGGTGAGCCAATGCGCGACATAACGAAGTTCAGGACTTACCCAGCGACGGTAAAACCTTCTTGTACACATCGAACAGGCGCTCCAGTCCGTTCTCGTGAATGTGCAAGTCCGGAAGATTGGGTAGGAAATCATTTCCGACGAAGACTGCCAGTAGAATGAAGTCATCGATCACTCGCTCTAGGCTGTAAGCAAATGCGAGAGTGTCTTCTATATCACGAAACTCAAGGTCCAGGTATTCACGCATTAACGAGAGATGTAGAAGGTAGAAGTTGAGGTTCTCCAGGCTTGCGCTGGCGTTCAGTTAATCTGCCTATGCACGAAAACTACGAAATACCTGATGTTACCCTTCTTCTTCGCAGCAGGCCCGAACTTTACTTCCTCTCGCAAGAGACAGAAGTGTGGATCATGACTCAGAAGGCCAAGCATGATGAGGTCGGCATCAAGACCGTACAAGCAATGTCGCACGTTCGGGTTATAATCAGGTTGGGCTCTCGATAGTCGAATGTATTCCATAATCTTGTGTTCACCTTCACCCGGCACTTCGTGACCGGACAATACAACTTGCACGCCACGCCAATTAGCATCTTCGGTAATCTTCTTGTTGACAAAATATCGTAGCTGTGCGGATAGCCTGACCATGAAAGGAGTACCTAAGACGGAATAAACAACATGATGCTATATGAAACAACCTAGAACGCACCTGGCGTAATGCAATTACTATCAAACGCTTTCTCTTCTGGTAATTTTTCTCCTTTCGACTCTGCCTTCTCTCTGACTTCCTTCGCTTCCTTGGCAGTGCGAAACCGTCGACTTCGTTGCTGGTTCATTTTTGCTCGAGGAGCCACGCCATCCACTGCCATGAAAAAAAGTTTCTTTGGCTTTATCTTACCGAATAGCAAGTCCACATATGCGAATATTGCCGTGAATATTTGCTCTTCGGACATCCTGAAGTGCGCATCTTCATCATTCGGATGCGAGCCTAGAATGAAATTTGAACGCCAGTCTACAACGTATCTCCAGGGACTACTTACAGTTATGAATGATTCCATTGAAATCAAGATAGAGATTATCTATTCGAAGACTTCAGCGCAAGAATACTGAGTGGGTCTGATGACTCACCAAATTCTGGAATCTTGTTCTCCTCGATCAGCTGCGAGGTAAGCGGATACCGCTCACTACCGAGAAATCAGCTTCTGTGGTCGAATAATGGACGACTGGCTCACGAGATATAACGGAAAAACTGCAACACGCAGGACGTTCAGCTCCCTTGAGTACATATTTCACAGATAGAAGAAGCGCGAACCTTGGGGATTCCTATGAATTGGAGAAATGTGAGCATATATATAAACTTTACCAGACAGACATACCCATATCAAGGAAAGGAAGAGTACAGTGACTGTGAGGATCGGTGACGATTCTCGAGGTTGAGATGGAAAAGGCGTATTACGTAAGCGACGCGCTGCACAGCCAGCTAAATACAATGTACGATCAAACTTTGTCCAGCAGAGTGGTGGTTGATCATCAATTGCCCCGGAAGTTGCTTGGTATCCGTGGTACTTATCGTTCGATAATCAGAAAATCTGACAGCAGAGTCGCCATTTCTAGGACCTTGGAGCCTAACCCTTTTTTTCTGACAGCGCCAACCTTCATCATGATCCTCTCTGGGGATAACGCGTAGACTGATCAATCCAAGTAACTCGGGGTAGTCTTTGGATGGTCCTTCCAGACGATTCCAGAGAGCGGATTCGTCTGGACATTGGACACCCTCAGCATGAAGCCCCAATCCTTATTTACAGGCCATCATCACCGCACTGGAAACGCTAATAATACTACGAAATTGTGCTTGTGAGTTTCTTTCATTTGCTGTACATATAATCTAACTCAGCAATCTGTCAATTAGCTAGATATGATCCGATTATACAGTCAGCCCGGCTTCAAAATACGATATATGCAATATCTTACCTGCTATGATCCAATCACCTTTCCTTGAGCCACATAACTGCATTGGGACGAGGCCGCCTTGCTAACATCTACCAAATTCCCTGAAAGGAATCGGGCCTCTGTTATCCAACCGACTCAAACGGCCCCTGTGCCTTTCTGCCGAATGATGATATTTCGAAGAGCAAACCCTTACGCGTGCCCTGTATATTAGAACACGGGTCATACTGCCCGTTGCACCCTTGTGACATTATAGCCCGATGACCGGGGCAAAGAGCGAGAAGTACGCATGAGGCGACCATTGATTTGGAGGTGCCTCCTCAACCTTGGATTAGCCTATACGCTCCGTGGGCCGAGCCAGCGATGCGGAAGCACTGCTGCCGATGCTCATGGAGATAGCAGGTTTTTCGATGAACGCATTGCACTCAGGCCTGTTGTCTCCGACGATGCTAACGATCTTTGTGTGCCGTGTAGAGCTGATACCATAGGATTTGTCCAATAAAATAAAATAACGCACTTATTTTTAAAACTGTGGACGTGAAGCGAATATCACGCGTATTTTCGCAAATCAGACCTTGATGCAGGCCATAATTTAGGTCAAAGATACACCAAAAACAACCCACGTAATACAAACGCATTGTCACAACGACCAAATAAACAACGAAAGCGATACGAAATGGTGATGCCAGTACTATAAGCCATGCACGGATCTCTGTATCATTCGTTTCAAGTAATATTGTAACGGACTGGAAAGGACCAGATATCAATTTAGGTGTCGTATGTTTGATCGCATGTTACACATCGCAGAGCACGCGATCATGAGGTAGGTTTCCCTGCTTATTGAGATTCTATAGAAATGCGTGAGTTAGTGCGGGGGGAAGGCAATTTGGAGTTCGTACTTCGGTCTCTGAGAAGCTAACCATTCCAATATCGTCTGAGGAGGTCCGGTGAGCGAGGTCTACTTTCATTGCGCCAGTCCTATTAGCCTCCCTTGAGGTGGAAAACTCCGGCAGTGAATGAAAGGTGTCCGAGGTTGTTGACTGTTTACTAGTGCTTTTGCGGCTATTAAGAAGAACAAGGAAGGAATTGCTGTACAATTTCGAAAGCATAAATGCTGGTACCACATGGTAGAAATTATGCTTGAATGTCAAAAACAGGATGAGCTCGATAATAGCAATTATGGCTATATCGTCAGCGGTGAGTAATACAGACATGAAAAAAATGTTGTATACACACCAGTGAGCATACCAGTTTCTATAGTAATCCTAATCAACTTGTTGAGCAGCGAGTCCGTGGCACGAAACCCAGTGCGACTTTTTGAGAGCTTTCGGCAAAGTCACATATAGCACTTGAGATGTATTATGAACTTACAAAATAGAACATGGCGCAGCAAATTATGATATCGCACAAGGCAGTTCCCCCAAGCCACACCTGCAGACGAGTAAGCATATAACCTCCTAGCATAGTGAGAACACATACTGCGGTCGTTTTGAAGGTGTCATCCTGGGTTCCTGGCACGTTCTGTGATATGAATATTTGGATACCTTCAGCCATTGCTGCGGAGCCCTGCACTAATGCGATCTGGTTCGGAGGCAGTCAGTATTTAACGAGACATATTTGACTTCGTCTCACAGCTGCGATCGTTATTGCTAACACAAGTGACTTGCTGAGGATGTAGAGGCGCCACGCATAGAAACATTGGATCGTAGCGCTGGCTATACGTAAGATGTCACACATGAGTATACGGTCTCTCTCGTTTGGTAGAGGTCAGAGAAAACGCACTGATGCCCGTTAGAACGGGAAGATCAAACCAAGAGAGCCAAACGTCCAACAAATCTCCATCATTTCCCCATCCCAATGCAAGAGTGTGAAAAGAGTCGTGGGTCGCCATAATGAGCTGTAAAGTTTCAAGGACGAAAAGTCCGTATACGATGGGCTTGATCAATCGATTGTCCTGAAAACCTGCTTGGTGATAGGTGTCTTGTACAGAGTTACAATTCCGTCACAAGGTATATTGTCGCAAATTTCCTAAGTCGGTTGTAATCAGGTACCGTTTACATCGTGTTACAATGACGATTACAAACCATGTTGTAAGATTGATGGCGGGGTTTCAAGCGGTTGCAATACGCATGCAAGATGATTGATATTTGTCTCGATTCTCGAATTCCCCCCCTCGCAGCATTTTGAGTGTTCTCTCCTATTCTTTCCATCCAAATCTCTCCCAGCACACAAACCATCCACAAAATGGGCCCTGAGAGGACAAGATATTGCGACTTGTGTCAACAGGACATCAAACCTCGTGGCTACACCACCCACCGCAAGGCTTGCGAGAAGAAAGCCGAAAAACAACGGCAGAATCAACATTTCGTTGATTCTATTCGAAGAGACACAGGTACGCACAATTTCTCGTTGTTTACAACGTCTAATTTTGCTAGCGGGTCCTTCGAATCTGCAACGGACGATGGGAGATCACATTGATACAGTGTCGAGACAGGGAGGTAAGTGCCTGTTAGTCTGATTTTAAATTGATACATTCAAGTTGAAACAGGGCAATGCAATACCTCACCTGCAGGTACTTGGAATGATCTGGATGGTGCGGAATACCAAGGTGAGCTCAAATTATGTGCTTTTACATTCATTATCGAAACTTTACTAGATCTTCCCTCGTTTCTCGATGCCGATGTCCCTGAACGCGTGGAACCCATGTTCCAGGTCGATGACATCAAGCTCGAGCACCATCCTAGCAGCGGGATCACACCAGAAGTACACGGCTTCAACGATTTCAAACGCCGTCCACCAACGTCTTCTGCCCCACCTCATAAACGTCCCTGGGCTCCATTTAAGTCACGCTTGGAGTTCGAGATAGCCGAACTTGCTCTGGAGGCCTGTCTCAACAATGATCAAACTGATCGTCTCATTACGTTGTGTAACAGGTGCGCTTCTCAATCGGAAAAATTTACGTTCAAGAACCACAAAGACATCCGCGAAAGGTGGGAAGCCGTCTCCCATCGCACTACTGGGGTTTTTTTCCTTCGTTCATTCTGATATTCATTGTCTAACAACTAAGTTTAGTTTACTCATGATGTAATATCTGTACCATACGATGATTCAATTCGACAATTCGAGCTATACTACCGGGATCTCTGGGAGTGGGCGGCAGATCTTCTCCGTGATCCTCGCTTGTTCCCACACATGGTTTTTGATGCGCAGCGCTTCTCGAAATTTGATGGCAAGACCTTCGTACGTTTCATAGACGAACCTTTCACTGCCGAAACCTTTTGGAATGTTCAAGTAGGTACTTAATCTCACTGTCAATTTTGATCGCCTTACTTTGCTTTGTAGTCACAGCTACCACCGGGCGGCAAGCCCTTAGCTTTCATTTTGTATGCGGACAAGACAAGGTTGTCGTCATTTGGTACCGCAAGAGGGTATCCTGTTGTTGCACGTCTAGCAAATCTCCCCGCGAACATTCGTAACGGACAGGGTGTGGGTAGCGGCTATGTAGTTGGATGGCTTCCGATTGTATGACACAGTAATATTGATATATCTGCGGTTGGGACTTATACTCTGACGCAGGTGAAGGAGGACAGAGACCAAGCTGGCAAGCCCAGCTGGGTCAACTTCAAGAATGCCGTTTGGCATGAATCATTCTCAAAGATCCTATCTTCGCTCGCATCAAAGTCTCATACTGGACAGTGGTTTGATTGCCCTGACAACGTTCCGCGGTGGTTCTTTCCTATTATCCTAATTTTATCTGCAGACTACGAGGAACAGTGAGTAATATCACACTTCGATGTTAATCTGAATCGCTAATGAATATCATTAACTATTTAAGATGTATTATGTCGCTAATCCGAGGGATAAAATGCCTTTGGCCATGTCCAGTGTGTCTCGTTCCCCACGACGAGCTTTTGAATACATTAAAGTGTTATCCTCCTCGAACGGCTACCCAGTCGCAGGAAGTGGTGAAGGCTGCACGAGCTGAGGCGACTGCTGAGGAGAAAGAGGAGAAACTGAAAGAGTATGGCCTTCGTGACATCATGGTAATGTTTTCTCTGTTGTAAGTTCGTTCTAACTAATCAAAGCTACAGAATGCCTTTGCGGCCATGATGCATACTGATGTACATGATGCGTTGTCATGGGACCGACTCCACTTCAATGGTGGTCTGTATCGTGACCACCTCTGGGCCGAACTTCAGAAAATCGTTGTCGGTTTGGGACGAGTGAAAGTAGCACAAATGGACAAAAAGTCAGTTTGTGACTCAAGCGCTGTAACATTGTTTTGAATTGACCCATTTAACTACTAGCTACGAAGCATTCCCGCGCTGGCGAAACTTGAAGCACTTAGCTCACGTTATGAGCATCTCTTTCGCTGATGGCAGTGTCTACGAGGACATATCAAAGGTGTGTTTTTGATTTAAACTATTACTTCATTGCCATTGACACTCTTTCAGATGGTGGTATATGCTGCGCACGCGATTTTGACGGAGGACGACAGTCCACTCGGCTATCTCCTACTCCGTTGCATTCGGCACTTTCTCGAAGTTGACGCATATGCGGCGCTTGAAGTTCACACCACTGAGACTATCAGTGCCGGCCGACATGCAGTGCAGGCATTCTCGACTTATCTTCAGGTGTGTCTACCTCAGTTCACTCAGACAATTATCCACTGATTAAGCCTATGATAGCAATATATAGAGAAAAGCGCTGATGAGAGCGACAAAAACTGGAACTTCCCCAAACTGCACATGAGTGTGCACATTTTTGACAATATCGAAGCAAAAGGTGCGACACGTAACTACAATACAAAGCCGAATGAAAGGATGCATGGGTCGCTGAAAGACTCGTACTTATTGCGCACTAATTTCAGGGATGTGGCGCCTCAGGTGACGTTCTTTTCACTCTAACTATCATTTTGATACCAATTTCATTGCAGATACTCCGCATAAACCATTGGCAAGTGGTTGCGGAGAGCATTCGCCGCCACATATCAGACCTAGACGAGTATGAGTCCGGAGGCAGCGAAGATTCGGGTGACCTGGAGGATTTAGGAGATGTGGATGATCTGGTCTCGCCGGATGCAAATGCGCCTCATGTAAGACTTGGGTCGAGGCAAGCTGCGCAGACCTTTGAGTTGATCGAGGATGCTCATAAGGAGGATGCCGCGTTCACTAATTTTCGGGTCAAGCTCAATAATTTCTTGACTGACTTTCTTCAAGTTATTCGGCTCCCTTTACCAGGTGGAAAGCGGGTACAATTCAAAGCAAGTGATAAGGTTGGTCATGTTCAGTTCGGCTCTATGTTTCGCTACACTAATATCGTTAAACAGATCACTGAGTGCCGTTTTTTGAAGGTTAACTACGAGTCCTTGGTGGATTGGCGACTACACACCGACTACCTTAGATGCAGTCCCAAGTTTTTCAATGCTGCGCGTTTTGATTGTGTTTTCATTCAGACAGAAGCCAAAGTGATATTTGGTCGCCTTCTCTTTCTGTTTGAATGTATAGTTGGGGATATCACGCTCTCTCTAGCTCTAATCCATCCTTTTGACGCTCCCACTGGTGTACGGCTCCGAAAGGACAAACACCTCAATATCTATCGTGTTCGAGCAAGACCCCGAGCGCAAGCCGAGTTTTTCTCAGTGAGGTCAATCATTCGCGGAGCTCTCCTTGTGCCGGATGGCAGTACCGATTACCTTGTCGTCGACACTGTCGACTCTGACATGTTCATTCGTGTAAAGGAGCTACATCTTGCAGCAGGGCATCCAATACGCATTTGATTGTATCCCTTCAAGTCGGCTTCCTCTCTCTATGCCTGGTAAGCCTCTCATTTTCTTCGCTCGTTGTCTCACTAATGGTCTAATTATACTAGGCTATCTTCATGCAGTAAGTCGTCGATTTTGTTGCAGCCCTTGGCTGCCCCTCAACTGTTCTGAAGGCCTTGCAGTACCGACAGAGTATGACCGCAACGACAAAGAACCTATTAGCGGCAGCCGCTCCCGGTGCTTCTGAGCAAGGTTTCCATCCTGTGCAAGGTCAACAACAGTTTGCTGGTCCCCAGAACAATCGAATCGGCCAGAACTTGGCTCAAGCCAAACCTATGGGCGGCATGGCGCCACCTGCGTCACCAGCTATGGGTGGTCCCATGAAAGATCAGAAGGATGTCAAACCCATCATGATCAATAACCCTTCAGGTATACCAGAAGGGTCACCTCACAACGCTCCTGCTGCTCCAGGCCACCCGACTCCCAATACCATCAACTCAAGTATCATGCAGTCTCCTGCTCCGAACGGGACACCTTCAGTACCTCCGGCTTCGAATCCCCCGGGCGTTGGCAACCACAACAGATTCAGCAGCAATTCGGTCTTACCTCCACCCAGCGTGTCCCTCCCTCTGCCCCGTCTTTTCATGACCCTCAGTCCAACCCTCCTATCATACCACCCAACTTCCCCTCCATGCCTATGAATACCCCACAAATGAAACCGGGCAATTCGATCCCAGTCTATCTGATCTACCAACTCACCTCATACAGACTTCGTGCAATCTATGACAGCAGCATTGGAACAGCGTGTTTCAGATGTCGCGTTGTTTGTGACCTCTGTTATAATGTTTTTTACGTCTTGATCTGACCTTGCTTGTCATAGACCTCTAACGCCGCCATGAATGCTGCAATTGCTTTAACTCCAATAGGTTCCTTGGCATTGACGTGCCGATGTGTGAGAGAGAATGACTAGGGTAGGTCGCTCTTCCATCAACATGTGGCCTTCAGTCGTGTTTTTGTTTACGTGCCTCTCATTAGTTCACTGGTATTATTACGCGCAAGACTGAATCAATGTCGTCACTCGCAGTAATGTTACGTCTAGTATACACGAGGTAAGCAGTACATCTCATCCTATATATTAGGGTGACATTCACACTGTTTTCTCCGTCACCTTACCATCGAGCATCTAGAACATGTCTCATCTCTCAGCGCGGGTGTCAGATGATGATTCAGATAGCGACTGGGACGAAGGCAATACGGACCAGGTCTCGAATAACATCCCAGGGCCTAATGCCTCCAAGGGAGAGTTAATGGAAGTATGTAGCCACCGTCTTCATCGCATAACGCTGTCTAACGTACACTCTCCTCAATACAGGCACTCAAAGCGCTGCAGCTTGAGGTTCAGCAGCTGCGTGCAGACAATCGTGCCCTTAAGGAGAAAAATAAGGTTCTGGTTTCCGAGAAGCCTAAACGGAAACGGCGTGTAGAAGCACCGGATGCCCTCGTCGCCCATGAGCAAACTATCTCGTTGTATGCCCGCAAATATGGCATGACAGTGGAGATGTTCCCAGACAGCGAGCTTCTCATCAAGAAGCGCCCCGATTCACCTACACCTTTTAATAGTGCTGATCGTTACAAGACGTCGGCAACTCAAGAGTCTGCTTTCTTAGATGAACTCTATGCACATTTCCCTGAACGCATCCATGAAACGGTAATGGGTAGCGAGTACTTCAAAGACCTCGTATGTCAATTTTGCTTTTCATTCTAGCCACTACCTAATGTATTTGGTTGTTACAGGTAAATAAGTGCATCGCCGATGCTCGTTCTAACGAAATCAAGAAATTGCGTGGCGTTGCTGGAGACATATTCGAGCTTCCGGGAAAATACTTTGCCAATGCCAGTTATGACAGAGCTGCGATTGTCGACATTCAGAAGATGTTTGGAGTTTCCGGCAAGACTCAGACTTACAAGATTTTTCCGCCTCTCTTGTTCCCAAGTCTCCAAGAAGACACAACCCTCAAGACCGTTTTCGGCAACTGGACACTTTTTGCAAAGGTGCGCTATCATTCTCTCATAATTGTCCTGCTGCTCACTAGTACTCTACTGATACTGGCATATCTAGATCCTGAGGGCCTCACTCTATGGCGTCACCTCGCTTCATCAAGAGCCTTGTGGTGGATCGAAGACTAACGCTCGGAAGTGGAGTTTGCAACAAGTCACACCAGGGTCCATTGCATGGGCTGCGGTTATTGTAAGTCATTTTGATGACATTGAATCGTTCTACTACTCATACACTACTGCAACACAGGTCATTTTTCTGCTCTCGCCAGACACAGAGTTTCCAGGTTCGGGAGTTGGCAAGTCGTCAACTATCAACTACAAGGACCTCTTCTTTCAATACAAGAAGTTGCTAATTACGAAGTGGGAGACAAAACGTATCAAAACCATCGTGACTAACATCAATCGCTACGTTTTCGGTGCTGCAAAGTTGTCTACATCGATGGATCCTGCTGGTGCCGAAGATTTTTCAGAGGAGATCAACCGCGCCATGCTAGCACTTGACATGGACACTGATAGCGAAGAAGACACTCCAGTGACTCCACCGGTCTTGTCGGCACTCTCAGTATTACCCTCGGCAATATCAGCCTTACCAGCTCCTTCATTGGCGCCTGGACCTGAAGGTTCAAATCTCGTCACTCAGCCAGTCACACATCCAGACGAATCAGTATCTAGGGCTGTCATTCGCGCTAATGATTCGAATACAAGTGTCAATGCAGTAGCTAACAATGCAGATGAAGCTGATGATGATAGGACGGAATCGGGTGGAGGACAAGCAAAGGCCAAGAATACTAGGGGGAGGAAGGTTGTAGCGACGCAGGGTCCTACTCGTCGTGGACGTTCTCGTAAAGTCTAAGTGATATAATACATGATAGCTAGCTAATACCCTTGCTGTTCTCTGTCAAATCACTCAGCGTCAATACACATCTTGTCATTCTGCAGCTCAAAAGAGCGGGTGGACTGATCTTGGAGCTGTTCGGACTGCTAACCATTCCTAGTCTCAATGGCAAACAAAATTGTCGCCAAACAAGAGTCTTCGCAATAGAAGGTTTGTGCGGGTAGTGTGGCGTGCCGCCTGACACACACACGAGGCCTTGCCACCAGAGGCGAGCCATGACAGTGCAAGATATTGGTGAAACAATAAGGCTAGTCTCCATGAACCATTTCGCGGTTGCTGCATGGATACAAATAGAGTCAGCCTTAAGTGCAATAGGATTGATGTGGATACCTCACCCTGGACAATACGTTCAGCTGATTCCTTTTCGCAAGTGGACCCAGGCGACCCTTCTCCTGTGAGACCAACTCTGGGACCTTGGCGCAGATTGCATCCAGATAACAGAGCGCTGTCTGTAGAACGCTGCCTGACGTGCGAGAACAACGAAGAACCTCGTGAACAAACCCTTTCATGGGCATAACGTTGCAATGCGGGGGCTGATTGCTCGAACCAAACGTCAGGGGGGTGGGCATGGGAGATGGTTGTGTCTGAATCATCAGAGATTGTAATATAGCCAGGAGAGGGGAGCTGAGTAAAGTTTGAACGTACCAACTAAACCAGATACATATTTTGATTTCTGGGAGTCGTCCGCCGACATTCTTGGGGATAAAATTGAGGAATCCGAGTCACAGATTATCCTACAGCTGCTTGATCTGAATCGCGGGTAAGTGATGCTTACATAACAATCATTTATTATTCATTGTAAAGTTTTCACACCGGTTTACATCTCTTACAACAACCACATTGTCAGTGTGACTGTAACGTCGCTTAGACTTAGACTTGTCGTCGCTCTGCTCGGACTTTCCGTCGATTCCTCTCTTGACTGAATCCCTCTTCCCCTCCATTAATAACCTCCACACAAGTCAATGTTACCAGTGATTTGACGTCGAGCACATGGCAAACGGTGTGCAGTCTTTTTTTGGGGCGACAATTATTGAAAAGTTCTCATTGTCTAGTGACCTTATGCCTTTCGTTGGTCAATGGTACAGACATTCTGAACCATCCATTGACAGTGTGTCCAACGAATAATCGCAGTTACAGGTCAGTCTTTTTATTATATTGATACTTGATACTTTTCGCTAATGTTTTAATGCCAACCCAGACTGCACCGTCGTGGCCCAATTCCCAATGGTGTCCGCGCTACTACTGGTATGTAGAATATCTAATTTGGTGTGCTGAAGCTTATTACTGTCAAGGTCTTCTCACATCGCACAGCGACCACCAAACCGTTACCCTTCCCATGCCACACCCCACCCACACGCAAGGCGCCACTCCCTAGACCACTGCCAAATGCCTGCGGGATACCCATAGCGCCCAACCAGCATGCCACCTCTCGGTTCCACCCAAGCGCCCTTTACCCATGTCAGGCCCCATCATCGATCGCCATTTGGCAGCGGCTAGCACACTTTGCTTGGTGGTCTCTTGTTCGTCACCAAATATCTCCCGCACAAGGGCAGGGTTGGACCGGATGATGTATGGCGACCTATTAGATGAAGGGAGAAGGTTAGTGAGAGGTATCGGCAGCAACAGAAGGATCCAGAAATGATGGACAAGCGCCCCATTCATTCAAGGGAAAGATGCAGGGTATATTAGGGAGTGGGGGATTTGGCTTCAGAGGGTTTCCATTGAGTATCCGCTCATACTTGTCTTGTAATTATGGTAGAATATGACAATTCAAGATCTCTATTAAAATATCAAAACCAAGATTTCAGGTCTTCATTTCGCATTACAAGCTGCTACTTGACATTGCAATCGATTTCAACGCCATGCGGCTTTCCAGCCAAATCACTCATTACAATGACTAAGATTGATTGCCACGTGTTGCAACGGCAATTGCCATCGTAATTGCAACCGTCGTTACAGTGTGATTGCAATCGTGACTCTATTATTGAAAGGACTTTCAATCTACGCTCGGTCTTTGAATATTGAAATGCGTGACAAGGCACTTAAACCCAAATTAGGAATTTGCGACAATGTTAACAATATTAATTGTTACTCACAAAGCTGAGTTGCCAAAACACCATAGAGGCCCCAATTAAACTGATACCCTAGTACCTACAAGTTCATGAGGCTTGATAACCTTCAAGTCACCCGAATAAGCTCACCAAAGGACCTGTTCTATAATCTGTGAGTAGAAAAGTTAGTACATGAGAGAAGGATTCGCACTACTTACAGTTGTATTACAGCGTCTGCCATGATTGTGCTGACTCGGACTCCGAAGTAAGTGTTGGCAAGTGCGAGTCCACAATTTATATTGCCAAGGAAGCCAGCCAATTGACGAGATTGGTAATGGGAACTGCCGCCTCGGCGTCGACTCGGAGCTTCCAGCAGTATCCCACTGGATTTTCAATATGCCGAGTCTGTAGACCTATCTCAGATCTCAACTTGGAAGTAAGCTCAGTTTAAGCGTCCAAGCACAGGCTGCACAGCTATATAATCAACTTACGTTCAGAATCATTGCTCACGTCTACTTTTTGTCATACCATCCCCTACCGTGTCACTTCGTGAATCGTCAAGTGGTCAAAACCTCGTGTCTTCAACGTGTCTTGATACCCTTTTTGTCAAGATTCTTCCGACATTGCGTGGTAAACCAAGAGTTGCGACGTGGTCTAAATATAGTCACGACTGGAAGTAGGCGCTTAAGCGACCATGTGCCATTCCGATCACTCGATAGCTAGTGGCAGTCTGCTAACCTCTCGGTTAACGGGTGAACTCAACCTGGCCCTGCCGGCTTGGGTGTTGGGTGCACGTTAATATATTGATCCAAGGACCAATGGTAACAAGGAGGCGGTCGAGATAACACAGCCCTGACCATTACTAGAACAACAATAAGAATACACACATGTGTAGTTCTCTATTCGTCATCAGATCGCAGACGCATGCTATTTATGTAAGTCCGCATGTGCAGCATGATGCATTGATGCATTGATGTACAGATACCATATGATGAGATGTTAACGTCGGAATAACAAATTTGAATAACAAATTTATACTAGTGTTATCGGTTACATAATAAGCTCAAGCAAGTTCTACACCATTAAAATATTCAACTACCTCACCACATATCATTGTCTTGACCACTCCTAGCTGTCTGCGGGGGAGTATTTCTGGAACAGCTTAGGATGTGGATGGGAAAAAAAACTCGGTAATGGTGCAGGAATGCCGTGCACAGCATCTGGATTGTCCGCGCGCCGCGCGCCCCAAGTCATCAGGTCAGGTCTCATGCCATGTCATCCAACAAAGGCTACTGTCGTACTGCAATTCTGATTTTATATCGCCAGGCCCAAACACGAAACACTCTGACCGGTGACGCATTTCCTATTTGAGCAGGTCGAAACAAAGTAAGCATATCATATCATTAAGATGCGCATCAGCTTCCGAGTCGTCTGATCAATGCTGTACTTGAGTTAACAAATAAGAAGTATACCCGCACTAATTTCCTAATTCCCACTCAGCGGAGTACTCCTCGAAGTCATGTCCACACAGACGCAGTTATGGGCCCACTTTTCATCTAAGGAATTGGCTTTGGTATCATTCACCCTTGTGCTATACGACCACGCTATCACGTTCGCTGAAGAGGTAAATATCCTTGCATTCATAAATCTGACTCGTCTTTCGAGTTGCCGTTATCATTTCAGATAAATTTCTTCTGGTCTGGGCCATGGTCAGCTTCGAGGATACTATATCTCAGTGTAATGCCGTAAACAGATTTTATTTTATTTCCTGTGATTGATCGTAGGTTCACAGATCCGATACCTCGCTGTGACACAAGTGTTGTGCGTTTTTGACTCCGTCTCGTAAGGCTGCACCTGTTGACGAAATCGATTTTATAGCTTGGTCCTTTTTGGTCCGTCAGCTTGAGTATTCCTTGTACTGGCTCTGGAAACTGATATCCGAATAGCAGATAGCAAGAACCTCAGTTCTCTTGTAGGTATTTTTAGATTGCGCATATCGTCGTTGGGGACTTACATACAACTTTCCACAGGCGTGAGTTGGTACAGCTGACAGGGTCCCAGCAAAACTAGCTCACATTAAATACTAGCGCTGGCCAGCTTTTTCTGGTGGTTTACCTCCTTGCATTCGTGGTCATGGTGCTCTGCCAATGTTTGTCTTACATTTTCTCATCGATCCAATTGCCTTTTTAAAAATTCATTATTTATCGTCCTTTGGGTCGAAGACCCTATGTCGGACATAGCCCTTCTCACCGCGGCTTACTCCCGCTTAACTATCGTATCCAATTGCCTTTACTAACGGCGAGTCTACAGGTGTCGTAACACTGCGAGTATGGCATCTATTCCATCGGAAGCGCTTGGTTAGATGGTTTGCGGCCGTCGTGTTCATCGGCTCCATGATAGGAACTGCAATTGTCGGTGGCGCCTGTTTTAGAGCCGTCAAGAGTGCTTACGAGATCACCAACTCGTCCGCGAATTCGAACAGTCCTCCAGTGCTATTCACAATCTACTTGCCATCCTTGATCGTTCATACGGTCATGTTCTCATTAACCATGTATCGCTTTAGAGTCAGTTCAGGAACTTTGCAAGAACATGGGGTTATCCACCGGTTCTTAAAAGAGTAGGCTCCTTTGTCGGTCGCAAACTAGTCACTAATGTTTGGTCAGAGGGATATTTATGTATGCTTTTGCTGCCGGTGCGTACACCTCGATTATTCTTATATGTCAGATTCTGAAGCAAATGATAGGAACGCTGCTGTACGAAATCATCAGCCTTTCTATGACTGAACTAGATCACATATCTGTAAGGTTTTACTATGACCATAGCTGCCAACGACAATTTGAAATTCGGTTCCAGGTCTACTATCCAGCCCTTGGGGGAGGGTAAGGTCATACCAACCTTGCTGTTCACTGAAAGCTCATGGGAAATATTTCCAGATTGGCAGTAGGGACCACGGTCGTCTCCGTCTGTCGCGCGATGCTGAGCATTCGTTCATTGGCTGCAACTCACCATGTCGATCCTGCATGGTTGCTTAACCACGCAGAACTCAGCCGTGTTCAATGGAGGAGAGGAACCAGTGAAGGGGAAATCTATGTCGAAGTTGATGAGATGGACGTTTTCCCTCCGAGTCTTTGACTTCTGCAGGGAATATAGGGGCAAAGGCGATATGAAAACACGAATCTAATCCATATGCTATTTCTTGATCTAACATACAAAAAAAGACCTTAGGTCGCCACAAATTCGTGCCACACTCAATACATTACTTAATGTCTATTATATCTCGTTCTGTAAGCCAGTTGGCGCGAGTGAGGTGAGAAGACAAGGATGTGATATTGAATGAGGCAAGAGGATGAATCGGGCGAATCGCTCGAGGGCAGCAACGGAAACTTTGGAGAAACAAAAATAGGTGTTAGGTTACTAACTGTGCTTACTAAGTACAAGAGCCGCGGCCTGTGGGGCTTTGGATGCCAGGCCAAGAACGTTGGCCTGGCTTGGCCTGGCCTATTCTGGCCTGGCTTGGCTTGGCCCACGGCCTGAAGCCGGGCCATGCACGTCACTACGGGGGCAGATTGCTGAGGATCTGAAGCAGTGCACTGTCACTCGATCGCACTCTCATTCACCCAAGTAATCGTAGGAATGATTGCATCGCACAGAAAGAAGACCAGTGATTGGTGCAAGTGTGGGCGGGCAGCTAGTGCCAGCAGTGGTATTCAGAATATTGGTTTAAACAAACATAACGAGCACGTATAGTAAACCACTTATTATAACCAAATACTACGACGAAAATTTTACCCAGAGTATGACTCCTTGAAACCTCTTTCGGAACACCAAATAACTTAGATCAATACCATCACGAAAGCAGGAATAAATTCCCCTGCTCTTTGTAGAGAACCAGTCAGCTGTCAACTTCACCAAGCATTACACACTACTGCTGGTTGATATATGCACACGCTCCTGGAAAGCCATTGAGATCATATCAGTCGCCGTGTTGGAATCAACCGCGAGCTTAGCATGATATTCTCGGATGCTAAGGATCAGGCGTGGTCCCAGCACAGACCTCTGCACGACCATAAAAATATCAAGCAAGCCATAAAAAATCTGATCTTCCAAGGGATTCTATGAGAATGATGAACCATGGTTGCATGCAGAGAGGTCAGTGAAAGATTGACATACCGTTAAGAGTGTCGGAAACAAATCGAGAATAACGAGGAGGCAAGAAGCAGCAACAAAACTAGCATATCCGACCCTTCAGTGGAAAAAAGGAACCATGATTATAATCCGAACCTACCTCGCAAGATAAATCACCTGAGTTTTTATCAACACCGTGAAAGAGTCCCTGATGATCCCTCTTGCATTTCCGAGTCGCAACTCACGGAAGTGTTTTACAGCAATCCAGATTGCGAGACATAGTGCAAGAACCTCCCATACGAGGCTGACTATCCAATCAATGGAAACCAGAAGTGTGACATCTTTCGCAAAGCCATACGAGCACTGATGATTGCCGAAGATGATGAGTTCCTCTGGTATTCATTAATGAGCCCCGTTTTAGTTTCATCCACAATTAGGCGTACCTCCTGAACTATACACTGCTGCTAGTACGATTGTCACTCCGGTGAAAATGTAGACAGCCAGGAAGGTAACAACGAGAAAGATCAGAATTCTTCTGGATCGTTGATACATGGCATATAACCGAGTGACGATGATGACTTGCAGTATGTTTCAATCAAGTCAATATCACTGAGGTCTCGCAAGTGCCAAGCTCACCGCACAACATCGCTAACGCCAAAGCACTCCCCGAACTCCGTACGACGTATATAAGAGAGCCTGACGAATCCAGTCAGTGACCAGCCTCGGGCAGTACACACTCCAAACAGACTCACATCTGTGGCCGTATAGCGTGGCAGTCATTAGTGACTCACCAGGAAGTTAGTAAAGAACCACACCCACTCCTACAGTGCACCACAGTTAATTAGAGGGGAATAGTAGGCATCTGTGCACAAGACTCACTGTATCTGTTAGCGGGATGGTCTGAACACTGTCTGTATGTCGTTGGTCAGACGACCCGAAGATAGTGAATGTACTAAGGAGACATACTCAGTACGGCCGGGCTGATTATGAGACAGACCATTAGCACAACATCGATTATTTAGCCTTCCGAACATACGCAGCCCAAAATATTAGTCCAATGTAGCGCGCCTAGGATACTTTTGAGTCAGCACAATATGATGTCTGCAACAAACAACCTGCTACATACACCGAGATACATAATTGTCATGAGAGACCAGGGTTGCCTCTGTAATTAAGTGTATTTGGATTTTCATCGTTGTTTCTCTGACATAGACTCTACTCACCCAGACCAATTCAATCTTCAAAAGCATTCTTAGCGAGATGGCTGCTCCAGTCGTAGCATTGACGTACCTCTTGTCCGAGTGTAAGTGCTGAAAACACTTGTAAGATATTAACAGTCCTTTAATATGGCCATGCTAACCCCAATCATACGTCGCCCCCATCAAGGAGGCAACTGTGAAACCGCAGCCAAGGTTAGATTAAGATAGCAGCTTCAACATCTGATTGCTCTCCGCGAACCTGCAAAATAGCTATAAACACGTTCTGCGTTGACGAACGGCAACAAAGCGGGATCATTCGAGACTATGGTCATATTGGTAGAGAATGAGTGTGGGTGAAACGCTGACTTGGTGAATGTACGACGATAGCATTCGTGCCGGTTATATAACCATCACAGCTTGGATCGCTGAAACATTGAAGGTTGATACCGTTACTGCTTTGATCTGCCAATATATATATTTTTGGATGTTGGCGGTGAAACACTTGCACAAGCGAGACACTACTTGAACAGCATCAAAAAACTGCCAGTGCTCTTGCAGCCTTGCTCGTAATTTGTGCTACACGTGTGCATAAGTCCATCAATGCAAGCCAGTAATACTTCATCTATCTGACACATACCGATCATGGTGCGACCGTCAAGAAGCCTGTCGTATCTTCTCCCTTCATCTCACCAGCACAGCCTCGGTGAGCATAACAACTTATCCAAAGTCACTCAACAAATTGCGTCGACATGATGCCAGATCTGAATAGTCAACCATCAAAGATAGGGGAGATCCACATGAAGCAAACAAACTTGTATCCTACCCAGGCTATCGAAACCTCCCTATGAGCACTACTGCAATATCAAACATACCATGTAATTCTTTGATTTCTTGTCAGTTTTATACCTACCGAGCCGGAGTTTACAGTTGTCAAACTGAACGATGCCCTGAAAAAGCAGACTAGGCTAAACTCAAATGTTGCTGCTGGCTCGTAATAACACATACCGAAAACCAATTTCATCGGAGACGTATTTGCGCTCTTGGAAATTCATGCGGATGCCGAGTAGGTGTTACAGGCACTTCGGTGTTCCTATTTTGAGATGTCATCACCGTCAGATTACTTTTAAACACAAAATTCTCATGGCAGCCGCAGCCTTCCGATCGAAGTGTATGTGATTAAGTGGCTGCAACCTCGCACGTAAAGAGACAAGAAAACATGTACGTGATGAGTCCACGGGACATTATACTTCCAACCAGCTCGATCCGAGACTCAGGACCATGCAGCTTTGATCAAATCCGCTGCTCTTTCAGCCATGGCATAAACACATGCTTGAGGATGGGCAGCCGGTATATACGGCTGAACAGATGTCAGTAATATTGATCACGTAATGCCAAGCTGCGACTCACTAAAACAGATGCGTCTACGATTCGCAATCCAGAAGACCCTTTGACAAGTAAATCTGGGTTGACCACACCATCCTGGTTAGAGTAGGACGTCATTCGAGCGGTTCCAACTGGATGGAAAACCGTAGATGTTGAGCTCCGAGCATACTCTGCTAAGTCTTCGTCTATAGTGGAATTGAGAGCACCAAGAGCTTGGATAATGTAACCTTTCCATGCGGGCGCCTCGACGAATCGCTTGGCAGATTTAATGGCTTCCACCATTACATAAATGTCGAATGGGCTTTCCAGCAATGCAGGATTGATGATTGGATTGTCAAAAGGATCGCTCGACGCCAATGTCACCGAACCACCTTGAGATCAATCAGTGACTGAGCACGCGATACGCGCAAAATTGCGCACGAGATAGTGGAGAAGCTATGTTTGTCACAACAGACATAAAAAACCCTGTCGCTGGGGTACTTTCAACGAATGACACGAATCCGTTCTATAACGCACGTCATCAGATTACACGAAAGAAATGAACAAGGGAGACTTACGACGGGCAGAAGTTCGTAGTGAGCAGATGCCGGGCCAGCAGATGGGTCAGGATACTGTTGGAAGATACTTGAGTTTGATGGAAGCCGCTTCCAGCCAATTTGGTTGGCACCGGGGTCTGACAAAAGGCCTGTGCCAGTCGCATTCCATTGTGCGAGTAGATCAGCAGTCAGAGTGGCATTTCGACCAACTTTTTCGAATGTGGAAGTGGAATTGACGAGCCAGTGATTGGCCAAGAAAGGATGGTCAGAAAGATTCTTGCCAACGTCTTCAAGATTAAGAATGGTAGTGATATTCAACGACGCAAGCAACGCCGAGTCGCCAACACCGCTCAGCTGTAAAAGCTGGGGTGTATTGATCGTTCCGCCGGATAGAATGACTTCTTTGGTTGCGTTGAACAACAACCGTGGACCTTACGAGGGCATGTGAGCTGAGAAAACCGGGACGCAAAAATGCTAGAGTCACCTGTTGCAGTTTGAGCCACCTCTACTTGGCCGAATTTCGGAACGCCATTTTCCTGCGAAACCGCTACAAGTTTCGTGACGCGAGTTTGGATGAGGACATCCAGGTTGTCTCTTTCCATCGCAGGTGTCAAATATGCTGTAGCTGAGCTGCTCCGAAAACCTTTCGAGCTCACGGAGTTCTGCGCCCATCCTAAGAATAATGAGCGGTTGTTCCTGGTGTTACTAGTATTGCCTGACCAAGTCCCAGAGGATAGCCTGAATTCATGTCTACGTTGTAAGGGAACTCGCAGTTCAATTCTCTCGTTGTGTCAATAACACGCCGATCCATGCCACTGACGAAGCCACCCAGGCTTACTTGCACTGGCCCCTTCTTACCATGTATAGATGGATCCACCTCTCCGAATACAGAACGATTGTCCGTAGGAGGGACCAAATGTTCGCTCTACCAGCCAGTTAGAATTGAGCCAGGTCAGCAAGATGGGGGTATTTACTTTCTTCATGTAATGAAACATTTCATCCCACGACCAACCGGGATCACAGGTCACATCTGCGAATCGATTATAATCATCTATCGAGCCTCTGGTCCATATCTCAAAATCTGAAACCTTATTAGATCTTTCTTGTATTATAAGAATAGCGGACTTACTGATTGTACTTGAGCCCCCAAGGACATATCCTCTTGGATATGGTATAGACCTGTTATTGAGACCGATTTGGGGTGTGGTCGTGTAATTCCATGTAACAGCGGTGTTCGGGGAGAGAGAGGAACCCAAGAATGGTACTTCAGCGGCTAGAATGTTTTGGTTACTTGAAAAATATTAGTGAGTAAAAGACAACAAAATTAATTATCAAATAAACATACCTTGAACCAGCTTCTATCACGAGGACAGAAAAAGCAGGATTCTCTGATAGCCTAGCTGCAATGACACTGCCTGCTGTTCCCGCTGATATCATGATGAGCGGCGGAACGGGCGGAACAATTTAGCATCAAAACGAGTAAACAAAGAAAAACTGGTCACCTCCAACCACGACAAAGTCGTACTCCCTCGTTGGCAACTGGGTTGGATCAGTATACAGCGTCGCTGTAACAAAACCCTGGAATGCCAGTCCGGAAAGGAGCAGAAAGCGCAACATGTGATGTAGGTGATACCCGGGGTGTTTGAATCATGCGTCTTATAGGCCGATAGATCCATTGATGTGATGAGCCAGTGACCATACGGTGGATACCGACCTTGTGGGACACTACGGTTATAATGCTGGCGGGTCATCATTCCTGTTCCTCCTCAGGGCCCATCAATGGTCGCTGTCAGGCCTCAGTTTCGGACGTACGTTGATGTTGTTGAAATAAAGCCAGATTTGGTAGTTTAGTTATTTAACGAATATTATGACATGTAAACAACTTATCAGAGATTAAACCTTTGACAAATTAGGTAAGTATAATATTAGCACGCTGCATCCATGCATTGCCGCATGATGCAGATGCCATGACCGGTGACCCACTGGCAACGTTGTGTTGTGTACCCCATTTCACAAGCTCCATGACTAAAGGCCGCTCCCATTCCGGGGGCGGTGTTACTGTTTCCTTTTGTATAGCTGATCTCTTCGAGAAGGTGTGGTATGACAAATTATTTTTGCTTCGAAGCTGTGAATTGAAATACAATAGTACTAGTACCATACTAATACTGCCAGGGCTGTTCAATCGTTCAAAATTGCTCTGTGTCTCATACCCACCAGCAGTCAGCGCTAGTTTTTGACGGCTGGCAGGTGTACCTTTCATATCCCAGCCTCAACTAGACTCGTCGAGTAACTCGCAAATTCATGGCACAAGACAACGTCACGCCGGTAGATCCCTACTTGGTACAATTTGCACCAGACGACAAGGAAAATCCAAAGGTACCGCCGTCTATCTAAAACTTCGTCTTGCAAGCTCTAACAACTTTCGACAACCAACTTCAGAACTGGAGCAGACGGAAACGTTGGTACCTGACATATTTTGCGGGGTTATTGGGCTTTAATGCGTGAGTTCTTCCTCTTGAACGCTGCAACTCGACAAATGACATTAATGATGTAATTTAGCACGTTTGCTTCCTCGGCTCCTTCTGGCATTGCTACCCAACTTATGGCTCAGTTTAAGCTCTCTGAAGAGGTAGCTGCATTGACGATCTCAGTTTTTGTGGCGGGGTATTGTGTTGGTCCCCTTTTCTGGGGCCCACTATCGGAGCAGGTATACCAACTTTGCATTTCGGAACACCGTTTTGTTGACAAGTTATCAGTATGGCAGAAGGTTGATATTCCTTGTCACGTTTCCGGTATACGCTGTAAGTGGGGATCGCACTCTAAGCATTAAGACATTTGACACATACAACGCATCAGTGTTTCCAAGTTGGTTGTGCACTATCGAAGAACACGGCATCCATTATTATATTCCGTCTGCTCGGCGGTCTGTTCGCTGCCGCGCCGTTGACCAACAGCGGGTATGAGCTCAATTTGTTGATTCAACTTTTCTTGACCAATAGCCCTCAATAGAGCGCTGATATCAGACATGTATGTATAGATTAGCCCTCTCCTTGCTCTAGCTAAAAGTCTCGTAGCTGGGACGCAAAAACTCGAGGAAAAGCGTTGGCTCTATTTACTCTTGCACCTTTTGTTGGACCAGCCTTGTAAGCGGGCGCATCATTCACCTGATAAGAATGACTTACATGGAATTTTTTCCTAGTGGACCATTGGTTGGAGGCTACATTGCACAGTCTGGGACCCCATGGCCTTGGTTATTCTGGGTTCTCACCGCATTCGTAAGTCGCTTAACGAGGAACGAGCATATTCACCAACTTTCCATAGGCTACAGTGTGTTTTGTGTTCATCTACTTCACTCTACCGGAGACATATGCGTTAGTTGATACAATTGCCAATATATATCATGCTGACTTTGTACACTCAGTCCCATTGTCCTTCTGCATAAAGCGGAACAGCTTCGTTTGAAAACGGGGGATCACCGATATCATGCTCCTCTGGAGCTAGTCCAAGCAAAGCAGCTACACAAGCGACTTGAAGAGAGCCTCACCAGGCCTTTCAAAATTCTTATTTGTGAACCAATGCTCATCGCAGTCACCGCTTACATGAGTGTAAGCTCTCATCTCTTCCATCTACTTTGACTTGACTGTCGTGTAGTTCGTCTATGGATGTGTATACCTACTGTTCGAAGCATATCCTGTAGTGTTTACGGTGGGACACGGCTTTCAGCCAGGTATTTTGCTACGTTTAAGACTCAATTTGTGTTAATCTTTGCCTTAGGGGTGTTGGGGTTGACTTACTTACCTCTGGTCGCGGGTAGCATAACGGGCGTTTTTGGAGTGAGTCATGCATTTTTCGCTGTTCACCCTCATCTGACTTTCCTTAGTATCTCTTGATATTTCACCCTCAGTACGAGGCAGCGATGGATAAGCACAAAGCAGGACTGGTTTCTCCAGAGATACGTCTTAATCTGGCTATGTCTGGGGCGCCCCTATTCGCCATCACCTTCTTTTGGTTTGGGTAAAGCCCAATTGTTACCCAAATGGTCTTGTAAACTCACATTTCTTTGTAGATGGACATCTTATCCATCCATTTCATACTGGGCACCAATGATGGCAGGTGCTTTAATGGGACTCTCCTCAATTTGGATCTTTGTAAGAACTTTTTTTCATATCAATTTTCATACCTTAATGAGTCGATTGCGCTTTCTAGCTTGCATTATTCAACTATATCATCGGTACGATGAGAACTCTTTCTTTCCTCATCTACTCAGTTTTGTATAGACGTTTATCTTATTGCCGCTGCATCTGCCCTTGCTGCGAACACTGTTTTTAGAAGTGCTGCAGGCGCAGTGTTTCCTGTACGTCTCCTCTTTTGTTACACTGGCAGTTGGTACATGATTCTCTTGCAGTTATTTGCGTCGCAGATGTACACTGCCCTTGATCCACGATGGGCTTCAACTTTACTTGGCTGTATTGCCTGCTTGATGATTCCCATCCCTATTGTGCTGAAACGGTTTGCATCTGATTTTTCTTTGGAAAATCTGGTGATTAATTATCTTTTGAACACAGCTATGGTCCGATATTACGCGCCAGGTCTCGGTTTGCACCTGCGCTTGTTTAATATGAATGCACCGATTTTGCTCCCAAAGACGTTTCCATAGTGTTGTCGATGAAGTTTTTAATTTGATCAGTACATACGTTCCTAATGGACAGTCTAGCTGATAAGTAAGCTCTATTTTCTCTGTAAGAGTTTATTTCCCATGTGGCTTCTTTCGGTAGAATTATCCCACTTATACCTATTAGTAGAATAAAAGGACCTGTTAAGTTGAGCCGCGATGCTGTGAGTTAAATTTCCAAAACAACGTTCTGGGGAGCCCCTATATGGCGAATAGTTTATATCCGCTCTTTGAACGTGGCCGGCGGGAACGGAGGGCTGATGGGGGTACGAGGGCATTCGTGAATTGGGAGACGCGCAAGGACACCGGGGGTCCTGTATTGTTCTCCATGGAGTATATTCTTGACAGGGACAAAGTTACCTGGTCACTAGTACTTTGTTTGACTCCGTGACTTGACTCACTTTCAGCATGGGGATAGTCGCTGAAACCTTTGCCAATATACAGGGAAATCCGCGGTCCAATCTCTGAGCTCCCTGGTGATTTTTTCAAATTCATATCAGCACAGACTGTAGAACTGCGGCCGGCCACTCGTTTCCACCCAGGACTGGTGAGAAGCCTTACATATATACCATTACATGACAATATCTGGAGAGCATCTCCTTTCTATCTTCATCAGTGAAGGCAATACATAAAGGCCCTGCAATTGACGTAACGCACTCTAATGGACTCCTCGGTATAAGTGCTCTCCTTCTCGTCATCATGCCATCGGCTTCTGATGGTACCACGTTGATCGATGATATACTGACGATATACACACCGGAATGCAATCTTTGTTCGCTGAACATGAAGTCAATACGTGAAACGAGCAAGCAGGCTTCAAGAATAGCTTACCTGTGCAAAAAACGAAACGAAACACAAGAACGATGTCAGTCTGAACGCCGGAGTAAGCTTTGCATATATTTACTTCTGTTTTGACACATTCCCGTTTTCACTGGGTCTAACTTGAATGCATCATGATTCATGATCATATGGTCCGCCGCCGGGCCGTGCCACTTTCTTCAGTCTTTAATTATCTGAGTCAGAGGGTATGTCAAATGATTTCATCGCTACAATATTCGTACTAGCCTACTACCGTAGGAATACTCACACTTTTGTGTCTAGGTACTTTGCCACTCCGCTTTTTCAAGTGACCGTTGATCCGTTTAAGTTGGTCCGGCGGCGCCCTTGCAACCTGTCGCATAAAGTTTATGACGAGCTTTCACACTGGCTGTCATGCAGGGTGCATTTGGTAGCATGAATATGTCCTACCGAATGGCAGTATGGCGCTGACGCGCAGAACCTCCCAAAGATTTTGCGCTCTAGGGTCTTGAACTAGTCGGCTATCTTGCATATGGTACATCCCGGTCAATCAAGATGGGGGGCCAGATCGGTAGATCGGTCGACCGGTCAGGCCTAGGAATCAAATGTTTTGCCACAATCATGATGGCATTGGTGAGTCGCCATTAGCAACTTATCAGCCTAAAGAAGTGAACAGGCGTAGTTGTACAGCCCTGCTCGTAGCTACTACAATTACTTCGAGCTGCACCGCCGATGTTTTGTTCTTGAACCGTCGGTTAGCCACGATGCACACCAGCGCTTTCACACGAAGTGATACATTATTCGGCATACTTTTGACAATATTTCTGTTTGTCAAGTCAGATATCAAAACTACGTTAATTCCTATCGTAGGTCATTGATTCGTGGTGAAGTTGAGTACTGATCAATCCCACATCGTACCCTACTTGCAGACAATATTTAGTGTCAGTTCAGCTCCCCTTTGCACCCCACATCGCATTGTTCCAGTGGTTTGGTGGATATTTTTGCATCTCCTGCAGTTCGACACATCCAATCAAATACAAGATGTCGACGAAGATGCAAAAAACAAGCCCATTCGCCCATTGCCAGCCGGTCGAATCTCGCTGAGGCATGCCATCATTCTTCGCTGGGGCTTAGTCCCAGCTTGTTGGATCATATCCATCGTACACGGTGGTCCTGTGCTATTTTCTAGCGTGGCTCTCGTGCTGTTTACTATCTTATATAATGAATTACAAGCACACCGTCACTGGCTCACAAAGAACATTGTAACTGCTATAGGTTTTGCTTCGTTTGAAATAGGAGGAACGTTGATCGCAGGCGAGTGATTTATTTTCCGGTCTGATACATATTGACTGATGAATACTGAAGGCTGTGATGCGTCGCACATGGACGCTGCAGCATGTCTGTCTGTCGCGATAAGCACAGCGGTGTTTGCTACCACTATACATACCCAAGATTTCAAAGACGAGGAGGGAGACAGATTGACCGGCAGGATGACCTTACCGATCGTGTCACCGCGATTGGGTCGTGCCTCGATCTTACCACTTCTCGCATTTTGGTCGATTGCTGTCAGCTTCGTGTGGCAGTTGACTTGGGCTTACAGCATTCTGCTTCTATGCTTCTCTGTGCTGGTCGGCGTTCGGTTCTTATTATTGAGAAACAGAGCAGCGGACCAAACATCATTCCTTCTATACAACGTCAGTCCTAACTCATCCACGTATCGCCTCTGCGCTCAAATTTTTTCAGGTGTGGTTGTCGGCAGTGCACGTGTTGCCAGGCTATTGGCGATACCTCCAATATCAGGACCCTTTCCTCAAATAATGACATCCATGATTTCAATTATGAAACTTTCATTGACGACACTATGTAAAATATACTCTTTCCCGTCACTGTTTGGTTATATGCCGATGTCAGCTTATATAGTACGTACACTCCGAGCTATTCTCCTTAGCTTTATTGGCCCAGTTGTCCATTATTAGAATAGAATAGACCATGTTGTCTGGCGCCCAACTTTAGTTGGCTCATCATGTCTTGTTATAGTCGTCACCTCTCTGTCTATCATAATGTCCGTCCCCCCTAGCTACCCAGCATGACCACCCTGGAGGTCTTGTCGACCGTAAACGATTGCCTGTTCAATCAGCGCAGGCTGTAACATTAAAAGATAGCTGGCGGTAATTAAACAAGTGCATGTGTCCATCCCGTACTTACTGGTCTGTCAGCCTAGACTCGATATTCGCTCTCATGAGCTGTGCTGTCAACTCCAGTATCCAAAAAATCGCCGTAAATGGACATTACAATGCTCTTCCGGACTTCATACAGGCTCTAATTCGAAATTTTGGATGTCCAGACCGATGTACATTATTCATACACTACTCGATGAACTATTTGACTTGAGAATGAAGTTCACGTACTGTTCGAAGAGTTCTGGGGTTATGTGTGCTCGAGAAAAGCTTTCAGACAAAGGCTTCGTATCCTGTACGCTGAGTACACGATGCCTGCAGTGAGCTGCATTGGACAGCCATTGTTCGAAGAATGGCAGGAGATGCTTCGCCTTCAAGATCACTGTGCTATTTCGCACTGAGTCGAGCCATTTCTCGTTGGATACGAGAACTATAGAATTCCCTGATGCCTCAACCATCCATTGTAGGAAATCCGAGCTGGTGAGTTCTTTGAGACTATCGATGTGCCGCACCAAAAGGTTGATCACATCACTGTGAGGGTCCTTTAGTACGATATCCACCAAGATGGCTGATGCAACATCAATCGGCGTCCATGACAAGTTCTATAATGAGAATTAGATCATTAGTGGGGTATGGGGGTTATTTGAATGACGAACCGGAATCTGAGAGGGCATAAGCTTCAGAGAGAAACAAGCCTGAATGAAAATAGGAATATGTTCCATCACATTCCATGCGCCTAGCGTGGTATTGCCAGCAAGTTGTCCAGCACGCACAATCGTTACTGGTATATTTGCGGCTCGGGATGCATCAATTAGAACCCTTTCCGCAACATACTTCGATTGCGCATAACCCTGATCAAGTGGTAAGCTCGACGAGTTGAAAGTAACTTCAGGGATAGCATGTTCGGGCCCCGAGTAGTTCGCAACAGCAGAAACGCTGGAGATGAAAAAGACGCGTGGTGCCTTTGTGCGAACGCTAGAAGCAGATAGTTCGAGCATCGTATGTAGGGCACGGACATGGGGGTCGAGAAAATGTTCCAACTCGTGGTTGAAATTCACGTCCCATGCGCAATGAACGATGTGGGTAACGTCTCTATGGATCTGATACGCGTTGCAACTTATCAGGGCTAAAATTCCCAAGATTCGAGATACTGACCTTCTGAACAGTTTCTGAATCTAAACCAAAGTCGCTTTCTCCGAGACTCATAGACCAAGACTCGACCTTTGTGTCTCCTTTGCCTGACGCAGCTTCGTATCTTATTCGCTGAGTATGAGCACCCAACGAACGAGGATTCGCGCGGTCTAAGCAGTAAACAGCGTGGACTCCTTCCCTCCGTACGAGCTCTGACAAAATGTGGCTACCGAATGTGCCTGTTGATCCTGTGAGGAGCACAATCAGGCGATCGTCGTCTACATTGTCGGATGTGTGTTCCAAGTACGATAAACGCCTGGCTGGAGCAGGGTTCGGAAATGTCCACTTCTTGATGATCGCATCTATGTGTTCTGCGTTATTACGATGCCTGTTGTGCGATATTCTCCCAGTGATTACTTGATGCAGACTATCGATGGATGAATATTTGTAGACGATATTACGAGGTAATTCTGTGTCCCTAACGAGTTTCCAAAGTGGCGTTAGGTAGGCTGTAAAATTCGCTGCTGATAAGGAATCCATGCCTAGAAAGATATGAGCTAGCTGGCATGTAAAATGCAAGAATACCAACCACGGGAGAAAAGGTCATCTTCAACAGCAACCTCCACCCCAAGTACACGGGCTGCGATTGCCTGAATGTACAGTAGAACGCCCTTATAATCACCTTTTAATGGCAGAGGTCTAAAAGGAGACCCAGAGTCCAGGGCTGCATATGCTTCCTGGATCTCTTGAGAGTAAAGAGCAAGTGTCTCGTGGCGTCGGATGGTCCCTTTGTCTGTCAGAACGAAAGGTTTTTTCGGATCTCCAAGGATAACGAGAGCTTGTACGACGCGAGAATGCTTTGGAACAATGGAATTCATGTGTCGAATGGTTGACTGTAAGGATGTCGCAAAATCAGCATTGCTCCAGGATATGGCCTTGGGAAGGACAAGCAGCCCATTCTGCAAACGCCCTTCGCCAAATACAACCGCGCGTTCCACGAAGGAATTCTTGAGCACAAGTGACTCTATATCCAAGCTCAGAATTGCTACCTGACCTTTGAAAAGACCGTGAAACGCCCTACCAAGCTGTTCGTTGTCCGTCTTCTCTCCATTACAGAGCACAGTCTTGGAAAAGAGATATTAGCGTGCTACATTCCCTCAGAAAGCAACTACACTAACCACACTACTCATTCTTCCTGCGTGTTTCCAAAGCCCTGTGCAGTCATATTAATGAAGTAAATTGCGCGAGAATTATTGAGAATACCTTTTCTTGTTGGATGCTCCCGCCATAGGTCTCCAGAGCTGAAGCCAATAGGATTATGATGATTGACGAGGTCAGAAGACACAAAACGGCCTGGCTGGATAGTATGGTCAAAATAAGCCAGGTTAAACTTTTGAGAAGAAATACCTTGACAACTAAACGCCGCAGATCACTGGCATTTGGTACATCCACCAATGTTATCTCAGATGGATCGATGAATCGGACATAAGGCCAGTCGAGGGGATCGTCAGAGCTGATATCTGCCACAGTTAATTGTCCGGTCTCAGTGCTGTGTTCAGAGATCAGAAAAAAACGTCATCGATAGTTAGCAGAGGGCACTAACGTTCCAAAGGCCGAGATGATATTCACGCCATGACTTGCTAATCTGTTACCAACAGGCTCTTGCAGGGGTGCGCCAGCGAACAAAACCATATGTGTAGAGCCGAGTGTTTGTATTGCTCCTTCTCCCATCAAGGAGATCTGTTCAAGCAGGGACGGAGGGGTAACACAAATTGCACCATTGAAGCGGCTGAGAATATGACACAGTAATTCTCCTGTGCAAGGTCGCGTAGATTCGATGACTACCGGTATGCAGCCTGCGCCAATAGTGAACTTGGTTAAGCAAGTAAGCCCCACCGTCTGCAGATGCGCATGAGTAAACCGATGAGACCTCAATGGACGCATTTACATGAAACATAGGCATAGGGGTACACACTGCACGGCCCGGAAATGGTGTCAATCGCATGGTTTGGTCGTACCACTGTCTGTGAGTAATTGGTATCAGTTTAGGGTGTCCTGCAATATCTTGAAGGTTAGATTGACGTGGAGAGACGATATCGCATACCTGTTGATCCTGAAGTATGAAGATTATACGCGACCATATCTAGGTCTAGTAAGTCGTGGTCTTGATGGATGGGAGGGTAAGTGACGGGGGGTTGTAGAGTCGTCCCATTATCACTCTGTAGAGGAGTAATTTGAAGATTTGGGACTTGGCGTTGTACGAGATCGATGAGGTCGGGATGAGTAGCGTCAACGAAAAGACACTGAGAACCGGAGGCACGAACAAGGTGTATTACACCTTCAGGACTATTCTTGTCAGATATCAATGTCGGCTTGGAATGATCAGACTTTATTCGCAGGTAAGAAGAAAGTTTAGACACACAGTCCATCTGTTTATCAAGGCAGCGAGGAACCCCACAAAGAGATCATAGCCACTGCGCGCGAAGAAGCATACATTGACTAGTGGTGCTCCGCATCGCCTTCGTGGAAGGCCGGAATGCAAGAACCGTTGTGCAGTTGCGGTAGCGTCCTGGATCAAGTCTGCCCTCGTTCTATCAGAAATTGAGAGGGTTGAGTCACTATCAACCTTGACATTCCAACAAAACGTAGAAGCTGATTGATCGCTGCAAAATTGCACGAAACTGTCTGGCAAAGTACAGGCTGAGGAATTCATCAGTGTCTGAGGCGTGATTAGTAGGCGTCGTGAACTTCTGTCAAGCGGATGTGTTCTCGATACTAACGCTCTTGGAAAGAACTCGAGTCTCCAAGTAATTCAGTGACTTTGAAGGCGCGCACGTGTGAACCCCAGGCATTTTGAAAATAGAAAGTTGTGCCCGGTGTACTGCACTCGGAGTCCAGCCGCATCAGTATCAGATCACGGCGCCCTACATGACACCATTTTGTGGATCCTGTACTATGAGCGGTGATTGTACCGTTTAGTCGGCCCATATTGGGACATGCATATGTAATTGAAATTATTGAATGGGGTAGTATTATTACTCCGTCACCGTCACGGTGTATCTATACTAGCACTAGCCACTCTTTTCCCCGTCAGCGTTTAACAATGACACCCGCACAGCCTAGGTCCCGGTGGTGCGCCGGTGATATTTAGGCTGAATGTGATCATCAAGGTGCTTCAAAGTGCTTCAGTCTTTACTTCCGTTAACATGTATTCCAAGCTGATAGTTGGTTTTGCATGCTTGGCCGGTGCATTCGCCGTCTATTTGGGCCAAGTCATTCGCAAAAGACTCAGACAATGCGAACCAAAGGACATACACCAGCTCATACCATTACCTCCTGGTCCTAAAAAAATGCCAATCATAGGAAACCTCTTCGATATTCCATTAGTTGACATGGCAAAAGTATTCGCAGAGTGGAAAAGCTTGTATGGTTAGTTATCCAGACATTTCATACAAAGTATTCTCGGTAAACGTTCTTCTCATAGGCGACATCATCTATCTTGAGGCATTGCAACAACGGATCATGGTGTTGAACTCCTTCGAACATGCTAACGAACTTTTATCCAAGAAATCGTATTCCGATCGTCCGGTACCCATGATGTTAGGAGAGCTCATGGGCCTTGGCCAAGTAGGTGGTATTGGGATGCTGACGTTGTTGGTATTTTAACTTCGCTCTTGGTTGCGTGGCCTAGAGCTTTCCATTACTTCGATACTGCGCTGCGTGGAAACAACAGAGGAAGCTTGCTCATTTGGCTTTGAATGCTGGCGCAATCAAAGAATATAGCAAGCTGCAAACGGAGGCCGTCGTGTCGTTTTTGGACAGCCTCATCGAGAACCCAAGCGACTTCATATCTCAGCTTCGGTTGTAAGTGGTACACTTCATCATAGCGTATTTCAGCTCACAGAAGGTAATCCAAGGGCCGCGGGCCGCATTGTGTTGTCCATGACATATGGTGTCCCAGTCAAAAGCTCGGAGACGATGAATGTTTGTGCGCTTTACTTGGCCAACGATAGACTTTTATCTTACATTCTTATACCTCCCTTCTAGTTTATTACTGAACTGGAGATTATGATGGCCACCATAGGCAAAGGAATGATGCCAGGAGCATACGCTGTCGATATGTTTCCATGGCGTGAGTAAATCCCGTGAAATCATGTCCTCAGAGGAAGTGTTGATATGAAGCATCTGCATGATTCTAGTCAGATATATCCCTTCTTGGGTCCCCTTCAACAACATCCATGCTATTGCCACAGAAGGCCGCACGCGCCTTCTTCGCGTTGTCGGACTACCCTTTGAATATGCGAAGCAACAATTTTTGTCGCCTTCACCAACCGCATCCTTCACCGCTACTTGTCTTCAGGTAGAAGGCGCTGCCGACATGGAACATCACATACGGTGGGCTGCTGGTTCGATGTATGGGGGTGAGTTGAAGTCTTTTGACGTTCCGATTTGACATTGACTCTCATTAGCTGGTAGTGAAACGGCAAGATTTCGATACATTGATCATACATGTTGTTTTGACGTTTCGAGATGCAGACCATGGGCACAATCTTGGCTTTCATTCTTGCCATGGCCTTGTACCCTGATATTCAAACCAAGATAAAGATGGAGCTTGATCGCGTTGTTGGCCATGGGCAACTCCCGACATTGGATGATCGTTCACGCTTACCTTACGTGAATGCTGCCATCAAAGAAACGATGCGGTGGAATCCAGTGGTTCCTCTAAGTCTTCCTCATTTTACTAGCAAGGAAGACGTATACCAAGGTTCGCGCAATCCTTTGAATCAGCAGGCATCTGTTGAGTCATTTCTTCCAAGGGTTCCGCGTGCCTAAGGGAACAATTGTTTTTCCGAATGTTTGGTCAGCGTTATGCAACTTATGTAGATTCTACGGCGCACTCATTCCGTTTTATAGGGCGATGTCTAGGGACGACATCAGCGGAATTTCTCCCGACTGAATTTGCACCAGAGCGTTTTCTTGACGATTGCGTCGAAAGGACAGCATTGGACCCATATTCGTACGCTTTTGGATTTGGTAGGAGGTGTGTGGTGCAGTGGCGACACTAATCTGATGTTCTTATGTCTATCCGCTTCAAGGATATGTCCCGGCAGGTTTTTTGCGGACAACAGTGTATTTTTATTTGTGACTGGTCTCGTGTCCACCTTTGTCATATCTCCGACTAGTTGGATCGGACGGAAGGAACTCTCTTTTGAGGGCGCCGTTTAGACAGGGTATGATGAGGTCAGTTAGATCATGCACTACCTGGATGTTTTACTCACGACTAAATTGGCAAGGTTCCCTGAATCGTTTCATGTTTGTATACTTCCCCGTTCTGAGCAGCTCGCAGAAGAACTCCATGCCAGAGCTAGGGAGATGTCCAAGAATGGCAGTGAATGACGCAGTAACTTGTAGCGAGAGGAAGAGTGTATCCGTGTATCCTTATCTTGTACAAGCATCATAGTTATGAATCTTGGTCCGCGATATATTATAGTGTCCTCGTGTCTAGAAATACACGGGGCCTGAACTTAGAACTGATCAGTGTGCATGAAGCTGGCCTCAACTTAAGACACTTTGAATATCATCGACTTTAACGTCCTAAATAGAACAGTTCTGAAAAGATTGTTCAGGACGTATGCTTATAGGTACATGTGACTACGATTCCATTGTTATTGTACAACATAAACCAGCTGAGTTCAACTACTTCTCGTGGGACGCCTTGATGATGTCCGCAGCTAAGATCATGATAAGAGCGAGTAGTTTAAGAAAGAGTCGGAGCATACCTTGTTCTGCTAGGGCATATGCTACAGCTGGAATGACGATGTTAGGGTGTGTGATAAAGCAATAAACGATAAATTTACATTGGGTGTGGCTGCCAACATGGAGCGGGATGATCGACAAGTCGGCGACTCTGATATTGTGAGTGCCCCATACCTATAGGTCGATGGTTAAAACACGACACATGATTGTGTTTGAGTATTACCTTGAGTTGAGGATCGACGACGCCGTTCAATTCCTTCGGAAGCATGGAACATGAACCAGCAGTATCTAACATGTAATGATTAAGCACTGTTGTGTATGCAGACATGCGGAGAGAACTTACGAAAGGTCGTGTTGACATTGTTGCAAATCCATTCTAAATTCAGGTGAGTAACTTCACTTGAGGAATTGAATCATGACCGAACCTGCGATGGCGGCATCATCTTGACAATCTGGTCCGGGATGAATTTCTGGAATGCATGCGGTATGAGTCTGTTTCACAAGGTGTGAAAACAACGCCTACCTACGAGTCGGCCCTCTCCTTCTCCCTTCAAGGGAGGCGTCTGAGCCAACCTCCTGCAATACTTGACTAATTCAACCATGGTGTCTAGGTCTTAAATCGACAGGGTGTTAGAGTGGTGCGGATACGAGAAAAGTTTGCCCTACCGAATCTATTCTCAAAAACATGCGGGTCAATCGCAAGCGAATCTTTGGATGTAACATGCTATCAAATGCATTGGCGAAGAACTCAAGGATGAATTTGTTGCCTACTATGGTTCCACGAGAAAGCGGACAGTTGGTAGCAAAACAGAGTGAAACATGCTTCTTCGAGGCATCCCACCCCTGCGGGGGTGCTGCAATGCAACAAGCATCAAAATCAGCCCAAATACAACGACAAAAGTGATACATACGCTTTGCGGGTCCTGGAGCCAGTATGATTTCGAGACTAGGGACCTTCTCCCGAAGATGCTCTGCTTGTATTTTGTACTGCGCAGCGAGTCCTGCATCCTTCTCCTCAGTTTGCAAGGATGCGATTACTTTTGCATTGAGTTCGGGTGAGATATCAGCTAACGCAACGAACGCGACGTCGACAGTGTTGAGGTTCAAAGTGCCTTTGCCAGATGCACTAGTGATGCCCTGTCCAGCCGGTAAGATCCAATTGACTGTTGATCTGACTTACAACAGCTCTTTTTGCTTGCCAAGATTTGTGGCGAGAGAATCAAAGGTATTGACCTCCTGCTCGCCCACAAAGTGATCCGTCAACTCTGAAGTCAGGATGAGTCAGCGACCATACACTGGGTCGGTATTCTGCAACGCACCGAAGGTTACTCCGGTGTATAGATGTTCCTGAACATTCATTCCAACACCAGGGAGGTCGAGTTTCACATCAATACCGCCCGTCGAAGAACAGCAGGATCACCGATGCCAGACAATTCGAGTATCTAAGTAGAAAGTTATTCCATATCGAGGCGGTGACACATAAGATATTCAAACCTTTGGAGACATAATTGTACTGAGGAAGTATTATTTAGCTGCAGCACCTCAGATAGTAAAGAAGGGCTTACCCAGCCGTTAGGCACACTTCGCCAGCGACATTTGCCGTGTAGGTATTGTCGCTTTTGACAAATTTGACGCCAGTGGCGGTGATTGATCCATTGACTTTCGTTGTAATGATCTCGGTCACATAGGCATCAACGATGACCTGTAGGTTGGTACGGCCTGCGACTGGTTGATAATACATCTGAGCGATTGTGATAGATCGATGTCAACTTTGATTACAACTTCGAGGCACCCACGTTAGTAGCGTAAGATCGATGATGCGTTGATGGGTCCAAATTGGACAGAGAGGGGGATGTTCCGCGGATCTGAGTGAAGATTAGGTGGAAAAAGTCGTAAGCGAATAAAGTATTTACCTCCCCGGAGAACTGGATGCAAAACTCCTTTCAGAACGTACAAGTGTGTCATTACAACGAACTTACTGCATCTTGAATATTCGGGACATTGTGGGCCTCCATTGCCTGGTCAGCGATGTAAGATAGAATGTGACATCCTTAGAATACAAGCAATACCTTCCTAAAATCTGCCTCGAGGTTTGAAATAAGCGGAGGAAATGACGTGACGATGGGGCCTGAGATAAGTTGAGCAAGATTCATTATGCTATCAACGAAGCGACACACCCTGCTCCCCGTGAAGCTTTGTATCGTACGTCAAGACATCCGTGTTATGGTTCGGTTCCACAAACCTGGGAGGTGATTAGTGACGCAACCCTCAGCATATTGATATTGTTGACCTCTCAGATTTCTTGGAATATGCCTGAAATTTTTCCCAAGTCCAGCCATCGTTGCCAAGCGCACCCCATGCTGTTGGTGTGTTAAGGAGGTGTTGATGTAGGCAAATGAAGCTCGCCTTCAATGTGTTGGCGCGCTGGCTTATTCCAGAGGAGATTATTGATTGCGGAACTGCCTCCGAGTCCTTTCCCCCTGTAAACAAGAGCTATCAGTTAAAGTAGCGACGACTCTTCAGAGTCAAGCAGCACAAACTGACCTAGGCCAAGTGAATATTCTGTCTTTGGCGTGATGTTGTGTTTCCTTTGCGCTGGTTAGTTGCGATTATGAACCTACAGTCGGAGATACTGACAGTTTTAAAGCTCCAGTCGTATTCAGGTTTGCCCATAAACAACCAACGTTGTTGAGGTATCACTAGACTTGATGTCAGGGATAATTCACGAGTATTCTGACAGACTGACGTAGATTGGCATCATCGATATGAGCACTGCCTGCCTCCAAGACAAGGACCGAAGTCGATGGGTTTTCTGACAAACGTGTCGCTAAAACGAGACCAGTAGTCTAGGGGCTATCGGTCAGTTTTCAAGTTAAGAGCCGTGAATGCTCCTTCTTACTCCACCACCTGGAAGCAAGGTGAGTTACTCTACATCAGAAATTGATACAGAGCGTACCAATGATGATATAGTCGAAGACTTGTCCTTTGATTCCATCGACGGAGGTCAGCATTGTTCAGCTAGTAAGGAGGAATAAGGCTCAAAGCCGTTCTTATAGAGAGACAGGCGCTGAGAGGGATGCTAGAACCGTGACTGGATATCGATCGATGATCATTGGGCGCATCTGCGCGAGAATATCTTGATCACGGAGATGACAGAATTACACTGTGACTAAGACCAACTACGCCTTTCAGCGGCGCCAAGCACCGACCCAGTTCACGGAGCTAGTGAACCCACAATTACCAAAATAGCCATGGGATGTGATGCTTGGTCTGATGAGAACATTCACAGGATGGCAAGTTGCGTGATAAGATCTGGTAGGATCTCGACCCTACAATTACTAGATTCTAGAATGATATCGATTTGTCATGTTAGTTGATCAGTATCAAAGATCACCTGATATGGGTGGCGACGAACCAGTACTAATCTAGCAGCTTGTACCTTGAGCGCTTGAGCTTCCGAATCAGTGCACGCGGTACCCCCAGACGGTCCGACAAGGATAAAAAAAGGAGTGGATGAAACAAGAGAAGCTCCTTCCAGTAGGTCACGCGTCTCTGATTGATCTGGATCTAAAATAGTAAGCCACTACCTACCGGAGTGTGCATAGATCGAGTGACAATGAGCTCCAAATCGTTCAACCACCGCTCGTTAAGTCGCCGAAGTTCACCGCCCTCGTGAGTAACTGTTCTGCCACGTTTGCGGAGTCACTCCCTTGAACGTTTATCGCCATTCTAAATTGTTCCTCCCCTCAACTCCTCCGCGCGCTTTCACCATCTTCCTCGTGTCTGTCACCCTCTCCCATACGTGTAACATCTCCTCGACAATATGTCATATAATCATGAAGCAACTTCTTAGAATTATCGTTCCTTTGATTTGCTGAGTGTAAGCCGCCTAATGTGGATGTAATATAAAATTGTAACCTGAGTTAGCAGAAGGAAATCCAGGATGGCAGTGGAATCACTGAAGAAAGAATAGGAGACCCGCACCAATAGAGGACTAACTGACTTGATGAAGAGACAACGAGGCAGGGTTGATTGCGAGCGCGGCGATCAGGATCTGGCGATAGATCCTGGCGTGGACGTACCGCCCAGTCTTGATGAGTGTTGTTCCAAAAAGGATCAACCGGCAGTTACGGCATGGCCAGGCTGCAGGTCCTAGGAAAGAGCGGAAGTGGGATTGGTGTCAAGGGTTATAGGCAGGATCCAAAGCGTTCATGGGCACTACAGTTGAAAAAAAAATGGCAGAGGATGTTGTGCGCAAAGACCGCGAGCTCGACGAGTCATGTAATGACTAATCAGAGACCGAGGAGAGAAAAAAGCTAGTATACCCGGTCACAACCCGGTCATTGATCATCGATATCTTGCAGTTGCTCAGTGTTTAGCCACATCATCAAATCCGGTAGTGACTACTCTCAAATTGGAATCAAAATCAATGCGGCCATATCAATCTCATAGCCCGAGCGCGCTCGGGCTACCGCCGAGGATAAAGATAAGAACGCGGCCCATTCAAGTTATCGTATGTCCGAAGATCGAAGATGTTCACATTAGGTCTCTCTTCATGTTTTTGTATGCTGGCTTTGGCGAGTTGGGCCTTTGCCAGATCCCGGCGCTTGCCTCTTCCCCCAGGTGATTGTTGAATGTTCCGTGCCGAACGCCCAAAGTGACACCAGTGATACAGGTCCACAAGGAAAGTTTTGGTTTGGAAACGAGGAGATATTGCCTTGGGAGCATCCATGGAAAGAGTTTGTCAACTGGTCCAAAATATTTGGCATGATCTCTTCCTCGACCGATACATCACGAGCTCATTGTTTTTAGGGCCATTAATATATCTTTATGCTTTTGGTCGGGACATCCTCATCGTCAATGAGGCTAGTGCGGCCACGGACCTGTTGGAAACGAAGTCTACGCTTTATGCCCGCCGTCCCACTTGGTCAATGGTAGCTCTCACTGGACGGCAAGACAATATCGCATTCATGGATCATACTGATAGGCAGAAGAAGGCCCGGGTGCTCCTTCAAGCTGGTTTAAATCCAAAGGCGCAAAGGTCTTGGGGCCCAGTCCTTGAAGAAGAGACGACCAGCTTAATGCTGCAGATGGCACAATCTCCGGAGCTATTCAAGCAGCATATTCGAAGGTGCGAATTCTATCTAACATCACGGTCACTTAGTGACGTCTTTCAAGGTATCTTGGGTCTTTCATTACTCGATTTACATACGGGACAAAAGTAGAAGATCATGAACTCAAACTGGGGGACGAAATTTCTGTTCACACCCAACAAGCTTTGCGGCCTGGACGCTGGTTCGCTGATACTGTGCCTCTAGGTAAAGCATATTTTCCTGACCACACAGTCTTATTGAATATTTCAGTATTATATTTACCGGACTGGTTCCCTGGAATGGCTTTCAAACCATGGGCGAGGGACGCTAGGACAAAGTTCATGGAGTATACTGCACGACCTTTCCGACAGGCACGCAGTTCTATCGTACGTTTATCTGTTGTATCGTATTATGCTTATAACGAATATGGCACAAAGCTTGACGGTACTGAAATGCGGGGACTGGTGCCCGACGCACTCAACGACATCATCGCAGGCACGTCAAAATATAAGGAGGAAGAGCTCATCTCTGCAGCATCAAGCATCTATACAGGTATGTGAATTTGTTATAAAGGACTAGACATTCTCTAACACTACAGCTAGCCGCAATAGAGACTGTAAGTTGTTTGTGTTGTCTGACATTTTGAAACAGCGCGAACCTTTTACAGACATACGCGGTATTCATGGACTTCTTGATATTGATGATGGCGCACCAAGATGTTCAAGAAAGGGCTTACCGAGAGATTATGAGCGTCACTGAGTCTACTAGACTACCCCTACTGTCTGACATGGCTGCATTGCCATACGTCGATGCGGTAATAAGGGAAGTTCATCGCTTTAATCCCGTGACACCTATGATCCCAAGGTCGCCCATGAAAACCGACTCGTACAAGGGCTACCGTATTCCCCAAGATACCTGGGTGATGTTCAACATTTGGTATGTTGGCCACTAAACTCTGAGAGGAAGAAATCACAATGTTTGATTTAGGGCAATGACTCACGACGCGAGCATCTACCGAGATCCTCATCAATTTATGCCTGAGCGTCATTTGCCTTTGGGGCATGAAAGCAGCGCCAGGGATCCCCGAGATTTCACGTTTGGATTTGGAAAGAGGTAGGCAAACGACACATCATGGTTATCTTGCATTTGCTAAGCAGACGTTAAGAATATGCCCTGGATTGAACCTTGCAAACGTACAGATCTTCTTATTCGTCAGTCAATTTCTGGCTACTTTCGAAATCAGACCGCTGTTGAAAGACGACGGCAATGAAGAAGAGGTGGTCCTTGAATATACGTCGAGTTTTGTGAGGTTCGCAGCTGTTTTATGTACTTATTATTATGTTTTACTGATGACAACCTGATAGCCTTCCATTGCCATTCAAGTGTCGTATCATACCGCGTAGCGGAAATGCGATTCTATATTGAATTTCTTTTTTTGCGGATGAAAGTTGAGATCTGTACAACACCGCCTGATTGGGCTGTATGTTTCTTCGTGCAAGCAAGACCAAGTAATGTACATCAGTCACCATCGATAGGTCTGGAATATGTTCGAAATATGTAGACAATGTACTTATTATAACAATCGGAAAATCATTTATTTGCTATTAAGCGTGGTGGACAATGGGATTTGAAACTTACTTCTGTTCCAGAGGTAAGGCAGATTTGGCAATCATTTCGATGGGTACAGTCTGACCCGAATGTTTGCGTGATGGCTTCCTCGAAGTGTCAGAATAGCTCGCCAGAAGTATACTGAGCTAGATAACTACGCCTATGGAGATATCTGCAGTCATCCAGCTTGGCCAGGTATACTTCACTAGCTTTTATAAAATGAGTACAACCACTCGAGTGCCGGCGAGTCTGAAGGGAAATGCAAATGAAAATTTAAAGAGCTGATGGCCAGAGTTTGAGAAACTTGCGTGCGTAGAATCGATAGACTAATGCGAGTTTTTATACACGATTAGAGATGGTGGACGAGAGATAAGGGATATGAATAAACGTGTGACAATGTGAAAGTGTGAAGAGTATAGGAAAAGGAAAGAGAATTATGAATAGGGCGTACAAACTCGGAATCGTCAGTGTTTGATGCACCTCGCTATCGCCAGAAATGAAACTATCATTACACTTTTGGACTATCGGTCAAGGAAGTACTACTGCTCTGTTTGTGCCATCTGATAGTGTGCGAAGGCTGCAAAGGATAACGCGAATTTCTTCGTTCTGTCTCAGTTATCCCGCCACGGACCGTCTGGGCGTAAGTTTGACTGTTTTGACTGCTCGCGATGCGAATAAACACCATATAGAAGGCAATCGGAATGATCGGGATGACCTATGCGGTTGATCGAATCTCGTTAATTTTGAAAACAGGTATCAACGACTGAATTACCAGGTCTGCCATCACATACATTCCACTGCTCGAGCAAACGAAAGAGATGAGCGAAGAGCACACCGCCGCAGAGTACAGAATAGCGGCATCCACAAACACACGCAATATGGGTATGTTGTTTTTCGTAGCGCGAGTTGCAGAGACTTTGCGTTCGATCGTCCAGACGCGATATGCCAGTAACCCTGGATATATTCAAGTTCGTACGAGGACTTGACATTATGTAGAAGTGTGCTTACCTGAACTCAACAAATTAGTTGCCATTGTGAAAGAAATAAATGCCGTGATCCATTGTGGTGTCGCGTTGAGGAAAAAATTTGTGGAATTGTCAGCCGGTTGGGACATGCTGTACACCATACAGACACCAAACACTTGGAGACAAAATTAGAACGTACAGCTTCCTAGCTGTACTTGCAACCTAACCTGCGACACCGCACCACATTATGATTGGTAGGATGATAATGCGGGCAGATTGCCAAACAACGTAACATCGATATATCTTTTTCATTCATGGGGATTCCTGTGAGCCACAAGGGTGTTGAGCTGGTAGATAAAAAATGAACTCACCACTACCCCGTCGCCGAGAAGAGTTTGCAAGACAAGTATCGCATTCTTCACCACAAACATTGGTTGAAGAAGGTCTGCGAAGTACGCCACTGGACCGCCCGGAAACGTGTCGCTATATTTCACCAGTCCGTTTTCAATGTAAATGATGCATATGACCATGTGCTTCGGAAACTTCAGCAAATGGCATCGTCTGCAAGCGGCAGGAGGCTAACCACAGTACTCAGTAGGAACAACAGGGTGGCAACCACAATGGTAGGCCTGGCGTCTCGCATGCGACGTTTGTAGGTGAATATCCATATGGTACCTATAAACATGAGGACTGAAAAGCCTGAAAACCTCTCAGCGTTTTGTAACCATAGGATCCATGGAGTAACCAATCGTTGATGCTCACCATATAGGATGCCTTCCAAAATTGTTGACATCAAAGTAGCGGCATCCAGTGGCATGCCCGTTGACGACTCAGAAATGGCCATGGATGATTATGCCTGGGGGGTGTTACGACGGGGTGGGCAACTCTGCCGCATCTACACCGTTATATACGGAAAGAATCATGTTATTCTGACTCATGTGGATATAGTACTACCAGGATGGAGATCAGCTTACTCATCATACAGCATGCCAAAGAATCCCAGCTTACTGGTGGTTATACTTAGTATGAAAAGCCGCTGAGAGCGATCAACCTCCGAGTCCACCTGCAAGCATCCAGTATGGTATTTTTTTTCATGAAACCACTGCTTGATAGAGATTGATTCCGCAGCACTCTTCCGCTCTTCTCACGATTTGTTAGCGCCATCAACTTCAGCTTATGATGGTTGCGTCAAGGAAGTCTAACCATACGTGTGCTCGCGATTTCGCACACCGGACTTCAGGCAGCTTGAATATGTCGTTGAACGTTGGGAACCGACGGACGTGTCAAAGGTAGTAAGGTACGCACGATGGTCATCCGAGACGCAGCGTTTACATGAGCCACGAGCACACAGGATGAATATCGAGGTCTTGTAACGCACCACTCATGGAAATACGCGTGCGATACTAGCATGACCGATGTGCCGCATCAATTGAAAGGTTGGGTATACCAAGATGGGGATCATTTCGCACGATGTTCATCAAGACAAGCTGCTGCAACATCAATTGCTGTCTACGATAGGTTCTTTACATACTTTTAAGAATCAGATCGTTGATAAAACATAGAAGCTATTTGCGCGACCAACCTGAATATGAGAAGGCATCTGAAGGCATGAGCTTCAAGAGCTGCAGCACGCCTGAATGAAGATAGGGATGTGTTCCACTAATTATATATATTCTATGTGCCTAGCATGGTGTAGCCTGTTCAATCTAGACAGACATATAATTGTCAGTGTCTAGGTAGCGTAGCATCAGAGCAATGAAACGTACTTTCAGTACCATGTAGTCTCGTGGAACGGACCGAGGAAGCAGGCCTGGAAGACATCCGAATTTTCAACGACGTTTACATAAATTTGTTTGCCTTTGTTGCCACTTACATACGGCGTCCTGCAGCTGTCATAACTTTAAACTTACAAGCACCCAGCTGTGACACCCACAACTTGAATTCCTTTGGTATGATAATCAATCAAACCACCACAAGGTTGGTGGGCCGTCTAAGCCTTTAAATATTTCACAGATGCGTCAGCGTCCAACGACTTTATCATGAGTTCTCGCCCACACACCGCCGTTGTGGCCAACGCGAAGATCTTCCCGGTCTTTGCAAATAGGCTCGCATCACACGACCTCAACGAGTACATAAACACTGCCAAAAAGCTGAAGAACTGGTTGGGCTCCGAGAAAGCATACTATCCTGACGCTCTACGTAATGTAAGTGTTGGAATTTTGGTTCAGCTTGACAGAAGCGAGGCTCAATAAACTACTTTCTAACCCTAATATCAGATCGTTTTGCTCCTCGAGGTGTGTAGATACGTCGCTTCTTGCTCTATTCATTCATTTTGCACTCGACAGATTGCCCATCAAACCTTTACGAGAAGGTTTCTCCCAACAGAATCGTCAGCACTTGCTGTGATAGATATATATCAGGCTTTAATTCGCGCCGTAATTCCTTTCATACGGTTTTTTACAGAGGAGGACCTGCAACGTACGTGTTGAATCTCGCTAAGTGTCCGGCTGTGTCGATCGTCTTGTAGTCCGACTCCAAGACTTGATCCAAAGTTCTTCTGAGATTTCGACTAATTTTATACATCCTATTCGTGCTGAAGGCGAAGCCACAGCTCAAGAATACAAGTACGCAGGCACTTATTGAGTCTGAGCATCAGTATGATGATCTTGTTTAGGGACGCTACCTCAATGATCACAAGTACCCGAGATGCGACCCCAAACACACAACTAATGTTTCCTAATACTACGCAAATGGAGTCAATTCAATCACCTGTAAGATGCGCGCGCGCTGTCTATTCATGAGCTAACATATAAAATTATAGACTACAGCGCAGCCTTCGACCTCGTCTACACCCCACCCAGATATTCACGCGGATCCCCCAGCCAGTGTCTCCATCCCCAGAATCCTTCCAAAACCTCAGCCAAAGCGCCAATCTGTGGCATCGTCACTATCTGAGCACCTCAAACACCGTGATCTCGAATGGTTCAAGGCAAACCACCAGCATGCGGCTGCTCCTGACTCAAAGCCTTTAAGTCCTGGTGCTCCACCTAGTGCGCTCAAGTTTTCAAATGATGTAACGGAGCCCCCTGTAGAGAAGATACGCCCATCTCGCATGCCAGGGAGGATACCTCCACGACCGGCATCTACTGAACTGACGACGATAAACGAGCCTGCAGCTCCTGCGAATGCTGTTGATCTGACGAATACCTTGACTTTCTCCGAGATTTCGGCGCCAACAGTTGCAAAAGAACTCAACGAAGAAGAAATCACGTCCGATGTAGTTGATGTTGTCATGACTGACCTACCAACGGAAAATGTACCTCAAGGTTCAGAAACACTCCTCTTGGGTACGCCAGGAAACGTCGCTCCTGAGCTCACCATGCCGTCGCCAAAACAAAATACAGATTCCCCAGCTCCAAGGCAGCCACTTGCGATATCCTCAGATGTGCGTGCAGAAAGCCACGGAGACGAGATATCATTACCTCCAGTGGATAATACCTGTCCGCAAGGCGCTTGTGCAAGATTTGGAGGGGAGATGGCTGTGATGATGTTTCGGCAAGGACTCGAGTCACCTCGCGGGACGATCAACCTTACGTTCGATCTCGATCATACACTCTATCTCCAAATTGCTCGGTGGGCTAAGCGCAAGTTGTCACCAACGTATGTGTCCTTTTCTCGCTTTTATCCACATATTCAGCGATTCACAGAGATTTGGAACAAAGTGTCTGTGTGTCGTTCGCTTGCTATCATCTCCCTAGTCTCTTGCCAAATTCACCGGAAGATGATCAGCCGACTCCGTTCGAGAAACTTACGATGGATTCGCAATGCTCGTGGCCCGCAACTGGGGACCTTTCACTGCAGACAAAGCGGGATGGGAAGGATTTTATTATTCCACTAGCTCCACCCATTTTTGTGAGTGTTACCGATGTACTTGCAACCCGCACTGATGTTGTTTGGCAGGTTACTCCAGACAATTGCGTTGATATCTCCGCATTTATCAGAAGCGGAGAAAATGCTTTTTCGGTGGTCCAACAGAGCGACATGTCAGACTATATGTTTATTCTCCACGCCCATCATCCCACGCCTGCGCAGCTTAGCTATCTTGCGTCCTGCAGACAGAAGCGTGAGGATTGGGCGAAGACCACGCGTGCTTTTTGCACATCTGAACCGACGGAATCTTTATGGAGGCGATCCCAGTCGCGGACATGAAGGGTTCGTCATAATTAGTTTTCTTGTAATTAACCCTCGAACTTCGCAGTCCCGTTGTGTATGTAGTACTCGTGCATTTCTGATCAGATTATATTTTGTAGCATAGTCAGTCAATTAAATGTGGTTTCCGAAGCTTACTCAACGTAGCGCTACGATGCATCCATTTGGTGAGCGATTCACGATTTGTCTTTTCGTAGTGATTGTTACCAATAGGCCGCTACATGCAATGTCAAGACCGATGAGGACGATGCTGTTCCCCTAAGCCTCAGGGGTGCTGACCCAATTGGAAATTTTACGCTGCTTATAATGTGTCACAACTTTTCAATGACCTCCCACTCACGGTCGACCGCTTTGTCAAGAGAAGATACCACGAAATAATGCCTAAATCACTATTCCTGTCCCTTCTTGAAGAACTCCGGGTTTACATTCTATGCTTCCTTTCTTGCAGAGATATCCTTTGTTGCAGATCCGTGGGTTGTCGTCGTCGTCCTAGATAGAATCTTATACTGACTCACTAGTTTTCACAGGTATGCAAGGCCCTTCGCCAGACATACATGTCCTCCTCAGAGCTCCAGTACATTGTCGAACTCAGCGGCCAATGCTTGCTCTTCGTCTCCAACACGGGCGACCACACCCCTATTTCCGAGCGCTTACAACGCCTGAGGGATAAAGCCCATGCATGGCTCAAGCTTAATGCCTTCGCTTTACAAACAGGCACCCTACCAATCCCGTTTCCTACCCCAAGATACTTCACTGGTGAACATCTCTACTCGTGGATCCACCATAGCGACTTGGTCACCATCAGCCCAATACCATCCAAACATCCACAACAAACAATCGAACACGAGTGGTCACCAAAAACGTTGTGTCCATTAATATTTCCTCGGACAGTGAAGTACATATTGATGGACCCAGCACAAAATCTGTTCGGCATCATGTATATTGTTGACAACATGGCCTATCGCATTTACCTAGCAACTCTGGATGATGGTCATGTCCACCCTCACGCTGCTGGACCAGCGCTGGACCTGGAGCTGTCCGTGTATGCATTTGATGTGAAGCTCGAGTGTTATGGGAGGCATATCGCTTTGTGGCGCTGTGAGACTTCGAGGTTCTCGCAGACGTGGCATCTGCAAATTTGGGACTGGCAGCACTCAACAACATCCGGCGTGAGTCTTCAAGCTTTAGTCAGGAATGATTCGAATTGACGATTGATTTTGAATTTAGAGCGCCCTCAGCGGCAGCACGTACACCAGTGCCAGTTTTTGTTTTCTCGGAAACGACAGATTGCTCGTTTTCGCCCGAGATTTGGAGCTGTATTCGATTGAGGATATGTCCGAGACACCGCAATTGCTGGCATGTTTCCGGTTGCCTTTCCCGTTGGTGAACTTGGAGAGCGATCATAGCTCACAGCCGAAGATGCAGACGCAAGCCCAGTCGGTGTACACCTCAGACCCTAAACACAGACTGCTATGCGTTTACTCGTTAACTGATGATGTTCGAAAGATCTTTGTCATCTCCACGAAGATTTTCTTCGACATTGACCAAGCGGCAGTAAAACCATGGGTGTATAAACCATGGAGGTATGGTATACCGTGGCAGCATTGGGGCCCTGGACACGTTCGTGTTTTGAAGTATAAAGCAAGAAACAAAACCAAAATTCACCTCTGCGGGAATCGGGTTTTGCTGGTAGACAAGATAACGTCAAAGACACATGCGTACAAGTTGCGCATGATGGACTTCAGCCCGCTGGCCGTGGCGAATAGGCGGGGTCTAGGACGAGTGGTGAAAGAGCGATTGACCACCACGAGTGGCTCCATTTCCAAGTGGCCCGATAAATCATGGAACAATATCACCCATTGGCACTCGACTATTGAAACGTCCATGCCTTATGTCGAGGTAGTATCGAGTAGGAAGATTGCCGGTGGTGGGTTGTTGCAGGATGCATGGATGGATGATGATAGGATTTATTTGGTGTTTGTGACATCGTGTAGTCGGGATCGTAAGCTTCAGGTTATTGACATTTACTAGAGTGTTTGCTCAGCTACTATTTGACAAGCTTTTGGGTCTGATGCTGGCTTCTGCAGAAGTCCTGTTGTTGGCGTGTCTGTGTCAATCATTCTCACGACTCATCACTAGTCACTTCCAGTCTTCCATGACATCTACGCGAGCCAACATCACACCTTTATAATCAGCTTGGGTGCGTGGATGTGACTTCAGCGTGATCTAGTCTCAGTATATAGAATCCACAGAAAAACCCAAGGGTATCGTTCATACCACCAGCGGATACCTCCTTTGCGCGGCCCTTACTGTAAAATACATTTCCGATGCCCAGATGAAAAATTTCCCTGCATGGCTGATATGGCGTCGGTTGGATTACTGGACATACCTGCACTGTTTACGGACCAGTTGCAAATGGAGTCACCATCACCGCTACTGCGAGTTGTCGAGGCGGGCGGAGTATGTAAAGAGCCATGGAAGAGGCATCCTCTATCTGTCATGATACCAGCGTGTAGCACGCCGAAGTTCCATTATCTTGTCAGATTTCTGACATGAAAATGAGTCGATTGACATTTTTTGTGTCTTTGTACGTGCGAGGTTTCAGCCACATACACTTCGATCGAAATACTGCGGCTAGTGTTGCCGCAAGTCGACGCGGTGTGATGCGGTGCTAGCGAACTCGAACAAGTAAACGATTCGAGTTGTATCGAGTTACACACCAGTGCAACTAGCGAGTTCGGATGTTGTTCGGGAATTAAGTCCACCAATCAACGGGCTCAGATCTATCTCTTTCTGGTTTAGCAAGTCAAATTTATTGGCGCATAAATAGTTATATTTGGCAGAAACAGAATTATATATTTCTACAGTCATGACTCATCATGGCTACAATATCGTGAACGCTTGATGAGAAGGCTCGCTTGCACGGCACGGAGGAAGCCTGTATGGGTAAGATGTCGAGGGCGACTTTGTATGAGAGTGGATATACTCGTTCCGCATCCTAATCACGATTAGCGCCATGTGTGAAAACAATGAGTGCGAGACTTATGGGCATGTACATGGTAGTACAAAACTCATGTGTAAAAAAGTAGAAATTTTTTGATTTTTTATGGACCGACGAAGTAAGTAGGGCAGACATATTGACAAGGTATAACGGCGAGGTGTAAAGCACTGGAGAAGTGCTCAAGATTGCATGAAATACTCGAGCTACAGTCGGCAAGATTATAGAGACTTACAGTAACATTGATAAGATACCAGGGAAGCTTATGGGAAAGTCTTCTCGATATGTCAATCACCAACTCGCAGTGCAACTCGATGTTTACACCGCATGGGGCAGTTGCCACGAGTTGCGTAAATTTCCGAGTCGAGTCGATGCTAACTCGATTCCAACTCACACCGGCGGCAACACTAACTGCGGCTACCATGAGAAGTTCCTGGTGTTATGCTGTCTGCAGGTCAGTCAGGTACTCGTTGCTGTCGCGGAGGTGCTGCTCGTGTCTATGACGTTGCGTTCTGCGACAAAATGAAAATACGGGATGAGAGGACGAAAAGAAGGATACATGTACCTGCGACGTTGGCTTTGTTGCACTTTTCAGTTCACTGCATCCGTTGATAATATGGCGCGTGGTTCAGCCAGCTGACCCACATACCCTGCAGGCTCAAAATCGCTATCCCAGTCATGTATGACGTCAGCAACTTTGGACCCAGAAAGGCCCTCAGCAAGTCGGCGACTTGGGTAATCGTGGTCCTCGAGTACTTGAAGGAGGTCTGGACAATTTGGATTCCCATAACGTTACCCAGTGGTGTATCAACTGCTACTGCCCCACCAACACTAGAAAAACTGGATGATCCCTGCGATCGCTACGAGTTTGGCAGAGGAATCTGAAACTGCACATTGCGTATAATGAGATAGAACCTGTTGCCAACTGCCAGCAGTGGCTCCACCCCATCACTTGAAAGTGTCCTACACGGTGTGCGGAAGAGCATGATATCTGACAAACACAATTCGCCCAGTTCTTTCGAAGGAAATAAATTCTAAATGTCTCCGATCTCATTCATTGCTGTCTGACATTGATACTGGAGAGTGTATGAAGTATGCACTGTGACCTGCAAGACCTGCAAGCACACTCCCGCGAAGTCGCGGTTCTGGGGCATTTGGACTGGCAATCTCTGTTGGAAGAACGTCTTGTCCAACATATGCTACTAGTCAGATCAGCGGAGATCTCGACAGTTAGTATGTACGGTGATTCACTGAGTTCTGATGAGTATTGTGAGCAGAGCATTCTGCTATTGCACGACGACCGTCTGTATTTGTTTGAGTGAAAAGTCTGACCAAAGGAAGAGTTCCACGACCAGATGGTGAAATTTGGCATCAACAGGGAAACATTAATTATAAGTGGTAGTCTGGATGTATGTGGGATTGGCCTCGAGAGTTATACTCCATGGCAACACATGCTTGAAACATAGTCTCCTATGGTCAAAATTTTAGGCCTTGATCGAATCAAGATGGTATCCTCGACCAGTGATCTCCATAAGTACCTAGTTAATCATCAACCAGTTGATACCACACCGCTCTGTAAATCAGACTGGACGTCGATGACCTCAAGTCTGTCGATAGAGCTTGATCTGGAGAGCATATAAACCCTATCCTTGTCGATCCACATGTCCCTCAACAATGAGTCAGCACCGAACTTTCTCTCCCAAAATACGACTTGGACGTAAGGCAGGGATGTTGTCAAGCTCTCTCCAAATCTGCCAGATAAATCGGCACCAATGCATGTCGTGGACGGCTCTTTCACCACTCGTCCTAGACCCCGCCTGTTTGTCACAGCTAGCGGGCTAAAGTCCAATAAGTTGTAATATAAAGTGCGAGTCCCACACACCGACAGGAAGTGTGTGCAAGACTCGGTTTCCGTTGATGTGAATTTTGAAATCAAATGGGTACAGAAAGACACAAGTATTTGAGGGGCCCCAATGTTGCCATGGTATTGGCGTTGCTGCTGCCATTTCGTTGAGGTCGAAGAATATCCTTGTGGAAATGATGAAGACTTGAGTACTATTTCGAACAGAAAGCGCAGTAAGGCATATGAGTCGATGTGTAGGGTCTGAGGTGCACATCGTCGCTTGGGCTTGCATATGCAGCTGTGAGCCATACCCAATATCATCTATCAGAGGGAGGCACTGTGGTGCCATCAATGGGATGGGCATCAGGAAACACGCCAGCAATTCCGGCATCTGAGACATGTTCTCAATTGAATAGAGATTCAAGTTATCGGTTATAACCAGCAATCGATTGTTCCCGAGGAAACAAAAATCAACTGGGCCAACGATTCTGTTGAGTACTGCACCGCTGAGGATGCTCTAAATTCATCATCAATCGTCAAGTGTTTCAACTCTTTCAAACCAAAGCTCACATCGGACGTTGTCGAGTATTTCCAGTCCCAAATCTGCAACTGCCACTTGAAGAACGAAGCCCGATTTTCATCGTCCCAGCGACGCGACAATGCGATATGCCTCCCAAAACCTTTGAGCTTTGCCATTGTTGCTTCAAAGCGGTTTTCCGAATCGTCCGACAGAAGCCTCTCTCCAGCAGCCTCAGGGTGACTATGATCACCATCCAGGGCTCCAAGATTGATATAGACTGTCTTGTGATCAACGACATAGGCGACAGCGATCAGGTTTTGTGCTGGGTCCATAAATACATCAAGGTTGCGTGAGTATGGAACTGAACACAACGTTCCTGGAAGCCAGTTTCGCTGGATTGATTGTTGCGAGGGCTTTGGAAGTACTGAAAAGATCATGGCCGTGTCTCTTGGTGGGTTCCACAAGCAGAAATGCCCACCAGCAACAATGTTGTCTCGAGATGACGGCGCCCATGTTAGTACTGGGACCATTTCGAAAGGGTGGGTGTCAACCTTGAACCATGCGTGAACTTTGTCTCTCAAAAGCTGCAGACGCTTAGAAATAGGTATACTCTTGTCCGTGTTGGGGATAATGAGCAACTGTTGTCCACTTATTTCAACGATGTACTGAAGTTCGGAGGAGGACAAGTACATCTGGCGAAGGGTCCTACATACCTGCAAGAGGATCATCAGAACATCAGTCTATCTAGATTATAGAACAACGATAACATGAATGATGGCGACCCACAGATGTACACCGAAGAATATCTCAGTAAGGAAGGAAACTCAGAATGTAAGACAAGATTTCTTCAGCAAGAGACAGGAATCCTGTTTGGGGCTTCATTTTGTTATACTAGTAACACTTGAGGGTGAAATGTGCCAAGTGTTCGATTGGTGCATACAATTACATAATATCGGTAACGGTGCGCCACTCAGACGCTTGCCTAAAGCTATTCAAATATTTTGTAGCATAGTAGTCAGTCAATTAAATATGTTTTCGGAAGCTAACTCGATGTAGCGTTACGATGCATCCATTGATTGGTGAGCGATTCATGATTTGTCTTTTCGGAGTGATTATTACGCTACACACATAGCAGGTCGAGGAGGTTCCTCCAAGCCTTAGGGGTGCTGACCTAATTGGACTGCTAATGGCTTGCAACTTTTCAATCGACCTCCCTCACTCAAATCCGAACGGTTGACTGCTTTGTCAAGAGAGGGGGCCACGAAACAATGCGTAGATCAGTATTCCTGTCCCTTGCTGAAGAACTCCGGGTTTACATTCTAGGCTGCCTTTCTTGCAGAGACATCCTTTGTTGCGCATCCATAGGTTGTCGTCATCGTCCTAGACAGAATCTTATACTGACTCACTAGTTTTCACAGGTATGCAAGGCCCTTCGCCAGACATACATGTCCTCCTCAGAGCTCCAGTACATTGTTGAACTCAGCGGCCAATGCTTGCTCTTTGTCTCCAACACGGGCGACCACACCCCTATTTCCGAGCGTTTACAATGCATGAGGGATAAAGCCCACGCATGGTTCAAGTTTAATGCCTACGCTTTCCAAACAGGCATCCTACCAATCCCGTTTCCTATCGCAAGATACTTCACTGGTGAACATCTCTACTCGTGGATCCACCATAGCGACTTGGTCACCATCAGCCCAATACCATCCAAACTTCCGCAACAAACAATTGAACACGAGTGGTCACTGAGAACGCTGTGTCCATTAATATTTCCTCAGAGAGTGAAGTACATATTGATGGACCCAGCACAAAATCTGTTCAGGCATCATGTATATTGATGACAGCATGGCCTATCGTATTTACCTAGCAACTCTGGATGGTGGTCATGTCCACCCTCACGCTGCTGGACCAGCGCTAGACCTGGAGCTGTCCATGCATGCATTTGATGTGAAGCTCGAGTGTTATGGGAGGCATATCACTTTGTGGCGCAACTCTTGCCATGGGACAGACAGGTTTTTGAAGACGTGGCATCTGCAAATCTGGGACTGGCAGCACTCAACAACATCCAGTGTGAGTCTTCAAGCTTGAGTCAGGAATGATTGAAGAATTGACAGTTTACTTTTAATTCAGAGCGCCCTCAGCGGCAGCATGCAAGGTCCAAGTTTCATCCCCACCAGTTTTTTTCTTCTCGGAAACTGACAGATTGATTGTTTTCGCCGAAAATTTGAAGCTGTATTCGATCGAGGATATGTCCGAGACACCGCAATTGCTGGCATGTTTCCTGTTGCCTTTCCCGTTGGTGAACTTGGAGAGTGATTATGGCTCACAGCCGAAGATGCAGACGCAAGACCAGTCAGTGTACACCTCAGACCCTAAACACAGACTGTTATGCGTTTACTCGTTGGCTGGTGTTCGAAAGATCTTTTTCATCTCGACGAAGATTTTCTTCGACATCGACCAAGCGGCAGCAACAACACCAATACCATGGAAGCATTGGGGCCCTGGACATGTTCACATTTTGAAGGATGAAGCAGGAGACCAAACCAAAATTCACCTCTGTGGGAATCGGGTTTTGCTGGTGGACATGATAACGTCAAAGACACATGCGTACAAGTTGCGTATGGTGGACTTCAGCCCACTGGCCGTGATGAATAGGCAGGGTCTAGGACGAGTGGTGAAAGTGCGATCTACCACTACGATAGTCCATAGTAGCCCCAACTCCAAGTGGCACGATAAATCAGGGAGCAGTATCTCCCATTGACGCTGGACGATTGAAACGTCCATGCCTTACGTCGAGGTAGTATCGAGTAGGAAAATTGCCGGTGGTGGGTGGTTGCAGGATGCATGGATGGATAATGATAGGATTTATTTGGTGTTTGTATCTGAGGATACCATGATGGGCGACCCATATTTAAAACGTACCAAGCTTCAGGTTATTGATATTTATTAGAGTAGATGTCGACAAGCGAGCTAGAAGCCATTGCTCAGCTATTCAACAACCGTGACTTTTGGCTGGTTTCCGCGGAGGTTCTGTTAGTAGACTCGTGACCAGTGTTAATTATTCTCACGACTCATTACTTCACGGCTTCCATGACATCCACGCGAGCCAAAGACTTCCTCACTAAAGAACTGTTTATTAAGAAAAATGTGGTACGAGGGACGCGCACTCTGAACGTTGAACATCGACGTAATTATAATTGCCAGGTCACATTCCGGTCTTTGAGTCGCGAGCTCGGTATTCACGTCAATGACGCCAAAAAGTAAGACACCCTGATAACTTCGTATTGAATGGAGTGCTACAGCTACACAGTGAGCTTGCCGCGTATCTAGCGGACACTGCAAACACCGACACGCCATCATTCGCAACGTACATGGTCTCTGGTCAAATCTCTCCACTGCACACCAATGGAAGCCTGCTTGATGCAATGGACGTCACTCGCGATGATGACAATGCACACCAATCTGTAGTGCGCTCGAAGATAGTTTTGGTAGACTGCGATGGTCTGCAAGGTCGTGTTGTTTTCTCTTCTACGCGTCTTGACGCTAACGAGAGCGGCGTGCCACAGATGCCAAAGCTCAATTCACCCGTATTCATTCCGTTTATATATACAGCTTGTCACCCTCAGTCTTACGCGTAGGTGCTTCATGAAAGGGTAGACAAAACAGACTCATGTTTGTGCAGGATGCTGGCTTGATTTGCCAACCGACTGCCAGTGTCCGGAATGCAGACACAAAGGGCAATCCCGGGCTCAATGGGAAGATAATCAGTGCACACGTGAAGGTCTTCATCGCATATTTTGGTTCCTCTTTACCATCTCACAAAGACACAGATCAGGAATGGACTGCCCAAAAATGTCTCTGCAGCATCATCATCAAAGACAACGTTAGATGCGCGAAAGCCAGTCATGCCCCAGCCACATATTTTACCGCAGAAATTAGAGCAGACGACAGACAAGGGTAAGCGGAACGAAGTGTCAAAGGACAATGTGCATGCAAAACCACTTGCTACAACAAAAGAGCAACCCAAGCCGACTGGTAAACTAGATTGGAGCAAAGGCAAGAGTAAGGAACAGGAGATCACATCAGGACCACGCGTCAAGGATAAGGCCAAGCTTCAACCTAGACAAGATACTAAGATTTCGTTGTCTTCGGCAAAATCGGCTGATAAACCGTCGGGTAATAGTGATATGGGTTTGCAATCGATGAAGAAGCCTATCTCAAAGGTACCTGCAGTCGAACCAAAGGTACGTCAGTAATAATATCTCTAGGGAGGTCTATAATCGATCGTTACTTGACTCCAGCGAACTACTAAGCGTAAATCGCCTGATCCATCAGACTCGGATGTAGATGTCGAACACAAGTCAACGCCCAAAGACGGCAGGGTGATGCCTTCCGCCATGAATCATGCAAGAGTGAAAAGAGGTGTCGTAGTGTCCGATGACGAGGATGAGGAAGTCCCAAGCAAGTTACACAAAAATATCACTCGGTCCACTTCAGACTCTGAGAGGAGTCTTGCGGCAATGATGGATATTGACGATGGTCCGTTGTCAGACTATTCCTGATGTTATGCTAATCAGCCAGCAGACCAAGTTGTCAGGGCGTCCCGCTTGTCCTCTCATCGCCCTGATGTTGAGGTAGACGATACTGGTGACGAGGTCGACCAAACTGATGTGGACGCTCTGATATCTAGTCTCGGTGAGGAAGAGGAGGAGGACGTCAAGCCCCAAGCTAAGAAGAGGAAATCTAAGAAAGTAATCCCCGTCGGGGGTAATGGTTTGAAGAAACGTCGCATCTTAAAAAGTCGCACCACCACCGATGCCAAAGGCTACATGCGTATGCTCACGATTCCCAGATGATAAATGTGCTATTCTCATGATGTTTTTTCAGAAACGGAGGATTATTCTTCGTATGAATCCGTCAGCGAAGAGGAAGCCGTGCCCGAGGAACCGAAAAAGAGGAAATCAAGGAAAGTGGTCCCCGTCGGACGCAACGGTTTGAAGAAACGTCATGTCATAAAAAATCGCACTACCACTGATGCCAAAGGCTATACCCGTATGTTTATCATCCCAAAGTGATAAACGCACCATTTCTCATCAGGTTTTTTCCAGATACAGAAGAATACTCCTCGTATGAATCTGTCAGTGAAGATGAAGCTGTGGAAGTTGCGCCTGATGATGCGAAGAGGACCAAAAGTAAGAAAAAGGCAGAATCGAAGTCGAAGAATGAGGCAGGGGACAAGCCGGTACAGGCTAATTCAAAGATCAAGGAGACGAACTCCTTACGCGGGACTAAAACCAAGGGTGGGAAGGCACCGAAACGTGGCGGTCTTTTAAATTTTTTTGGACCTGACAAGTCGAAGAAATAGAGGTCAGTTTACACTATGTAGGGAGCAGGCGTTAATGTAGTTATGATTTTGGTTATTACAAGTACTTCTTACCTCATCTTGTCAAGGTGGGGACACGCAACAACGGTTCAGTGGTCTAATGGTTATGATTTCTGTCTCACACACAGAAGGTTCTGAGTTCGATCCTCAGCTGAACCACTTTTTGCAGTTGCTGGGTACGCTGAGGTACCCAGCAAGGTATCTTAGGGCATCGAAAGCGAACCATTAACTTGATGACGACGGTATGGCACTCCCGTTAATCAGGCTATGCAAGCATAAGTACGGATAAACATAAACCGACGTAAGCTCCTGGGCTCTCCTCTAAGTTAATATTTACATTTACCACCAGACAACCCCCTTCATGATTCTCCTTCCCGTTCTGACCACTTTCGCTTTCAAGACCTCACCATCTGCTGCAAAATCTGCTCCCACTTCTACGATGCCGCTCGGATGTTTGATTCTGATGAACTCCCTCTCCTCCACCTTCCCGAGACGCATTGACTTGGTCAAATCCCAGGCCAGCGTACCCTCAACTTTCGCAGCAACACCAAGACACAGACCGACTGTCATGGGTACAGCTTTATGCAATACGCCCATCGAGAAGGCATGAATACCAATATCATGATCTTGGTCACATGACGGCGACAGGACTGCAATTTTTGGCTGGGCTTGCATGTTAGGATCAAGGCCCATCTTAATTGCACCTGCCCGTCTGATGGACTCCATCAATTCCCGCAGTTCAGGGGTTGAGAAATCAACGAGGGATGAGGGGCGAAGAACGCGACACAAGTCTGTATATGTTACAAATACCGTGGGATTCGTTGCGTCGACGAGTGAGACTGGGATTTCTTGGTCAAGTATGTTCACGGAATCAAGTGGCTTCCTTGTCGGAAGTAGTTCACCGGTTCGTGCACCTGCTGGAGAGATAAATTCGAGGGTTATCTGTGAAGCCTTTCCCGGGACCCCTGCCATCGTGGTTTGAGGTAGGTCTAGCTTTGGTTGTAGGCTATCACCAGCCAAGGTTACAGGAAATGTAGTGTCAATTATTTTATTTGTATTCGTGTTATGAACTCGAATGGTAGTGGTGGTTTCGGATAGAGCAGAAGGATCTCGGGAACAGAATCCTTCGTCCATGGCGAATACACCAATCATACTGGAAAGGTTTCCACAGTTCCCAGAGAGGTCGATAGTGGTATCACGGATGCCCACTTGAACAAAAGTGTACTCGGCATCGATGCCTTGCGCCTGCTGTTCCGTAGAGGCTGAGCCGACGACGCATATCTTGGACAGGCTTGATATACCGCCGCCCATGCCATTGATCTGGAGACCATTGGCTGTATCTGGGGAGCCCATTATACCAAGGAAGATGGGGTCCCATTGTGATTGATCTTCTGGAAGATGAGCCCTGTTCAGAAATACGCCTTTCGATGTTCCTCCACGAAGGAAGGTAGCTGGAATGGGGTTGGGAGTGGTGAATGTCCTGTGCAGGTGGTGCGACTTTGGTGCAATGCGAACAATAGAAGGCAGCATATCCACAAGACGTGGCACTAGTAAGACTTGACAGGCAGGTCACGACCAAGTTTTGAAGATCCCATAGGTAAAGGTTGTACTGATCGGCCCGAATCCAATACATGCAGACCACGTGAGTACTTTATGCTGACTAATTTGTTTGATGTGACGAATTTCAATCAACTTATACTGAACTAACCCGCACACTCATTTTTCTTTCGTAGGAGCGGCTGGATTCACTTTAATTAGTGAGAAGGAATTGGCCTCCCAATGGTTTTTGCAGGTAGCCTTAGGGCGAATAGCGCGTCTTGCACTAAACAATTACGCTCAAGTCTCACCCGAGCATTGCACACGACCGGCGTTCCACGATCGTCACAGCGATTGGGTACTCAGATAGCTGCCAGGTTAGCTAACCCAAGACATTTTTCGACATCTCTGGTTACCCCTGCTCGCTCATCTCCCCTTCTATCCTCTCCACGCTGGTCAGGCAATAATAAAACCACCCCTCCAGCACCATCAGAACCCAGTGAGAATGACGCGGCAGAATCGAGTAGCAATTCTGTGAAGCTTGACGGTGCAGATGACGAAAGCCCAGCAGGGTCATCTTCCCAGTCATCAACCCCACCATCTTCTTCCTCTGGCGGAGATAGTAGCGATGGTTCTGATCCACCACCACCATCTTCACAGCCGACACCTACTCCCAGCTCAATAGCTAAACAGTCCGTACCAGAAGTCTATCCCCAGGTTCTTGCTCTCCCCATTGCACGACGTCCTCTCTTTCCCGGTTTTACAAGGCTGTCGTCGTTCGCAATCCAGCTGTCGTCGCTGCTATCAAGGAGATGATGAAGCGAGGTCAACCCTATCTTGGCGCTTTCTTGCTAAAGGACGAGCATACGGATAGCGATGTCATTACGGATATTAATTCGGTTCATCCGGTCGGTGTCTTTGCTCAGATTACTAGCGTGTTTGCTGCGAACAATGGTGCTGGTGATGACAAGGAGGAGGGTCTCACTGCTGTTTTGTATCCACACCGTAGAATCAAGATAACGGAACTAATCAAGGCTGGTGAAAATCCTAGTACTGCTAAAGTGCAGGAAGAGACGCAAACTGTTACCCCTCCTCCCACGCCTACTGAAGGTGATGTCGCGAAGATACCACAAGGTATGTTTCTCACAACTCATGGCAACAAATAATTCAGTGTCCCTCTCAGGTCCTGTCCAGACCTCATTCCTACACAAGCATGCCATCTCCATCGTTCAAGTAGACAATCTCGTAACACAACCATACAACAAAGACGACCAGTACATTCGTGCTTTTATGTCTGAGATCGTTTCCGTCTTCAAGGATATCGCCCAGCTTAACCCTCTCTTCCGCGATCAAATTACCAACTTCTCTATCAACCAGGTTGCGTCCAATGTTTTTGACGAGCCCGACAAGCTCGCAGACTTTGCGGCTGCTGTATCCTCTGGTGAGGTTGGAGAACTTCAAGACGTGCTCGAGAGTCTCGTCGTCGACGACCGTCTCCGCAAGGCCCTCCTTGTTCTCAAGAAAGAGCTTATCAATGCTCAGCTCCAGAGTAAACTCTCACGTGACGTCGATAGCAAGATTGCAAAGCGTCAACGCGAGTACTACCTGATGGAGCAGCTCAAAGGGATCAAAAAGGAACTCGGTATGGAATCAGATGGGAAGGACAAGCTCATTGAAAAATTCAAGGAGCGTGCCGCCTCGTTAAAGATGCCAGAGGGCGTCCGGAAGGTCTTTGACGAGGAACTCAACAAATTGATGGGACTGGAACCTGCTGCTTCAGAGGCGAATGTGACGCGCAATTACCTTGAATGGCTTACTCAGGTGCGCATTTCGTCAACTTTCATTTTTTGTACTGACACCTGCGTTACAGATACCATGGGGTCAGCATACACCCGAGAACTTCTCCATAACACATGCTCAGAAAGTTCTCGATGAAGACCATTATGGCCTCAAAGACGTTAAAGACCGCATACTGGAGTTCCTTGCAGTGGGTAAGCTTCGGGGAACGGTTCAAGGCAAAATCATCTGCCTTGTTGGTCCTCCTGGCGTTGGCAAGACATCTATCGGCAAATCGATTGCCCGTGCGCTTAACAGACAATTCTTCCGCTTCTCGGTTGGTGGTTTGACGGATGTAGCTGAGATCAAGGGCCATCGGAGGACATATGTCGGTGCGCTTCCTGGAAAGATCATCCAGGCGCTAAAGAGGGTAGGAACCGAGAACCCGTTGGTCTTGATTGATGAGGTGGATAAGATCGGGAGAGGCATCAATGGGGATCCTGCTAGCGCGCTGCTTGAGATGTTGGACCCAGAACAAAACAACGGATTCTTGGATCACTAGTGAGTGTTTTCCATCACTTCACTTCATGACGTATATTCATCCTTCTTAGCATGGATGTTCCCGTCGATTTATCACGAGTTCTGTTCGTCTGCACAGGTGAGTAGTCTAGAGCATATGCTGTGTTGCTCGTACTTGCGCTAACATATCTTTCAGCCAACAACCTGGACACGATCCCAGCACCTCTCCTCGACCGCATGGAAGTTCTTGAAGTCAGTGGTTATGTCTCCGAGGAGAAATGTGTTATCGCCGAAAAGTACCTCGGACCACAGGCAAAGGAAGCGTCAGGTTTGAAGGACACCGACATTGTCCTCGAGCCCTCCGCCGTCGATGTGCTCATCAAGTATTACTGCCGAGAAAGCGGTGTGCGGAATCTGAAGAAGCATATTGACAAGGTGGGGATTGTGCCAGTATACTATATGCATAGCTCACGGCTGCTGTAGATCTACCGGAAGGCTGCGCTGAAACTCATCCTCGACCTTGGTGAAACTGTCTTCCCTGAACCAGTCCCAGCTGTGTCTACCAGTGCACCTGCCCCGAATGCTGCTGATACTCCGTCCAAGACTGTCGAGTCTCAAGAACCACCTGCCAACGAGCCCAATACGGTCACATTGGAGGAGAGTACAAGCAATGAATCTGGCGACCGCAAAATTGTGACGACACAGGAGCGCAAGCCACTACAGATTCCTGATGATATTCACGTCCGCATCACGCCAGAGAACCTGAAAGACTATGTTGGTCCACCTGTCTATCACAAAGACAGGATGTACGTGTCTCCTCCACCTCCAGGTGTCAGCACTGGTCTTGGCTACTTGGGCAACGGGTCGGGCGCTGTCATGCCCGTTGAGGCTACTGTCTGTCCATTCTCTACGCTCGGATGCAAATTATGCTCATGGTTCTTCTTCGCAGAGCATGCCTGGTAAGGGTGGATTGCAGCTGACTGGTAAACTCGGCGAAGTCATCCGCGAGAGTGCGCAGATTGGGCTTAGTTGGGTCAAGGCACACGCATACGAGCTTGGCATCACTAAGACGCCCGAGGAACAATTCCTCACGGACCGTGATATTCATGTCCATATGCCCGAGGGTAGTATTGGAAAAGAAGGTCCCAGTGCTGGGACTGCTATCCTATCGGCCTTTGTTTCTCTCTTTACCAAGACGAAGATCCATCCAGACATCGGTACGTTGTATCGTCAGATCTTGTTTTCAGTGACTCACCTTTTTGTTCATCAGCCATGACTGGCGAGATATCACTCGTCGGCCAAGTGCTTCCTGTCGGCGGTCTCAAGGAGAAGATCTTAGCTGCTCATCGCGCAGGTATAAAGACGATTCTAGCCCCCGCAGCGAACCGCTCTGACATCGAAGAGAACGTCCCGGAGAGTGTCAAGACAGGAATCCGCTTCGTATATGTCGAAGACGTACGGGAAGTCCTACACGAAGTTTTCCGAGGTCAAGATATTGTTGAGCGGTGGAAGGATACGTTATCGTTATAGTTTGGTTCTCTGCTGCATCATTACTTATTCTATTTCGTTCGATCGATCGACGAGAGGCCGATTGCTCGCTTTTCTATCTGATCGCGCACTTGCATATCTAGATTTACTTTCACTTAACGGCACAGTATCCTGCAATGGCTGTATTTTACACAATAAACCCAACTCATGATTTCATGGCACTGGTAGTGGTTGTGTACGCTTGTTTTGCGGTGCACTTGACCAACTTTTGCAGAACCGAACATGTGTTCATCGAAACTTCATCCCACACTTCTGACATCAGCCCGGTATCGCTGGTTGATTGAAGCATGCTGCACACCTTATCTTCTACTCGTTAGTATCTGTTTTCTCATGGAACTCCGAGGGAACATACACTTGTCTGTTCAAGTGATGTCATGTGCGCCGCCGCAGGGGAAGTGCTGTAACTGTGCGTCTCCGTATCTTTTTCTCCATAGTAGTGATGATATAAGTTTTAGTGCCATCCGCGACAGGAACCACAGATTGTGCCAGAGTGACTTGTTACTCCTCTTACTGATACGAATTTGTGCCGTATATCGAACATTGCAACTAAGGAAGTGCCATGCGTTCTTAGCAAGCTCATCATCCGCCAGCGTACTTTCAGCGCTGGCAGCCGCGAAAGCACTCTGACGCGACCAGTTCGGAGAATACTTATCTCTCTAGTCGAGGTCTAAAGTTAGAATATAAGCTTCTCCCGAATTTAGCTCCTTATCGCCGGTTTCTTGGCCATATAATGTAAGTTCGTCGCTGTCTGTATTTTTTCTACTCGGAAGGTCTCCCTGCTTCGCTTTACATCATGCATGACATTGACGATTCCGTAGTGCCTGGATCAGTTTACCTTGTCGACGTCCAGGAGAAAACGACGGTTGCGCACGCAGAAAATAACAGTGCTATTGTGCTCAGTCCGACGCCTTCCAATGATATTAACGATCCTCTGAACTGGAGTAGAGGCCGGAAATTTCTGCAGATCGTCTGCGTGATGATATGTATGTCTTAAGAACTGATAGATGATGTCTTGAATTTTTACTCGGTCTACAGACACAAGTGCTATCGGCATCGGGACGACCGTGCTGTACTCCATTTTGCAGCCTATTTCCGATGATACAGGGATACCTCTTGCAACGCTCAATGCGGGCACGGGATACAGTAGGCTTATCTCTACATTTCTTCTTATGTCTATATTCAACGGTGTCATTGTTGTCATGAAAAGTGTTTCTTTGTAGGTCGTCATCATTGTTCCTCATGATCGGGTTTAAATGACGTCGGTATACCAGTCTTAGGCTGGGGAGCGCTGATAAATCAACCACTCGCTCTTACCTTTGGAAAGCGACCTATATATCTGATTTCAGTCATTGGCAACACTGTAAGAGTCTGTGACAACGAGATATCGGCAAGTTGAAGGTTGACCAGTCTTTGGTAGGCCCTCTGTCTATTGACGCCGTACATTAGGACGGAAGGCCAGTGGTATGCAGCACATTTTTTCAGCTCAAAGGCCACTCAATGATCATCCACCACCAGGATCGCCAGCAAAATTGTGCAGGGTTATCTCTGCACTCCTGTCGAGAGTCTGTGCGAGGTCAGCATTGCAGATGTTGTAAGCACACCAAGATCCTCGTCTATCCAAATAAGCTCATTTCACCTAATAGTTCTTTGCGCATGAGCGTGGAACATATATTGGAATTTACACGCTCTTTCTGTTTGGGTTGGTCTTGAGCGTATTAAACTTTGACTTGTGCTGACTTCTTGAGCAGGTCGAACTACTTTGCACCACTCATCGCTGGTGTGCGTATCAAATTGCATATCGATTCCCAAGTTTCGTCCTAATTTTTGATCAAGTTCATATATGATGGCCAAGGATGGCACTGGGTGATGTACTGGGCTGCGATCATAAACTTCGGTTCCCTCATAGTGTTGTTTTTCTTTATGGAAGAGGTACGCCGTATGCGATTAGTACTGGTTATTGCTGACGCCTAAGTGTAGACGAACTTCGTACGCAACACAAGCGAAGCGACAGAAGCCGTACACTTCAGCACCAAACAAGGTACTGAAAAAGACGACAAGGTGTCAACTACTTCATCTCCTGTCTCTTCTGGGGAGTTGATAGGCATACCTAAATCATATTTGCAACGGCTCGCTTTATTCGGTGGGCGCTACGCTTCAAACAAGCTGCTGCTCACGATGACGTACCGTCCTATAATTCTGCTGCGCTTCCCTGTCATTTTCTGGTAAGCCATCCGTTGGAAACACAGAGAACACAAACTAACTTTTTCAATAGGGCAGGGTTTCAGTATGGAACATGTCTCGTGTGGTACAATGTCCTGAATGCCACTTGTTCATTAATCCTCAGCGAACAACCCTATAACTTTAGAGCAAGCTTTGTGGGATTGACCTACCTCGGCCCCTTGATTGGCATGTTTATTGGGTAAATTTCTTCTGAGTTTTCCTAGTAATATCTCTGACGTTGGTACAGAACATTCTATAGCGGGTGGGTGGGTGATCGGTTTGCTGTGAGATATGCGCGTCGAACGGGCGGTATCCGAGAGCCAGAGCATCGCCTTTGGCTCATGGTTGTTTCGCTTCTTTTGTGCCCAGCTTCTCTCATTCTCTGGGGAGTTGGTGCGTCCAAGGGCATCAGCTGGGTCGGCCTCGTCTTTGGCATGGGCATCATCTCTTGCTCGACCGGTATTGGCTCTTCACTCTCTATAAGCTACGCCCTGGATTCATACAAAGATATGAGTGGGGAAGTGATGATGGCTGTCATCCTCGTTCGCGTAAGTACAGCAACTCGTCACATCTTTGCGCTCATACTGAATATGGGTTTTCTTGAATGTAGAATACCCTTTCATTTGCTATTGTAAGTCGAGACATTTACTTTCACCTTGTCATTTTGACACGTGTTCTTACAGGGATATGGGATCACCCCTTGGCTTCACATGGGTTACCAGAACACGTTTATATCTGCAGGCTTCGTCGGGCTTGCCATTACGATGACTTTCCTCATTGTTATCAAATGGGGAAAGAGCTGGCGAATAGCAAGTCGTAAAAGATATTGGGGATATGTCGCTGGTGGTACCCTTGGGCATTAGCAAGCTAATCTTCAAATGTCCACACACTAGACATAAATTTTCTGGCACCACGCATCCTCCGAGTATCCTTCTTTTGTGCCCACTCGCCGCTCCCTCTTTGATATTCTGTTTTTATGTTTATTTCACCGCGATCATGTACATACACATCATAGAGCAACCACATTTATCAATAACGATTACCGCACCTTTTCCAAAGTCCAACACGATCGAATTCATGATCAGTTGTCCCGCGTCCCACCCTGAGCTACGCTCAGACCAGCCCAACTACCCCAATATCGTGTCAATGAATCAGTAGCCTCAGCATAGACGACATTGGATTAATGCGCTTGGATTTACAAGGCATCTTCACCTTATAAGCTATCGCATACGAGCTTGGGGTGATGCCGCCGGCAATTTTAAGGCAGGCCAACCAAAAATAGAAACATCGGTAGCCAATTTCAACTTTTGGTTGCACCGTCACGGTAGACTGCTCCCCTAGTCAGACCATGATAAACACTGACCCCAAGTAGTTTTTCCCCCTACACTACCTGCGCAACAACATCAAGTTAATGATTTTAACGTCAGGACTACCAAATTCCAGTGTTCAGCGGAGAAACTAAGTGTGAGTGTTCCTGCCCAGTCAGGTGAAATGCTCCTTGTGTATTGAAATCACTCCTCTAGACCTATTTGATCAAATTACAACAATTGAATCATCTTGCTGGCGAATGTAGAACGATGCTCGTCAGAATTGAATGAATATAGGCACCGTTACTCCATCCGCAGGCGCCGGCGTGGATGCAATCCGCGAGAATGACGGGCAGCACAAATATGAAACATGCACCCTTCTAGTTGCAAGCTGGTGCCTGCTCCAGCGCAGGTGCCAGCTTTGAGGATCGCGAACTTGCAGACATCACTCTCTTCTGGATGGTGACCGCGATATGTCAAGTTCTCTGACTAAGGGCTATCTAGTGACTAGTCCTTTATTGACTTGTAGGGAGAGATCAAATCTTTTGTTGAGCTAGACTTTGACTTACTTGCGATCGACCAGGCAGCTGCCAGAACCCGGAGCCTTGATGAATTTTGGACTCTATGCGTTCGACGAGACAGGCTTCACTCAAGAGACACTTGGTTTATGCCCGAATGTGATGCACAATTCTGTGGCAGTCTCAAAATGGTACGATGACCAGTCATCCAGGCTTATCTGTATTCAGGACATATACGCTCTGGAACAACAACTCGCAACCATGGTGGTCGGACGAACGTTGCACCAAGCAAGAGACCAACGACTATGGAAAATTAAGCATGAGGCTCGTCGTGTATAATCAGACGTTTAAAAAACACATCGAAACCGTACTAAATGTGTTCGAATTGTAGATACACGACTGCAAGATCAATTTCGAATTCTGCCGCCAATCAGTGTTACTCTTCAGAACAGCGACATCGCAACCCCCATAAGCTTCTGCATCTCCCCTGGCTCCATGTTTACCTTACCCGTCGACTTGTACTCTCCCATTAAGCGCATTGCAGTTGCTGCAGCTGATTGCATAGCTATGGGTAGTGCGTCATTAGCGCAAGTGATAATATATCAGGCGCAAAAACTCACCTTGCGTCTTTCCTTGGCTGTCTCCCCCGCCCTTCTTGTCGAAGAGTTTACCTGCCTGGGCCATCGCCAGGGCAGCCTGCAGGATTGAGCATATCAACTCCAAAGATGGTAAAGAAACCTACGATCTTGCCCTGCATGCCACCACCTCCTGCAGAAGCCTGTGCTTTAGCAGCCGGCCCCTCGTCGTCAGACTCAGACTCAGGTTCCGCATTCTGTGGCCGCCCCTGAGGCTTCCCACCACTCGGTCTCCCACCCATGTCTGATGACTGCTGCGCACCGCCGGTAGATGGTGTCGCATGCGGAGCGTTCGCGTCGGTATGGAATCCACCCTGTGGTCTACCTCCCTGCTGCGGCCTGTTACCCGACTGGTTATTTGCAGCCGTGAGCTTCAGCGCCTCAATAGCGGCAGCTGCGCCAATAGCATCATTCGCCATTGGCTTGCCATCATGATCGGAACTACAAGAAATGACGCTCAATCTAGCTCGAATCAACAAGGAAAGAACATACCCATACGCCTGAGCGTGAGCAGAGAAATGGGATTTATAATTATCATCGTCGAACCCGTCTGAGGGTTGAGGCTGGTAGCGAGGTGGGTTAGGGGAGTCGTCATAAGCGTTTGCGTTATCTGGGGTGTGCGAGTATGTCTGTGCTGATTGACCTACTTCGCCATCAATTAAAGATAAGCGATGCTACTTGACCGTCTAATCATACCTGGCGGAGGCCCATTGTAATAATCACTCGCAGCACCTCGGCCCGATCCTCCTTGAGGAGAAGCATCGTATCCATGTGAAGGTCTAGTACCTGGAGGTGGCGGCCCAGGAGGTGGAGCATAACCTCCCGCTGGCGCATGAATGGATGATGCACCAGGAGGACCAGCAGGGGGTGCATACACGTTACTTCCATAACGTGGGTCCACCGATTCTGGGACAGAATACTGGTTGCGAGAAGGCTGAGCATATGCGCCGCTCTCATAGCCAGATGTGCGCTGTTCGTGAGGGACGGACTGCTGCTGGTATGATTCTTGGTAACCAGCGTTCTGAGGTGGTCTATTTGAATCGCCCATCATCAGCTCACATCATGATATGATCGCCACACAGATCAGATAAACTGACCTCTGTCGATCCCATTCTCCAAAGTCCTCAGGACCGATAACATTACCTCCCCTGCGGGATTGTTCGAACCCCGCGCCGCCGCCATCATGATGCATCATCCTCTTAAACTCTTCATCAGAGACGAAATCCGCCCTGTTGAACCCTCCAGACGGGGGTGCATACTGCTGCTGATCCGGGTCGCGGCGATGGTCTTCGAATCGTTCATGTCGACGCTCTTCTGAATGATCTCCGTGACGCCCATGTCCGAATCGACGCTCTTCGAGCGCTTCGCGGCGGTCCTGGAGACGCTCCCCGAATTGTTCGCGGCGATCTTGGAAACGTTCTTCTCGTCCCTCGCGTCGTCCGAATCCTTCGCGTTGGTGATGCTGAGAGCGATGATTGAGGTTTAGTAAGAAGATAGTTCATATAGAATCGACTTACCATGTTTTAGAGAATCTCAAGAGTATCAGAAGATGGAAATTGTGGAAAGGAGGATTCGATATCACCGCTAAATATACTATAGCCTGGCTGAGGCTGTTTTAGGGTATAGCCTGTAGTGCGTAGTGATGAGGGCTATGCTCCGTTTCAGTCTTATCTCGCTCTCAATGGAGTGCTCCATGACGGAAGCTATAAACATCCAAATCAATTAACATTGCTCCACAAATTTAAACAATTCCTGGTCAATACTGTAGATATATAACCAACTATAAGTCAATGATCGTGTACACTAATATCTCCGCAATTCTTGATCTGCCCCCCATGCGATGCGACCACACAAGGTCATGCCCTACCACTGTGACTTGAGCCATTCCGCCTGCAAGTTCCAATCCCCATCCCCACCCTGACCAACGTCTCCAAACACGCTCTCCCATTAATTACCAGATCCTCATCCCATTCTACTGTTCCCCGTTCGAATAAAACGACAATCGTCGAGCCCCCTGTGTTGATAACTTCATTCAGAAAACGAGTACACTGAATACAGAAAGAGACTGCGCACCAAAAGCAAAATATCCAAGCTCTTGACCGCGCTTGACATCCTCCCCTTCTTTAACAGTTATCTTGATACTCCCCACCATCATCGCACCAACACAAACCACCATGACTCGTCCAAACTGTGGACTATCAATAGGTACGATCTTCCTCACGTTTTCTCCATAGACATCTAATGCGCTCCGAATCGCTTGAGGCTAACCACGCCGCCACGCATCAGTCCCCACTCAATCAAAACAAAAGCAAAAGCACCCACGTTCACAGTATAATACTCCCCCTTCACATCCCTCATCTCCCCAATCCTCCCATCCACAGGAACATGGAACCGATGATAATCCTGAGGTGCGAGTCTGAAAATCGCCAGAGGCCCACCTACGTATCTCTCTGCCTCATCGCGGTACACATCGCCCAGTAATCTCGCAATACTGAACTCGCGGCCTTTGATCCAAAGCTTTGTAGCTTCGGAAACAGTTTCGAATACCATGAGGCGACAGTCGGCGGCACTGACAAGGCGGCGGGGGTCGTCTGGGCTTTCGGTGGGTCTGGCTGAGGGTTTGAGTTTACGGTAAAAGAAATCGTTAAAGGTTTCTGACAAACAAAAATCAGGTCAGCGGGGTATGCATAGCGGAAGTGGGAATCATACTGAAAGAACTGATCGGCTCTAAGATCTCATTGACTTGAAGCTTATGGAACTCGATGAAACTTGGGATATCGCGAGCAGATTCTGGTGAGTCGTATTTGGCACCTTGTTTGATGGATAACGACTTGAGAAGGCGACGAGCTAAAATAACTCGAGTTGGGAAGAACGACGGATATGAAGATGAATATGCGAACCTCGTGCACCTTCCATCCTTCCTCTGGCACCCTTATACAATAACCGGATGCCAAGCCGAACATACACTTGCATCTTCTCTTCCTGCAACTGCCCCGTCATACGATTCTGTACGATAATGTTCGCCGAGTTCTAAGAGATGCATCATCAGCACGACCTGACCAAGACAACACGACAGCTATGACCACTCACAGCTCCAATCCTATAATTCCCATTCGACACCTTCGAAATAACCTTCGTATACCACTTCCTCTGCGCCTGACTCGCAGTCACAAAATTCCCCACCACAATCCTATCCACCTTCGCCCAATCCTGACTAGCGCATATAGCCAGGTGCGTGATGATGTCCATCTCCGCTTTCGAGTTCAATCGTGGTCGATGGCACAACGGGCAATTCTTGATATTGATAACCCGCTCAAAGGTGTCTGAGGAAGACACTTGCGCTGAAGTTACATCGTCGGGGTCAGACGACGAGGTGGAGTCCTGCCTCGCGTTATTGGATCTAGACCCATCAGACGTCGATGCCGCAGGCGAATGTTCCGGGACACCAACGCTCAATAACGGCCTATCACTCGACTCCGTCACAAACGACTTTTCCACATCCGTAGGTGACTCATCCGCAAATATTGCGCTCAAGGGCGGACCTGAGAAATCCAGGCCGCCCAAGAACGGCCGTCCAAACGCTAGGTTTAATCCAAGTTCTTCTCCAGGCGTGATAGATTCTGATGCAGATGCACTACTATCTCTGTCCATGAAGGTGTCTATTGTGTCGATCCTCTTCTTCTCGCATGCTGGTCGTACGAGCTCTCGTTCTAGACATTGAATTGATTCTTCAAAGGTTAATTCGTCTTCTGCGGGTCGTTTGCGATAGCGAGTAAAGAAGGAGTCTATAGTCTGTGCAGAGAGTGTAGAGCCGAGAGAATCAAGCATAGATGTGAGCTCCACGTGCGATATGGCACCAGTATCATCCGTATCGTACTGCTTCAGATACTGTGCCCAGAACCGCTGACGAAGCTCGGCATAGGGCTGGAACTTTGCACTGTCACGAAAGTTAAAAGACGAAGATGGTAGACGATAAGACGAGCGCACCGGAAGGAAATAGTGGGATTATGCTTCGCCTCCCAAGCCATCTCTTTCGCCGTCGTCAGGGGCAAACAAAACTGCTTCACATCCTTTCCTTCTCCATTTCCTTCCGCGTTGTTCTCCCCGCACACATCTGCATACAATCCTGTCCGCGGATCGGGCTGTGGCGCGTCTCTGACTAGTTCGCCGACGTCCAACCATGCATCGCCCACATGGTCATTGCTCGATAGTTTATCCCAGTCCAGGACTGTCATTTGGACCTTGAATGACGTCTCGTATCGACGTACGTGGAAGAGGAGTTTCTCATCCCAGGTGGGGTTTAGAGAGTGCCGGATGATACGTGTACGAAAGATCTTTTTGGAGAAAGAGATCACTACGAAGGGGTCCATGTCAAAGCCGGTGCGGGTCACTGCAAAGCTGAGTCAACGCCGGAAGTAAACGACAATGAGTTCAAACGCACTGTTCTTCAGCTTAGGCAAATCAGCCGCGCCTTGTATCTCAAGCATCACGATCCCGACTATGTCGTTCGAGTTTGAGGCAGTAAAGTTGTAGTCCACCTTTTTGCTTGCCCAAGATTTTCGGAATATCTTTTTCTGTGTCGGATAGACGGCACTAGAAGGACCTGGAGATACGGGAGATGGGAGAGGAGTAATAGCACCCGCACTCATAGACCGTCGATGCAAGCGACCCGAGGGAGGCGTGTCGTAGGATGGTGAAGTGAGGAGATTGGGACGGCGAGGGAAAAGTTTTGGGAGTCTGCTTTTCGAAGAAGGCGTGGTGCTGGACATAGCAGGCGCAATTGTGATAGGCGTAGTGGTCGGAACAGGAGGTAACGGACGCGCAGTCTCAGGCTCCTGTTCCTCGGACTGGACAGGGGGAGTATCTGGGAAGGAAGATGAAGGCGCGGTAGATCGTAGGGTACCGGTATGGGACATGCTATCTCGGGTTCTCGGTGCTCGCGAGTCTGATCTGGTAGGAGAGATGGAGAGAGGTAAAGGTTGGAGAGGTGGAGGACGAGGCCTTCGTCTTCTTCTTCTCCTTCCTCTACAACATCGTCATCATCTTGGTCTTCTTCATCGGAACTGATTCCACCATCATCTTCATATGCTGGGCCTGTCAAATGAGATGGTAGAGTGCCGATGCCTTCTGTCTATGGGAGACGATTGAGTTAATCGGAAAAGGAAGAAGAAACGCGTAAGACGTACTGGAGGGGCAGAAACGAGACTCGGGCGGGATCGCTTTACGAGTTCAGCAAAGACTCGCTCAAAAGCCATTGGGGACTGTACACCAGGGGGTGCAACGAAACCGAGTTTGACTACTGCCATTCCAGATGCGTGCGTATTCGCACGTGTCGAAACTAGATTTACAGAGTGTGGCTACAAACTTTTATTAATACGAGGCCTGCGAGAACACAAGGGAGAACCCACCCGATTAGTTTCAGCTGCGAAACATAGACTATTGTTGCCGTCGCCATCGCCGTCCCGAAACCAGGACTCGAGGGTGAGTGCGACTTCTCCGACGTATTCCTTCTTCAACTTCAAGGTATCCTTGTCCCAGACGACTAGTTCGACGGACCCCAGCCTATCAGCAAGAGATAGATAGATAGGAAAGTCGAAGGTTGCATCTTTAGCAGCATAGACCGGATTAGGAGTGCGTTTGAGGACAGGAGTATGGTGTCGATTGTTGAGGAGGGAGACAACGACCAAACTATAATCACATGATAAGACAAGTCAGGGTCGTTGATAGGACTCGGAGTAGCAGATTCGGACTCACGGATTGAGGTCGCCCTCCTTTGCCTGTGAGCCATTTCGAGCCCTAGCGAGGCTCAGACAGCCAATGATTTGAACGCGAAGAAAGACGACTGGTTGTTCACCTGGGGAGGGAGAGTAGTGGTTTCGACCGCTACCACCAGTGACGGCCCGGAAAGCGGGCTGCGGATTTGAGGGCACGCCCAAGTTTTTGGGCTTTCTTGGGCACGGCCGGTGCCATATTGAGACAGTGCTAGTATTGACGAGTCCAACGACGACGTCGGACCAGCTGAAGAGGACGACCTGAACTTGAAACTCGGAGCAGTTCAGGGTTAATATAGAGGCCCGAGGACCTCCTGTGGCACAGCTAGAAGCTGTCAGTTACGAGAAATTCCTCTCCTAGGTGCCAGCGCTGTTGGACAGCCACGCTAAACAGCGCTGGTGGATGTTTCCAATGTGTTCCAAGTCGAACTAAGCGACAAGTCACAGTCAGAAAATTGGAATAAATGGAGATGAAAGAAATGTTAACGCGAGAAGCCAGCAGGCCCAAAGGGTTTAAGCAGCTTCAAGTTAAGCGTGATAATCAGGTGCCATACGAACGTCATGCCGCTAGTCAATATAAATGATCGTGGGTTTCGGCTCGTGCTCGTGCTTTCTTCCATCAATCACCGGTTGCTTATCACTTTCTGCTAATGGTTGTCACCAATATCAATAGCATTGGCAATGCCCACGCGCGCTCGACATAGCCCTACCGGTATTCTAATAAATGACAATAACCTCAAGCTTGGTTTTAAACGTAATATATGGGCCATCTACATTCGAAGCAAGTTGAACTCCTAGATCATCTCTGAATGTGGCCACTGTAACACTCAGGATATAGGCGACTGCAAGGAAAGCGAGGGAAGTTAGATGTAGCAGCCTGAGCAAATAGATCCTATCACCATCCATCCAAACATCCTGCAACAGCCCACTAATCTTCCTATCCGATACTACCTCAACGTAAAGCAGAGCCGTTTCAACCGTCGAGTGGTAGTACTTTGATTCATCGTCCCACTCCAAATTGGGATCACGTTGGACCGCTACCGTCACAGTAGATCGCTCTTTCACTACTCGTCCTAGACCCCGCCTATTCGTCACGGCCAGCGGGCTAAAGTCCATCATGATTCATACGCAACTTATAGTAGTCATGTCCCATCTTGTCCGCCAACAAAACTCGATTCCCACTGACATGAGTAATTGACACGTGTGCCGCTTTCCGCTCAACAACACGAACATGTCCAGGGCCCCAATCATTCCATGGTATCGGCGTTATTGCCGTCGCTTCGTCGATGTCAAAGAAAATCTTCGTGGAGATGAGGCAGATCGTTCGTTTATCAATCGATGAGGTAAGGCATAGCAGTCTATGTTCAGGGTCTGAGGTGTACATCGACTGAGCTTGCGTCCGCAGCTGTGAGCCATGCAGAGCCGGAAGGTAATGTTCTGTGTCCACCAACGGGAAAAGCAACAGGAAAGATGCCAGCAATCGTGGTGTCTCGGGCATATCCTTGATCGAATACAACTTCAAATCATCGGCGACAACGAGCAACCTGTCGTTTCCGAGAAAACAAAAACTAGTGGGGGTGAGAAATGTATTTTGCATGCTGCCGTTGAGGACACTCTAAATTCAAAATCAACTGTCGATTCTTCGTCAAATTCTGATTTAAGCATGAAGACTCACGCTTGATGTTGTCGAGTGCTGCCAGTCCCAAATTTGCAGCTGCCACACACGGTCACTGGCAAAAGGCCATGAAGTCTCAACTCCACCAGTGTAAAATTCACGCCATACAGCAATATGCCTCCCATAGCACTGGAGCTTCGATTGCCACTCAGATCCAGGCAACTCCAGAACTAGCGCTGGTCCGGCAGCGTGAGGGTGGACGCAACCATCATCCAGAGTTGCTAAGTAAATGTAGGTCATCTCGTAAACAGTATACATGATGGCGAATAAATTTTGTGCCGGGTCCATCAATACAATCCGCCTCTCCGCCCCATGAAATGGACATAACGTTCTGGATGACCAGTGGTGTTCGATTGTTCGTTGTGAGAGTTTGGATGGTATTGAGCTGATGGTGATCAAGTTGTTACGGGGATTCCACACGTACAGATGTTCACCACCAGTGACGTATTTTTGCCTGTCAGCAAGCGATGTTGATGGGATAACTGTTTGGAAAGCATAGACATCAAACTTGAGCCATGCGTAGGCTTGATCCCTCAAGCCTCAGGCGTTGTAAGTGCTTGGAAAATTGAAATAGGGGTACGTTCGAGCGTGCTGGAGATGCCGGGGAGCAAGCATTGGCCGCTGAGTTCGACGATGTACTGGAGCTCTGAAGAGGACATGTATATCTGGTGAAGGGCCTTACATACCTGCGAGAACTAGTGACTCAGCATAGGATTCCGTCTAGGACAACGGCGACAACCCACGGATGTGCAACGAAGAATATCTCTGCAAGAAAGGAAACCTAAAACGTGAACCCAAAGTTCGTCCGCAAGAAACGAGAGTGCTGATTGAGGTTTTATTTCGTGGTCCATTCTCTTGACAAGGCGGTCAACGTTTCGTCCCGATGAGTGAGTGGGAGGTTATCGAAAAGTTGCAAGGCGTAAATTTCCAATTGAGCCAGCACCCCTAAATCGGCTTGAGTACTGGTACTTGCGCGCGCTATAGGGGGAGAACGCTCGGACCCTCGAGAATAATCTGAGTCCAAGCGATTCTAACAAGCTTAAGAGTCACCTCAAGTGATAACATTCTGCAGTGAATCATCAATACTATGTTGCTATAACACTAAATGACGTCGGTAGAGTACATAATAAATTAATAAAGGAAAGTGGAAAGTTCTAGCAAAACAGAACAGCGTCAGTCAAGTCCGTAACAAAGGACAGTGAAAGGTTCTAAAACAACCTCATCCAAGCGCGACCCATCCACACAACTCCATTTTTTCACTGATCTCCGTCGGCATCCTCAACACGCTCTCCTTATGCAGCTCATTGATATCACATTTCTCCGAACACAGCACAAACCGCCCAAGCCCTCCCTCTCGTCCGGCATATATACACACAGTCGGCGGTCGCTGCGCACGGAAATAGTACATCGTCGACGAGCACGTGTCGATGAGCGTATAGATGTGTCCCGCATCGGGTCCACTATCCGCTAGTTTGGCATAGTCGTATTGTCTGAACGAACCTCCCCGGTCTAAGCCTCGCTCTGGAATCGAGAACTGTGATCCGCTCGGCGTGAAATACATTCTTGGGAAGTGTCCTCTGGCGGCGCCACCGTACAAGTGGCTCTCTACCTCTTTGATGCTCACGACCCCTTTCACTCCGATGAGCCATGGTTGTGCGCTGACAATACGCCCAGATTGACTGAATACGAATAGCCGAGGGGAAACGATGAGGAGCACCAATCCGATTACGGTGAGCGCGATGCCTCCCACCCGGTTGATCATAAGAATAGCTAGCCCGATGATAAGAGTTGGCCATGAGAGATACGGAATGAAGCCGATGATGGTTCTCCTCAATGAATCTGTGGTCTCAAACGCAACCTCCGGGAAATCTTTCCATCTGATGGATGCCGACCGACACCCATCAACTACAAGAGCTCCATTGTCCGTAACACCAGCGACCTGGATCTCCGGTAAGATATCCCAAAGGTTGGCACGGTAGATATCATCGTCAGAGTACCAACACGCTGTCTTGGTGATGGTCGAGGGCAGCATGGATACCATGCGCTCAGCGATACGGTCATTGTCGTTGGCCATTGAAAGCCTCACAAGAGCGCGCAAATCGTCTTCTGAGCGGTTTGGCTGAATCCGGTGCTCAAAAAAGCCCATCAGCGCATACACACGCTCGGCCTTGTACGCCCCACTCAGGACGGTGACAGACTTCTCGGAGTCGCCTATCATATCCAACTTTGGTGGGGGAGGAGTAACACCTGGTGCTAGAGCTGCCGTACCGCGCCGCCATATAGCTGATTTCAACAACGTCAACCGCTCCAACCTCTCAAGTGGATCCTTCCCGCTGTAGGCATTGACGATAGCTTGTTCGATGTCGTAGTTTGTGTAGGCCAGGTTGGCCAGCTCAAACAACGACAATGGTGTGACTGTTTCCCGATCTCGGAACTTGTAACAAAGGCGAGAGCTCAGGAGGGCTTCGGGCATAGTCCATACCCGTTCGCCCCAACCTTTCCAGCACTCCTTCTCCCCAGACGCAGATTTGCCGAGCATGATCAAAGTTATAGCTGCTCCACGGTAGACGTCCGCCATGCAGTACAAATCCCGATTCTTCTCTGACGGCGTCTCTCCTACACACTCCAGGTCGAGCCAATATGCATCGTATTTTTGTTCGAGCACCGTTGCACGAACTTCTTCTATGAACTGAGCTTTTTCTATCTCCTGATCTGGGCCTCGAGTGAAGGCATCAACGGCGCGGTAAGAAATGGCGATGAATTTTGTACGGATGATGGTATCGCGATCTGCACATGAGACCCACTCATTACAGATCGGGTCGCGGATAATAAGAACTCGAGGATAAAGGGTATGTGTAGGGATATCCATCTCGCCCTCCTCGATAATGCGCGAAGAATGTTCCATGGGCGAACGAGCTGCCCATAGCTGACCCTGGAACCCGCGGACATACGGTTTGTAGTATCCAGTGTTATATAGGTCCGTGTCCTCCCCGGTGTCATCTGCCAAGTCGATGGGGGCGAAAAGCTGTGCGAGCAGCCAGATGACTGACCAGAGGAGCTTCAACGTAAACAACAACCATACGCCTATCCATTTAAAAATGATCCACCCTCGTATGGGGGAATTGGATAGCAGCCATATAGCGATTTTGCTTGCTTGATTGGTGTGGTTGCTGATGGGGACTTCTAATTTACCGAAGGGAGAGACGGCTTGCACGACGAGCTTTCGACAGATCCCACTAGTAGGGCTGACATATCGCTGCTCTAGACCGTGCGTTTTTGGATTACCCAGGTCGTCGTAGCAAGTGATGGTCACGGCTTCGTTTTGTGTGACTGGGAGCTGCCCGGGCCAGAGTCGCATCTTGGCTGATTCTGTTGAAATCGTCAAATGAAGATGAAAAACCAGCAGGACTTTCGAGTTGTCTGGACTTACGGTGAGCAGAGGGACACAAGGGGGATGTTACTTGATATTACTTCACAGGGACACTAGTACCTTTATATTACGCTTATGCGTGCCATAAGCCTTAGCTTAGTACGGCTCAAGTCGTCAGGAGCTTAGCTGATCCATCCCCTCATTGGACGAATCGATAAGGTTTTCCCTGCAGGGACACAATTCGTGCACAGCCAAAACTATTGAACCCCGTCGCTTATGCCGAAGGTTTAGAAAGTGCTTACAAACGTACGTGCTATATAACCTGTTATAGCCGCTTATAAAGCATAATACATCATGGCATCTGATGCCATCAATAATCGATTGGTTGCGCAAAGATGATCATGGAGGTTTACGGTAGCGATGCCTTCTGATGCACTATCGTGACGGAGGCTGTGAACTCGTACCTGATCTGTGGGTAAAAACAATTAAACGGTTCAAATGTCTCTGAACGTCACGTAGAAAGTTGGCCTTTGACAGAAAGACGTTATGCCTGGTGATTCAAGACTCATCTGCTACAAGAAGAACGGCATATCGATGAGACAGATGCCTAAAGAGCGCTTGGCGCCTAGCCACAGTGTCATTTAAAGTTCTGCAAGGGCTTCTAGGTCAGAATTTCAGCGCAGCTTAGAATTGCTAACCTGATGCCTGACTGTCCCCAGTGGACGTGGCACTAAGAACACGCGTTGACTGGCCGCACGGCAAACATTGAGTGCATACGTAATGACTTGAATTAGAAATTCTACTTCGTGAGTAAAAATAACCAAAGGTGCGGTGTGCTAACCTGTGCTGGCTTAATCCAAACTATAGTTATCATAGTAATGATGCTCATCGTAGGTCCTGAATGAACTCTATCATTATCTCCACAGCTGATTGAATCAAATGGCAAACATTCTTTAGCTCAGCGCTCAGGCCTCAGGTTTCAAGCTCTACATAGCATCATCGCGTAAGGACACGGCGATTGATCGCACCCAGTGAGGTCGTTAGCTTCCAGGCTTCCAGCCATAAACAGGTCAAAGATACTTTGGCGGCGATACCCTCACGCAGGCGGAGGTACAAATCAAAAGACTTTTGCCAAGATATTCTATGTGGTACATCCGTGGGTTATGATTTTGTTGTCGTTGTTCTAATGGGCTTTCATAGTACTGACAATCTTGCAGTTCTTCGCCAGACGTACATGTCTTCCTCCGAGCTTCAGTACATCATCAAACTCAGCGGCCGGCAACTACTTCCTGTCCCCAACGTGAATCGTGGTTGATCACACTTCTATTTCCAAGCGCCTACAACTTTCGAGGAATAAAGCCCACGCGGGGTTCAAGTTCAACTTCCATTCTTTCGAACAGGTTTCTTTATCGGAGGAATTGTCCTCTGCGCACACATTTGTTGCCGATGAGCATCTCTGTTCGTGGAAAGTTGATGAAGACTCGACCGTGATTATCTTGATACTATCAACTCATCGAAGATGGAATAGGCGACTCTCTTGCACTTCCTGCAGGAACGACGATCACGCCCGTCAAGTCTTCTGGGTTGCCCTCATTGACAGGATGACCATGATCAGGCTCAGATCTTCGCGTCCTGTGCTGACAGCTCTTAATTGCCTTACCGATGATGTAACGTTGTATCATAATTGAATGGTCTTGCAATGCTATCTATCTCTCCCGCCCGAACATCATTTCCATTGATACAGACTCAGTTACCAATGTTTTGGCACGAGCTGAGATGTCGTTTTGGGGGTGCAATTTCGGCGGCATCATGGCCTTGGCAGCTTGGCTTGAGTATTTTTCTACCAGGCCCAAGCAAGGGTTTTCAGGCGCGACACGTCAGTAATGTAATGCCACTGTCACTGGTGTTACGCTGCCTCCAGGTCGGATCACTTGAAAGTGTCCTACACGGTGTGCGGAAGAGCATGATATCTGAAAAACGCAATTCACCCACTTCTTTCGAGGGAAAATAAATTCTAGATGTCTCCGGTCTCGTTCATTGCCGTCTGACATTGATACTGGAGGTTGTACAAAGTATGCACTGTGAATTGCGAGACCTGCAACTTGGTGCAAGCATACTCCCGCGAAGTCACAGTTCTGGGGCATTTGGACTGCCAATCTCTGTCGGAAGAACATCCTGCCCAACATGTGCTACTAGTCAAAGGCAACACACGCTTGACAGCACATGCTTGGAACATAGTCTCCCATAGTCAGATTTCTAGGCTCTGGTCGAATGAAAATGGGATCCTCAACCAATGATCTCCATAAGTACCTAGCTAATCATCAACTAGTTGATACCGCACCGGTCTGTAAGTCAGACTGGACGTCGATGACCTCAAGTTTTTCTATAAAGCTCAGTGATCTGAAGATCATATAAATCCTATCCTTGTCGATCCACATGTCCCTCAACAGTGAATCGGTAGTGAACTTTCTCTTCGAAAATACGACTTGGACGTAAGGCAGGGATGTTGTCAAGCTCTCTCCACGTGTGCCAAATTCATCGGCACTCATGTATGTCGTGGACGGCTCTTTCACCACTCGTCCTAGACCCCGCCTGTTTGTCACAGCTAGCGGGCTAAAGTCCAATAGTTGTAATATAAAGTTAATGTTGTGCGTGTCGACAGGGAGTGTCTGCAAGACGCGGTTTCCGTTGATGTGAATTTTGAAATGGAACGGGTACCGAAAGATACGAGTATTTGAGGGGCCCCAATGTTGCCATGGTATTGGAATTGCTGCTGCCGTTTCATTGAGGTCGAAGAAAATCCTCGTGGAAATGATGAAGATTTGAGTACTAAATTGAGCAAAAGCCACAGTAAGGCATATGAGTCGATGTGTAGGGTCTGAGGTGCACATCGTCGCTTGGGCTTGCATATGCAGCTGTGAGCCATACCCGATATCGTCTATCAGAGGGAGGCACCATAACTTCAATGGGATGGGCATCAGGAAGCACGCCAGTAATTCCGGCGTCTGGGACATGTCCTCAATTGAATAGATATTCAAGTTATCGGTTATAACCAGCAATCGATTGTTCCCGAGGAAACAAAATTCGACCGGGTCGATGGATCCGTTGGGTATTGCACCGCTGAGGATGCTCTAAATTCAGAATCAACCGTCAAGTCTTTCAACTATTTTAAAACAAAAGCTCACACTGCATGTTGTCGAGTACTTCCAGTCCCAAATCTGCAGCTGCCACACCTTGTCCAATGAAGTCCGATTTTCATCGTTCGAGCGATGCGACAAAGCGATATGCCTCCCAAAACCTTTGAGCCTTACGAATGTCATATCAAAGGAGTTTTCCGAGTCGTCCGACAGAAACAGTTTCTCTCCAGCAGCCTGAGGGTGAACACCATCACCATTTAGGGCTCCAAGGTTAATATAGACTGTCTTGTGATCCACGGCATAGGCGACAGCAATTAGGTTTTGTGCTGGATCCATAAACACATCAAGGTTGTGTGAGTGTGGAGCCGAACACAACGTTCCTGGGAGCCAGTTTCGCCGGATTGACTGTTGCGAGGGCTTTGAAAGTACTGGAAAGATCATGGCCGTATCTTCTGGTGGATTCCAGAAGCAGAAATGCCCACCAGCAACAATCTTGTCTCGAGATCCCCGGGACCTTGTTACGGGGACCATTTTTAAAGGGTGGGTGTCAACCTTGAACCATGCGTGAGCTTTGTCTCTCAAAAGCTGCAGATGCTTAGAAATAGGTATGCTATGATCCGTGTTGGAGATCAACCGTTGTCCACCTATTTCAACGATGTACTGAAGTTCGGAGGAGGACAAGTACGTTTGGCGAAGGGTCCTACATACCTGCAAGGGGATCGTCAGAACAGCAGTCTATCCAGATCATAGATCAATGATAACATGAATGAGTGGTGACTCACAGATGTACACTGAAGAATATCTCGGTAAGGAAGGAAACTCAGAATGTAAGACAGGAGTTCTTCAGCAAGAGACAGGAATTGCTTCATCTCGTTATACTAGTGACACTTGAAACTTGAGCTTGAAGCTAGCGCTTGAAGGCGCATGTGCCAAGTGTCCTAGCCTACAATTACATAATATCGTCTCTAATGGTGCAACTCCACAACCACTCAGACGCTCGTCTCAAGCTATTCGTACTGATCTCTGAACGTTTGAACAACAAGGTTCACTCGAGTGTGCGTATCTGGTAATGAATGTCCCGTTTCCGACGGACGTCCGTTGTATGGTACATAGTGTGAGTGAAACCCGGTTTCTCCAGATCCCGTCAGCATGAGTTCTTTTCTACCGATGTAGGACCTGTGCTGGAATGTCCTCGTCGATATAACCCTGGTCCATTTCCAGCTGGCGCCTCTCCTTCGCTTAAACAGTTGATCACGTGGGTCGCGACGAACTGAAAATTTGAAATTATCCTACCTATGATTTCCCAAATGATAATTCGTCACTCATATCGGATGACAGGCCTGCCCAAACCTACAAAATCAATGAAGCCCAATTAGCAGGCTTCATGCATCATGTCTACGCAGATCAATGACATTAAAACGTGCATTATTCAATCTCGATGCAATGAACGGATGGAGCAACCAATGTCGGTCCATCTGTATCCGCGTGTCTATGTCAACCAAAATGCATGCGGTGGGGTATTATAAAGTCTGATGAAATAACTGACCGCCCAGAGAAATGCGGTATGCGAATGTGAATGCACACACCCTCTCCCCGTCAACAGTGATACCGTACCGTCTTACGACAAGACGCCATTGCGAACACCACAACCAACAAGTCCAGCGCTAAGTGATACACCCATGGTGGCAGCACCACCAGTTTTAGCTGGTGATGCGCCAGAATTGGTGCCGCTCGCTGTTGACTTTGCTCCACTTGCACCTGAACTCGCGGTCGCGCCTGATGGCGTCGGCTGACCGGTGTACAGTGCCGTGCTTGCGTACGTCACGCAGTTCGAGCTCGGAGCAGGTGTGGCAGTGTAAGGTACGGTGGTGATCGGACCAAGAGATTCAGCGGGTTGGAAATAGGTCGAGGTAGCGCCGTTGGTAGTGTAGACACCGACGGGGGACATGTCGTCACCATCGCAGACCTCGAAAACACCCTTCTGTGCGTTGTTGGGTGCATTGTATGCGCACCCAAGACGGTCATAGATGTTTTGGCAGAGGGCCTGTTGGTTCTGGCCGGCGGGATCGCAGACTTTCATACAGAAACCGTCGCCACCCATGAAGCTGACAGGGAGATGAGACACGTGGACAAGAGGCTGGGAAAAACTCACTTTGTCCAGTCAATAACCTGTTGGTACGAGTCATTGTTACCACCGTTGCTGGGGAACGCGTTGGAGTACATGAGACCGCCAAGAGGATTACCGCGCTGCAAGTCACGTTGAGACTTCATCCATGGGAAGTGTCACAGTAATTACTAGCTCACCAAATCAGCACCGTGAGGGTCCAACTCGCCTCCGTAGTCATTAGCAGCAATGTTGACCTGGGTCTGGTCAATAAAACCGGCAATTTGGATGTAGTTGGGGGTCTTGATGAGCTGTACGCCTTGGAAGAGCACCGGCGGGGATGAGACGAGTACCGTGTCCTGGACTTTGTGCACCAGGCGACTTCCTGACCTTCGGTGTCACCGATGGTGGAGTTGGGCTGTGGGGGAGCCCAGAGGCAGAAGTCTGTATGATTTTAGAAACCGTGAATAAATTAAAAGACAGCGGAACTGACCGTCTATGTGGTTCACGAACGAGGTTTGACACAAGGAATTCTGGTTCTCAGTTGTGGAGTTGCAAATATTGTAACCGGTTTGGGGACCACGAAGAGCATGCGGTATTATAGTCGACTTGGTAAGGCTAATATACGATGAGTATCATTCTATTGCGTGCCGCTGCATACTGCAAGCACACTCACGATACCAGATGGGTAGGCATAATGCTTATCAACGAGAGGAGTGGGGTCAGCAGGGTCAGGCTGAGCGTGGACAAAGGTAATGGCCGCAACAGCAAGGAGGGCAGATGAAAGAGCGGATGGAGACATGGTCTGGCCGATAATGATCAAGGACTAATTTAGATGATGAGCGCTAGAGAGACAAAGAGAGTTGACTTTTTTTGATGCGATCACATTCTCCCTCAAATAGGTTTCGGCTATTCCCCGAGGTGCACTGACCACCCCACCACGTGATAATAACACGTCGCGTTTAAACCCCGACGCGACTACGTTTAAAGATCGATAACCCTCAAATCAATCAACAAAATTCACCCTCATCCTAACCATCATGGCAAAATCAGCAACAGGTCAGTTCAACGCGTCTTTTAGTTTAAACATACACTCATCGTCGTAAAGAATCAACCACAAAGGCTGCAACGAAACGCGCCAACACCAAGACCTCCAAGGCTGGTTCGTCGTCCCTTTATATTTTCTCTTCATCGTACTCACTTTGTCACAGACAAGGAGGACAAACCAAAGCGCGCACCAAGTGCATACAACCTCTTCGTACAAGCTCACATGAAAGAGTGGAAGGAGGCACATCCCGGCGCACCCATCAAAGAAGCCATGGCCGAGGTGCGTATATGCGCATATATGCGTTCCTTTCATGTCTGATACACCTCCAAGATCGCAGGAATGTGGCGGGAAGCACCTGAGAACCCAAATCGTGGCAAGGAGCCAAAGCCTAGGAAGCCAAAGGCTGCGGCTGGCGCACCTAAAGCTAGCCGCAAGAAGAAGCAAACCCCACCACCATCAAGTGACGCCGAGAATACCGGTGACGTCAGCGACGATTAGTGCATCATGTATGTTTGCTTCTTTCACGCCGTTGTCTTGACTGACGTCTGCAGTCTTTTGCTTCCCTTCCGTTGCTCCTGACATTATATTTCTCCGTAATCATTCAGTTCACTGTACTCTTTCGCATCCTCCTCGAGTTATAGAGCCGTGTGTATGCTACATTGCAGCTATTTATTCAGATAGACGTGGCCGAATACATATAGCCCCTCTACCGTCATACCTTTCGAAAGTCTGGCCATATCTGTCTGGCCACGTGATGACAATTGATGCACCACCTCCGACTGATCTTGCCCTTCGGCGTCTCCCCTCGCGACAAGGTCTGGACTTACTGGTTACGCGTTTGTGTCGGTCAGACATTCTATCAAGCCTGAGGGATCTACGTCTCCGATGACAATCCCAATCATGGATGATATCGGTTAATGCTGTAACTCGTGCAACTTTCTAGTGCTACAAACAGCCCACTTTACGGTGAATGTCAGCTCCTTACGTGCGCGCCGACCGTAGTGTCCTTTGTGGATGCAATGATAAACCTCAAGTAATTTGATGAATGTGAGTACTGCCCGAACATGTGTCAAAGACATTCCACTCGTTTATAAGTGTCGACTCCGTCTAACTACTCGTGTTTTGCAGCCTGTCATGCTCCAGCTTGCAATTGGTCGTCCGCCTTCTTCCCCTACATCAGTTGAGAAAAATGGACTGAATCTAATTCAGTCGCGCGTTAACTGTCTTCCTTCTAGCCAGACTATAGGCAACGTCTTGGACCAGTATGGTTGGCAAGTCGCGGATCAATGAACCATGGCAAGATGGCCGAGCGGTCTATGGCGTGTGACTCAAGCGAAAGCTTGCCTGAGAGCAGGTTTCTCATCCTCGTAAGAGGGCGTGGGTTCAAATCCCACTCTTGTCATAATTTTATCTTGGCTCGTCTTTATTTTTGTTGTCCAGACCAATTGCAAGTCAAGGTCGAACAAGAACAACGTGCATGAATCCACGAAGACAAGGAATGCGTGAGATGAAATCTGGATCGCCGTTAGGCCCTGAGTCCACTTGAACTTGAACTCGTGCTCACCGACTGAAGTCTCCAACCTAATTAAATGATCATACGCTGATTTCACTTACCGTGATCCCAAATTCTAAAAGTCAATGTGCCTTAATTAGACGCAGTGTGGTAGGCACCCACTACTGTCTACCACAACACGCCTGGCATGTCAACAATATTTGTGTGGGCAGTCTCGGTGATCAAGTTGTGTTCTATCAAGTTGTATCGATCTCTGAATCGATCAATCCTTCTCGCCCGAAAGTATGCGAACTAGAGCTATATGATATGCAGCATTTACATCCAGTGTACCAGCCAGTTTGTAGCAAGAGATACTCAGTGAACTCGTGCGAATGTGATATTCATATATATTTCGGTATTTCCTACTGTCAGTAATGTACATCCTCCTTCCCATCGACATACAGGTGCAAGTAAATTTTGTATACATGATGATATTAGCAAGGGTCTTGGCAGGCACATCCGCAGTCCAACGTTCATCGCTGACCGTCTACAAGAATATGTGAGGCAAGACCAACAAGCGAGATGTCTAAACGGGTACTCACAAGCCTTGGTCTCGAACTTGCCGATACCGACGATGATGTTTTGAGGCTCTTGGGCCTTGCCAGAGAGGTAGTTCTCAATGATGCTCTTGGTGCCGCTTGCATAACGAGCCTGAGCATCGAGGGTGGTGCCAGAGTAATGGGGTACCATGCCGTTACCGCCGCCAAGGGTGTTCTTAGCCGTGCGCAAGACGTGGTCTTTGGGTGCGGGTTGGACGTTCCAAACATCACCAGCATAACCTGTTGCCATGTGAGCTCAGTGTGCAGATATTAGGTGGTGGGAGTCACGAACCGTTCAGGTGACCACTTGCAAGGGCAGCAGCTACGGCGTCCTTGTCACAGATAGCACCGCGAGCGGTGTTGACGAGCCATGCACCTTTCTTGAAGTGTTTTAGAAGATCAGCGTTGACGAGGCCGAGTGTACCCTCGTGCAGAGGGCAGTTGACGGTGATGACATCGCACTGCGAGACAAAGTCCTTGAGGTCCTCGACGCGACGAGCGTTGACGGCCTTAGCAGCAGCTGTAATTACATGAATCAAGCTGTATAGAACCGAAGATAGTGTGGTACAAACCTTCAGGCAAGGGAGCGTAGTCGAAGTAGAGGAGCTCCTTGCAGTCGAAGGGCATCAGACGCTGGAGGACACGGTAGCCGATACGACCAGCACCAATGGTGCCAACGACCTTGCCCTCGAGATCGAAGGCATTGCGAGCAATGTCGGAGACCATCCAGTCTCCACGCTCGATCATCTAAGAATGGCGACCAATTAACAGAGGGAAACGCGCGCCAGTGAGTCATCATACCTCGTGTGCTGGAACAAAGTTCCTGACGAGAAGGAGGATAGACATCACGACATGCTCGGCGACGGAGACGACATTAGATCCTGAGACCTCCAGGACCTGGATACCATTTTTGACAGCGGCGTTGAGGTCAATGTGGTCAGAGCCAACACCAGCGGTGACACAGAGCTTAAGCTTCTTGGCCTATCAGAAGTATGAATGAACCGTTCATATCGATAGCTCAACGATCATCATACCTTCGCGACCAAGTCACCAGTGAGGTACCCAGGGTGGAATGGAGTCGTGATCAAGATCTCAGCCTAAGAAAGAGAGTAAGTACACGCGGATATGTGTACAGTAGTGGGGCTTGGACGTACATCTACGATGTGCTTCTGGAAGTCGCTGTCGGCGCCCTCTTTTGAGTCCGAAACCTACACAAATGAGTAGATTAGGTGACTGCGTAAGTATGCCAGAAACTTCGATACATACGATGTACTCGTGGCCTTGAGACTCGAGCCACTTGCGGATACCAAGCTATATGGAAAGCATGAGTAAGTCTGTCGAAGATAATCTAGAATTCTCGACGAGACAAACCTGGTTCTCCACAGTACCAAGGAGACGGGGCTCGCTCGTAGCAGCATTACCGCCCTTGTAGAGGATAGCTAAGATCTATAAGCGCAAGCGCGTCAGATCTTGTAATCGAAGACAGAAGGTTCACCACTACCTTCATGACTGAGTTTGTGAGGACTGAAGGAAGATTTGTAGTTGGGAGAGTGGGTGGAAGAATGAGTCCCTGTGTCGATGAAAGTCCAGGATCTTTATAGGGGGTGTCTGGGGTGTGAGCGGTCCTACTACAATCGGAAAACAGACAGTGTGTGGGCCTATCGTCTCCTACCGCTCCGAGTCTCTGTGCACATCATGGCCTTCCGGTTTGAGGGCTCCCTGATCCGTCAATGTAGCAAATTCCATCGGCGCCCTGATGAGGATCCTGTGTGCCCCCCGGTCGTGCCCATTGGCCAAAAATAACACAAGTACTGATCAGCCATCCCATGTACTCTGGAAGAAAGCGCGGTGGCCTACGGTAACTAATTGGGGATCGGAAGAAACCGGTACACTAAGCCAAGCGCCGGACGAGTCCGAGTTCAACATTAATGTGGGGAGATGCGGCAGTGGGATCGGACGTTCAAACGGGATAACACTATCGAAATGAAGCCCCAAACAGGATTCCAGTTTCTTGCCGAAGAACTCCTGTGTTACATCCTGAGTTTCCTTCCTCACCGAGATATTCTTCGGTGTACATCTGTGCGTCGCCATCATTCATGTTCTCGTTGTTCTAGATTCTAAATAGTTCTGATAATCCTCTTGCAGATATGTAGAAACCTTCGCCAGACGTACTTGTCCTCCTCCGAACTTCAGTACATCGTTGAAATAAGTGGACAACAGTTGCTCGTTATCCCCAACACAGATGATAGCATACCTATTTCTAAGCGTCTGCAGCGTTTGAGAGACGAAGCTCACGCATGGTTCAAAGTTGACACCCACCCTTTCCTTAAAATGGTCCCCGTAACAAAGGCACTGCCATCGCGAGAAATCATTGGTGCTGGTGGGCATTTCTGCTCGTGGGACCCAATGGGAGATACGGCCATGATCTTTCCAGTACATCCAAAGCCCTCACAGCAGTCAATCCGGCGAAACTGGCTCCCAGGAACGTTGTGTTCGGTTCCACACTCGCGCAAATTTGATGTGTTTATGGACCTAGCACAAAACCTAATCGCTGTCGCTTATGCCGCTGATCACAATACAGTCTATATTAACCTTGGGGCCCTGGATGGTGATGGTGTTCACCCTCAGGCTGCTGGAGAGACATTGTTTCTGTCAGACGACTCGCGCTCTGTAACGAGCAATGCAAAGCTCAAAGGTTTTGGGAGGCATATCGCATTGTCGTGTCGCTTGAACGATGAAAGTATGTCGGTGTGGCAGCTGCACATTTGGGACTGGAAATACTCAACAACATCCAGTGTGAGCTTTGGTTTGAAAGAGTTGAAAGAGTTGATGGCTGATTCTGAATTTAGAGCATCCTCAGCGGTGCAGTACTCGACCGACCCGGCCCAATTGAATTTTGTTTCCTCGGGAACAATCGATTGCTGGTTATAGCCGATAACTTGAATCTCTATTCAATTGAGAACATGTCCCAGACACCTGAATTTCTGGCGTGTTTCCTGATACCCATCCCATCGATGCTACTAGAGTGCCTTCCTATGATAGATGATATTGGGTATGACTCACAGCTGCATATGCAAGCCCAAGCGACGATGTGCACCTCAGACCCCACACATCGACTCATATGCCTTATTATGCGTTGTGCTCGAGATAATCTAGCCTTGATCATTTCCACGAGGATTTTCTTCGACCTCGACGAAATGGCAGCAGCAATGCCAATACCATGGGAACATTGGGGCCCCTCAAATACTCGTATCTTTCAGCGACAATTTCATTTCAGAATCAATGGAAACCGAGTCTTGCAGACACTCCATTTCGGCGCGCGCAACCGGCAGTTTATATTACAACTATTGGACTTTAGCCCACTAGCTGTGACAAACGGGCGGGGTCTAGGACGAGTGGTGAAAGAGCCGTCCACAACATGTATCATTGTCGACAGAATTGGCACACGTGGAGAGAGCTTGACAACTTCCCTGCCTTACGTTCAAGTCGTATTTTCGGACAGAAAGTTCGATCATGCTAATTCACTGTTGAGGGACATGTGGATCGACAAGGATAGGATTTATATGCTCTCCAGATCACTGAGATATACTTATGACAGACTTGAGGTCATTGACGTTCAGCCTGACGTACGGAGCGGTGTGGTATCAACTAGTTGATGATTAGCCAGGTACTTATGGAGATCATTGGTCGAAGGATACCATCTTCATTCGACCAAGGCCTAAAAACATCGAGTCCTTCTTTGTTGTTACGAGTAGGCCAAAAACTTTGACTGCACTGTTAAAATGTCTCATGTACGGCTTGACTTCTAGGTATATCATGTCGTTGATAGGCTTGAATCTCACTGAGGAATATACACGATCCCAAGATGGTGCTTCTCCGATCTCCAATTTCACGTTGAGACCGGATGAACTAGAATTTGCTGTTGCGAGAGCTGCTGCAAACTCATCTGGCTAGGTAGGGAATACGTTTGAAGTTTTTGAGCATCGCCCCGATCTCGCTCACTCCGTGTCACATGCTTAGCGGGACAAATAGGTGCAGCCAATGCAGGAATTGACCCTGGCGATGGGACAGCCCATGTTAACGAGGAGTTCACTGCCTTACGCCTCAATGTAAGTGAACTGTACAGGCTGGTTTTCAATGACTGATGGAGCATTGTAGTTTAACCTTGTTCGTGGTGGTATCTATGCGTTGACTGTTTATCGAAAATGGCTCTAGTTGGCTTTCGCGGCGTCTGCATCTGTGATAATGTTGGGACTGGCGCTACATATGACCTGAGCATTCCATGCATCGCACGACAGTCAGGCTGCTATCCCAAACATAGGTGTGCTGCAACTCTTGTGGTTGGTATCAAGATATGACCCTTACACGTACTTAGCCTTTTCATTTTACATACACGAACACTCCTCCTACCATGCGTCATACACGTTTCCTATTGACTCTCCGTCCCAATCAAACGTATTAATTCCTCCTCTCGTCGAACAATCTCCCTCAGTCTTTTTGAACCAAGACTGAGGTGAGCTATCTTATTGACATCCCTACTCTACTCTTACTAACTACTACTCTACTAGTTCTGTTCTCGCCCTTAGGTATGGTCCATAGTTACCCTACAGTCTTTTTGAACCAAGACTGAGTTCTGTTCTCGCCCTTAGTTTCTCTAGTCCGAGTCTCTTCACCTTTGATAGGTTATGAGCCCTGGCTCAGACTAGGCATACATTCGTTTCTCGCTTCCACTCGCCTTATCTGAGCCTCTCCGACCTTTTCCGAACTGGAACAAGGTCGCCCTCTATCCCCGCTTGACCTGCGGATCTTATCCATTCCCTTGCCGCCATCGCCGCCATTAACGCCTGTCGTACCAACTCGCTCGTTACCACACCCATTGAATCTTCCCATTCTATTGTCGCCATCGCCGACACATCGTTCGACACCTGTCATGTCCACCATATCGTCGTCCAACATCCGGATTCCAACATCTTTTCCTCACCCTCCTCTGGACGCCAATGGCTCCAACTACACCTCGTGGGTAACGACCATGGACCTTTGGCTCTCGCTCTTCAACCTTTGGCGCCTCCTTTCAGGAGATGAGAAGGGTCCTCCGCGCCCAACCAGAAGCACCACTGAGACTGAGGCTGACTTCAACAAACGCCTCGCGGCACATGATGCGAGCGCGGACGTCATTTCTTTCCGAGAACGCCAAAGCATAACCAAAGGACTCCTTGGTATGACGGTACACTCAAGTGACCTCATCCACTTCATGGGTGTCACTGATCCAGCCGTCATCTGGAAAGCGCTAGAAGACAAGTATCAGGCGTCTGTTGGCATCCGCTTTACGAGCCTCATGGGCCGTATCTTTGACCTTCCCAAAGCATCTGATAGCGACTCTCTTACCAAGACCATTAAGGAGATCACGGACATCAAGGCCCAATTCAAGGTCATTGAATCCATCGAATGGAAGTGCAACGAATATACCCTTGTCCAAGCGCTACTGCGTGCCCTTCCCGACTTCTATGCGCCGCTTTCCCAGCTCATACTCCATAGTGCTGACGCCAATACCGGGAAGCTAACGCTGGAAGGAGTCATCAGCCAGATCAGGAACTCGGAACAATATTATGCAAGTTTCGGCTCTGCAAACCCACATGCGCACCACACAGCCATGGCTGCTAGGGTGGCGAAAGCAGGTAAACCTACTGAGCGTGCCAAACCGAAGGATTTTGACGCCTCCAAGGGAGATAAATGGGAGTTGTCGTGGCGCTCGACGTGCGGATCTTGCAAGCGCACAGGCCATATCTGGAACAACTGCCGTGCTCGTCTAGCAAAATCCGACTCATCAAACACGTCAGCGTGCATTCCCCCCTCACCTTCACAAGGTACTGACATATCAGTTCCCCTACCAGGACAACCTGACGGCATTCCATCGTTTCTTCGTCTTCCTACACACTCTGCTAGTTTCTCTAATACGAGCACTATTTCTTTTCAATTCCACGTAGACTCTGCCGCCACCGCACATATGGAATCCAATCACTCCCTCTTCACTCGCTACAGAACTTACAACCCTCCATTAATCGTGAAACTTGCGAATGACGATACTGTTCTTGCCCCAGGTTGGGGATTCATCACGCTAGTGCTCGACGGAAGACATGAGTCTATCGAACTCCCTTTCCTCCACGTACCAGACCTACGGTGCACACTGATATCAGTGTCTGCTCTAGCGTCGGAGGGAATTTTCTTCGAAACGGATGCTGAAGGAGGACAAATGCGTCGTGCTGATAAGACTGTGATCGCACGTGTGGAATGCTCTGCCGGTCTATACTACCTTCGAGCCAAGCACACCCATACGGCCTTTGCCACCAGGTCCACCTCGGCTACGCCATTACCACTAGCTGTATGGCATGCACGCATGGGCCATGCCGCAAACTCCACCTTGCGCAAAGCTGAGAAGGTTGTATTAGGACTGTCACTTAACCTGTTAGACGAGTCTACAGGACCTGGTGACCACATTGACTGTCCGTCGTGCCTAATGGGCAAACAAAAACGATTGCCGTTCCCGTCTCATGCTCGACACCGTGCAACGCACGTCGCTGAACTTGTTCACACTGACGTTTGGGGACCCGTCAACACTGCAACCCCGTCCGGCGAAACATACTTTGTTGCCTTCACTGATGATTTTTCGCGTTATTCCACTATCTACCTCATTAAGCACAAGAGTGAGGTACACTCGCACCTTCTGCGATATATCGCCTGGATTGAAAACCAGTCAGGGCAACGAGTTAAACGCCTCCGCAGTGACAACGGTGGCGAATACGTCTCTCACGCTACTATTGAATTCCTGCGTAGTAAAGGAATTGAGCACGAACTTACGATGCCTCATACAGCCGAACAGAATGGTGTTGCCGAACGTGGACACCAGACCATTGCCACCCGAGCATTAAGTGCCCATCACCAGAGTGGTTTTCCTCGTTCGTTCTGGGGCCACGCCATCCTCAACTCAGTATACATCAAGAACTTCCTCCCGTCGTCAGCTACTGACAACAGAACGCCGTTTGAACTCTTCTATGGTGAACTACCAAATGTCTCGCACCTACGTCCGTTTGGCTGCCTCGCATATGCTCACATCCCAGACGACAATCGCCACAAGTACGACTTTGTTTCGAGACGGTGCTTCCTACTGGGGCACGTCAAAGATGCGGGATATCTTCTATGGGATCCAGCGACACGACAGACGGTGCGCTCTCGAAATGTCCTTTTTGATGAAAAATTCTTCTACGGCACACCCAACTCAGTTCTCTCGCCCCTCGTTGAATTACACAACCAGCGCATTGCAATGCAGCAGCCCACCCTCGCATTGCCACATGATTTGCCGATATCAGAAGACGGCTTCAGAACCACACGACCTGGAGAAGATGATTCCGGTATTACACTACCAGGACCCAGTACCGTTTCAGTGGGAGTACTTCCGACTTCTGCTCCTCTCATCCCCAAACCTCCACAGCCATTCCCGCAGTCGAACGACAATGTTCTCCCTGTCCCTGCTGAAGTTCCGGTAGAAACGGTACCATCTCCTGAGCCACGACGTTCGACACGTCAACGCATTGACGCGCGACCAGCAGTCCCGAAAACTGTTGCCATCCCAACAAAACATGTCCCAGTACAGCGGCGTTGGACTTATGTACCGGTCACTGTTGAGGAGGAGGTTGTTGAAGAAGAAAATCTTAGTATTAGTGCTACCCCCGATGTCACCATTGAGCACTCCGCGAAGCATGTATCCTTGGCGGACAGCAACAAGATTGATGGACGGAAGCTTCCCCCCAAAACGATAGCTGCCGCTCGCTTGTCAATGGATTCGGGTCATTGGGAAAGCGCAATGAATGAAGAGTTAGCTTCGTTGGGAGAAAAAGGAGTGGGTGTCTTAACACCACTCCCATCAGGGAGAAAAGCAGTCGGCTCACGGTGGGTGTACTCGCACAAGTATGACGAAAATGGCCAGATTGCCCGCCACAAGGCCCGCCTTGTTGCGCAGGGTTTCACACAGATCGAAGGACTAGATTACACTGACACCTTTGCTCCTGTTGCAAAATACGACACCGTACGTGCACTACTCTCCATGGTCGCTAAGTTTGATCTTGAACTTGATCAAATGGACGTGAAGACCGCCTTTCTCAATGGCGAGCTTGACGAAGAAATCTACATGCGTCAACCTCCAGGCTTCGAAGACCCTGAGCATCCAGATTGGGTCTGGAAACTCCTCAAGGCCATCTACGGACTCAAGCAAGCCGGTCGTCAATGGAACAAGACACTCGATGATTTCCTGCGAAAAGAAGGTTTTAATTTTGTTCGTAGCGAAGCAGACTATAGTCTGTATGTTTTACGAAAAGATGACAAGACCATCTGGCTCCTTGTTTACGTCGATGACATGTTGCTCGCATCGAACTGTCGGGATTTCCTTAACGGTTTCAAATCGGAGATGAGCAAACGTTTTGAAATGAAGGACCTTGGTGAAGCGCGTCATTTCTTAGGAATGCACATTACACGAGATCGCTCTAAGAAGCACCTTACCGTCAACCAATCCTCCTTTCTCGAACAGATTCTCAGTGAAACTCGGATGTCAGATTGTCGACCAGTATCTACCCCCATGGTTCCAGGGATCTCCTTGACGAAGTCATCTGCACCCCTCACTCAAGCCGAAATCCAACAATTTGCGCACATGCCATACGCGCGTGTCGTTGGGGAACTCAACTTCGCCATGCGCGTTAGTCGTCCCGATATTGCATATGCAGTATCGGCGCTGTCAAAATATCTGAGTAACCCTGGCATAGACCACTACCGCCAGCTTCACCATCTCCTCCGTTACCTTCGTGGATCCACACATCATTCCCTAACGTTTGGTTTGTCCAACCAAGGACTCATCGGTTATTCGGATTCTGACTTCGCGTCTGATAAAGACGACAGTCGCTCAATTGGGGGCTATGTCTACTTTCTTTTCGGTTCCCCCATCAGTTGGCGTTCCCAAAAGCAATCCGTCGTTGCGACTTCGTCTACTGAAGCTGAATACATCTCACTCTCTAACGCGGCCCGCGAACAGATCCATCTCAGCCAGCTGCTATGCGATTTTGGTCTTGACCTCTCGCTGATCACCCCCACCACGTTATATGGTGATAACAATGGAAGTCGCGCACTAACGAAAAACCCTCAATTCCACGACCGGGCCAAGCACATTCGCGTCCGCTATCACTTCGTTCGAGATCTGGTCAGCGACGGCACCATCATCATTCCCTATGTACCCACACATGATATGATTGCCGACATCTTCACGAAATCCCTACCACGAAAACTTTTCCGCAACCATCGACACTCGCTTGCTCTTCGTTCATCGTCAAACGAAGACCCAGTTGAATGAGCACGCCCGCGTCTCTAGCGTTTTGCGTTCGAGTGGGAGTATCAAGATATGACCCTTACACGTACTTAGCCTTTTCATTTTACATACACGAACACTCCTCCTACCATGCGTCATACACGTTTCCTATTGACTCTCCGTCCCAATCAAACGTATTAATTCCTCCTCTCGTCGAACAATCTCCCTCAGTCTTTTTGAACCAAGACTGAGGTGAGCTATCTTATTGACATCCCTACTCTACTCTTACTAACTACTACTCTACTAGTTCTGTTCTCGCCCTTAGGTATGGTCCATAGTTACCCTACAGTCTTTTTGAACCAAGACTGAGTTCTGTTCTCGCCCTTAGTTTCTCTAGTCCGAGTCTCTTCACCTTTGATAGTTGGTTCATCGTTCAGCCTCTATCAACGAAGTCCTGGAAGATGTGCAACATCCGACAGAGGCCAATCTGTGGCGAGCAGGCATGATAAATGTTTGTTTTTCGAACATAATGCCCGACGAAGGACAGTTTGGGAGCTCAACTGCTAGCGATGGTCTCTCTTGTGATGTTGACTAGTACCGTCGTGATGAGGAGATGTGATTTGAATTTGAAAATAGTGGGTTGCTTCATTTATACTGTATGTTTTGTATTTCTCTGGTGTGGAGGTCTGTGTTATGGTTGTTTTTATTTTTGGTATCATTGCTCGATTTTGATGTTCTCTTCAATGACGACTACTAGGTGTGTCGCAGATATCATTATCATATGGATGACGCTGGCTTGCTTTTTATTGACTATCATCGAGTTTTATTTTTTTAGACATGTCTAACTGGTAGACGCATTCGAGCTTCAAGATTTTCACGCGCAGCCCATCCGTCTGTCCCTCAAATCTCCCTTGTCCATTGCAAATGACATGTGCTCTGATCTGAGTGCTAGGCTCACATACACGACTCACATGCTGAGACATCCCTGCCCCATCTGGCGGAGATTATTGTCTGTCTAACTTGAGCGCAATGGTAGTTATAACTTGGGATGCACGCTGGTTTACGCCTCTTCTCAGCCACTTATCATCAGGTTTCAAGTTGGTGTGTAGATGAGTTTTTGTTCTGAACTTCTCAAGTCTCCATCCTTCCTCATCTTACCTGCTCGTCGTCTTGTTAGTGTTTCAAAAGTGTTTGCCACTATCGCTCTCCCGTCCCTTACTGAACTTCTCATGATCAGCCCATCTACTAATGGTAGGTCCGACTGCACCTCCTCCTGACTTGTACAGCGTCTGTAGAGTCTGTGGCATACTAGGGTCTTGTGACCTATAAAATCTGCGGCTATGGGTCGCTGGAGCAGAAAACGCTATGCCGATTTGAGCTATGTTATTATTGTTCTGGTATATATATAGCAATCAAAGAAGCTTTGAATCGAGAAGCAGGAGTGTCTCGATTGGTGCGCCAGCATGAGTCCTTGGCAACCATTGAATGTGGTTAAATACACAGCGCACAGCGGAAGTTGCTTTCGGCTTACTGTCCATGACAAACGGTGTGAGAAGTTGATGCATGGGATGCAATGGCTTTCACGTGTATAGAGAAGTCTGAGATGTTTTGTTGAACGGCGCAAATGCAATTTGGTTTCAGATCTAGGCGATGAGGAGGTACTCCAGAAGGGTGAGTCAACATCGCGAGATAATCAGGCTGGTCCGTTCAATTCAGCGTGCTCTGCTTCTTTTAAGCTGCCCGAACTAAAATAAGACTCTGTGGATTCTCGTCAGTCGTAATATAAACACATTGACACGAATGTCTCCAAGTTCTGGAGTAGCAATGAATCGGTCGTATCGCCGAAAGTTATCTGATACTGACTTGCATTTTGAAGACCAACAACGAAGCGGATGTCACCATAAGTAGAAGAGCAACACAAAGGAGACCAGTGCAGCAATACAGCATGAGTGTGGACATCATTGCGCCCGAGCCGGCGGTATCTCGTATAGGGTCTGACGTACCGTGAGAACACTGTCAAAGTGGTGCACCTTATTTCGCCTTCAAGCTTCAAGCTTCAATGAGTGTTACTAGTATAACGAAATGAAGCCCCAAATAGGATTCCAGTTTCTTGCCGAAGAACTCCTGTGTTACATCCTGAGTTTCCTTCCTCACCGAGATATTCTTCGGTGTACATCTGTGCGTCGCCATCATTCATGTTCTCGTTGTTCTAGATTCTAAATAGTTCTGACGACCCTCTTGCAGGTATGTAGGACCCTTCGCCAGACATACTTGTCCTCCTCCGAACTTCAGTACATCGTTGAAATAAGCGGACAACAGTTGCTCGTTATCCCCAACACAGACGATATCATACCTATTTCTAAGCGTCTGCAGCATTTGAGAGACGAAGCTCACGCATGGTTCAAGGTTGACACCCACTGGTTCCTTAAAATTGTCCCCGTAACAAGGGCACCGCTATCGCGAGAAATCATTGTTGCTGGTGGGCATTTCTGCTCGTGGGACCCAATAGGTGATACGGCCATGATCTTTCCAGTACTTCCAAAGCCCTCACAACAGTCAATCCGGCGAGACTGGCTCCCAGGAACGTTGTGTTCGGTTCCACACTCATACGTCCTTGATGTATTTATGGACCCAGCACAAAACTTAATCGCTGTCGCCTATATCGTTGATAACACGACAGTCTATATTAACCTTAGGGCCCTGGATGGTGATGGTGTTCACCCTGAGGCTGCTGGAGAGAGACTGTTCCTGTTGGATGATTGGAAAATCCGTTTCCAACCGAGAAGGACAAAGCTCAAAGGTTTGGGAGGCATATCGCATTGTCGTGTCGCTTGCCCAATGAAAATTGGAATCGGTTGAACGAGGTCATGTGGCAGCTGCAGATTTGGGACTGGAAATACTCGACAATATCTAGTGTGAGCTTTGTTTTCCAAATAGTTGAAAGATTTGACGGTTGATTATGAATTTAGAGCATCCTCGCAGCACTCAACGGATCCGCCCTTCTAGTTGATTTTTGTTTCCTTGGGAATAATCGATTGCTGGTTATAACCGATAACTTGAATCTCTATTCAATTGAGAACATATCCCAACCGCCGGAATTGCTGGCGTGTTTCCTTATGCCCATCTCATGGGATTTACAGTACCTCTCTCCGATAAATGATATCGGGTATGGCTCACAGCCACACATGCAAGCCCAAGCGACGATGTGCACCTCAGACCCCACACATCGACTCATATGCCTTACTGCGTTTACTCGAGTTGGTACTCAAGTTTTCATCATTTCCACGAGGATTTTCTTCGATCTCAACGGAGTGGCAGCAGCAACGCCAACACCATGGCAACATTGGGGCCCCTCAAATACTCGTATCATTTGGCACCCATTTCATTTCAAAATTCACATCAACGGAAACCGAGTCTTGCACACACTCCCTCTCGGCGCGCGCAACTTACAGTTTATACTGAATCTATTGGACTTTAGCCCGCTAGCTGTGACAAACAGGCGGGGTCTAGGACGAGTGGTGAAAGAGCCGTCCACGACATACATCGGTGCCGATGGATTTGGAGAGAGCTTGACAACATCCCTGCCTTACGTCGAAGTCGTATTTTCGCACAGAACGTTCGATTGTGCTGGTTCACTGTTGAGGGACATGTGGATCGACAAAGATGGGATTTATATGCTCTCCGGATCAGGATCTACTGACAGACTTGAGGTCATCGACGTCCGGTCCGACCTACCGAGCGATGTGGTGTCAACTAGTTGATGATTAGCTAGGTACTTATGGAGATCACTGGTCGAGGATACCATCTTCATTCGTCCAAGGCCTAAAACATCAAGTCCTTCTTTGTTGTTATTTTTTTTTTTCGATTTGCACCAGTGCCATTATATCTGCAAAGAGCTGTAAGTGAACTCCGGAGATGCGGCAGGTGGGGTCAGAGGGACAACTTCCTACCTGACACACGAACCCTTTCAATGCCTTCCTTGAAAATCTTCCTTTTCCTTGTGGGATCGGTTCCAGTGCCCCTCCACCAACTCCGAGTTATTCGACTTAGCTGCTCGCTTGGACTACACCTGCTGTACTCAAACGAGGCTCGCAAATACATAGCTACTGACCTCCAGATACATCAACTAGTCGCGAGGCTCTTCGGACCAAACGGAAATTGCTGGCAGACGAAGGGAACGAGGTGAGCAGAGACGGCTGCTGGTTGATGAGATATTTGACACATGCACACAAGAGCACTAGCAAACGTACATAAACTCCTGGGATAACTCACTTGTAACGTCGCCTTCGTACCAGGTCTTCCTGTTTTTCTGCTATAGGGAATCCCTCCTGCCAGTGCGCTAGTTGATTTGCTCATCTGCACCATCCATTTTCTCAGCAACTTTCTCATGTCTAGCGTCGCGTACCGGATAAGGATGGAAGGACCGGGGTATCTTCATAGCGTACTTGTAAGTTGAAAGCTTCATCTGGGACTATTCTGTATACGATGATTTGCGGTCCAGCACGATGGATGTACAAAGATTCATTCAAGTGTTCGGCGGCATAATTTCGCACAGCACGCCACATCTGTATTTATCAGCGCTGCCATTCTCACCCATCAGCTCCACTATAGCTACCAAATTTACTGCAAGATTTCCGAATAACATTCGTCTGGCATCTGGCCGCGACCTGAACTGGACGGTTGTTCAGACTGCAATCAAGGAACATACTGGTGTCGTTTACTCAGTCGCGTTCTCACGCTCACGGGATGGAACTCGCATTCTGCGGCTGTGGGATGCAACGACGGGACAGTCATTGGGCGAGCCCTTGGAGGGGCACACTGGAGTAGTTTCCTCGGTCTCGTTGTCACCGGATGGCACTCGTATCGTGTCTGGTTCTTGGGATAAGACTGTGCGCCTATGCAGTGACAGGACAGCCATTGGGTAAGCCATTGGAGGGACACACTAAATATCGTTTGATCTACAAACGATCATGTGTTGAAGACTCGGCGCGCCTTTATTTCTCTGCACTTTATAGCATACAGCCCGAAGGGCTACTTCAAGGGTACGACACTGGAAAGCGCAGAAGTGTCGGGTGGATCGCTCTATCTCAAGGCCGCGAGATCGCCCAAGTATATCATAATGATGAGCAAGGGTATGAGACCGGATTTGACGGTCTTCTTTCTGTGGAACATAGCGCAAGCGCCGGACTCCATTGTACACTAGATCTAAGAATATAAATTTCAACATCAAGATTCTTAGAAGAACTTCTTAGGAACTCGGAGTAAGCATCACAGTGATTGATTGCTAAGATGTATGTAGTAGATAGCGGAGTTCCTTTCACCATACAAAAACATGAAGTACTTGACGCGCTGCAATCGATCTTGAATTGACAGAGCACTCTCGGACTCGGAATAGTATCAAATAAGTCAGGGTCACGTGCGCGTGTTGATGGCAACGCGTCCTTGAAATCGAAATTCTGAATTGTACGGTTTACAAATTACAACGGCCACATCAATCCATATCTGACACATCAGATTAATCGATGGTCCACTACATCTTGCGCTACATTGGTTGACCGCATATAAGGCAAGCAGGACTTTTTTGTGGCTCTTAGTTTTATTCCCCTCACCAGTTTTGCTTACAACGCTCAGTCAGCGTAATCGTTGAACTTCTAGTGTCATGTCCCCTGCCGGCGAGACTGAGTCTACCCCTCCACGCGCCAATGCATCAGCTCCAGGTGCTAGCAAAATAGAATCCACCCCAAACAGCCGTGGGGCCTCCGTCGTCAGCGAGAACATCGGCGTGCTCGGTGTCAAGTGCGTATATTTCCTGTCTTTATTGAGTAGAGCCTGACATTCAATCAAGGGTCGAGAAGGTCCGCCCATGGATTCAACGGGATATCGAGCAGATCAAGGAGTGCAAGGCAGATGCTATGCTGCAAGCCCTCCTTCAGCGCGCTTCTTCTGCTCCCGAGACTAAACAGCCCGAGCTTCTGCAAAAGTGTCTCAAGGCCGTTTTGCCTGTTTGCAATGGACAGGCTTCTACTGCTCTCGAGTCTTCTGACATTCAGACAGCCCTCAGCGAATAGTGAGTGCTCGCTCTTAAGTTCGCCGATCAGACGTTCTGATGCTCAAAATAATTGCAAGCGTATGTCCAGGAGTGGAGAACAACTTCTACAGCCCTTTCATAAGAACCACTAACATCTCCCTCGCTTGTCTTGAAGAGATCAAGATTGACGGGATGCGTGCTCGTGTCCCTACCGTGGACATGATCATGCACCAGATGCACCAGACCAAGAAATCAATTCGGAAGCCCGACCTCGTGATTCTTCCTTTGAATAGTGCATGCGCTCCCTTCCAGGATGAGACGGGCGGCAAGAAGGGCAAACAGATTAGCAAACAGAAGGGCACACAGAAGGACGACGGGAAGGACGACGAGAAGGATGACGAGCAGCGCAAGAAGAAGCGCAAGGCTTATATGGACACGAATGCAACAGCTAAGCCGAAAAATCTCCCCTGGCAAGATGTTCTAGCTTGCATTGAGTTCAAGAGAAAGATACCAGGGAGGACGAAAGGGATCAATGCACCCCCCTCTTCGTATGCATTGACAGACTATGCCCCTACCAAACCAGAATATCTGCCGGTCGATCATATTAGGACTGCAGCTGCAGCCCCAGCCCCTTCACAGACCCCAGCAACACAAACTGCATCCGACACTGCATGTAAGTGATGATATTTGCGATTCTAGGATCAAACTAAATTGGCCAAGCCGCAGCTCAATCTTCTGGCCTTACTGCTGCCCAGCCTTCCCGGGGCGGGTCCAGCTCCAAACGCAAGGCCACAGACACTTTGGAATCTGCTGCGAAAAAATCCAAGGGGAACCACGACGACAAAGACGCGGATCTAGATGTGACCGTTCAGACAGGTCTGTACCCCGCTGAAATGTTCGCAGCGAATCTTGCAGTCAACTATCTGCTGAATATCATTGTCGTCGGTGAGTCCGTTCATCTGCTGAGATTGGCTGCACTCTTATTAAGGCTTTTTCAGATGATGTCGCATGGATCTGGTATGATGACCGACAAGGGATCATTCAATGCTCAGGTATCAACTTCATTCAAGATCTCCCGCGATTCATGGTGCTGTTGTATGCTTTACAACGCTTCGAGCTTCACGATTGGGGCCGAAACAAGGACTTCCTCCCGGTCGAAGTCGAGGAGAGACTATGTCACGAATTCAAAATCAAGGATGAAAAACTTGGAGAGGTGGATTTGCTGCTTCACACCAGTCACGACGAAAGAGTGGCGCACTACGGACTGCAAGGACGGGTGACCAATATGGTCCCTGTCACTAGCGAAGCGCTCACGAAGAAATACGGCAAGTTCGAGGATGGGATGGTGGCCAAGATCTTTTGGGGAGAGGCGAGTCGCACTAGCGAGCCGGAGATCCTGAAAAAGGTTGATGAGATCGCTAAGAGGCACGTAACTGTCCAAGGCCACGTTCCTGAGCTGCTTTGGCACCACACGTTCACGAATCCCACGTCCGCAATTCGAGAAGCGCTTGACGTTCCGGAACCCACTAAGGGCAGTCGCGTGCTCTACATTCTTGTGTTCCGCAAGCTCTTCCCCATCACTCAGCTTCACGGCAAAGAGCTTTTTGACGTTTGGCGTCAGTGTATTTCATGTACGTGTTTCATCGGGTTTACATGTCTCTTTGTTGACATAACATGCAGGCCACCTTACTCTGTGGAAGGAAGGGGTATACCATCGAGATGTCAGTCCTGGAAACCTGATGTAGTACTGGAAAGACGGCAAGCGGATAGGCGTTTTGAACGACTATGATTTATCCTCGTTGGCGGATGAACCAGGTCCTAGGGGCAACGAGCGCACGGGCACGGTGCCGTTCATGGCCCTCGATCTTCTCATCAAAGATGGTCAACAAGGCGAAGTCAAACACTTATATCGCCACGATCTAGAATCGTTTATGTGGGTTTTAGCCTGGATTTGCTTGCGTTATAGACAGGGAGTCCTTCTATCACGGAGATTGTGCCCTCTCGACGAGTGGGCGACTTTAGATGCTATTGCATGTGGCGAGAAGAAGTTAGTCTTCCTCAACAATCTGACCCCTTTTGCGCCCTCGGACATAGACAAACTCACATGGGGTGTCCTTGTGAACTGTATGTTGGTGCTTAAAAGGGATGCTGACAATCGATACTATCTTCGCTTTACATCGAGCTCAGGAGAAAGCCAGCAGCCCAATGCCGAGGACTCGGATCTCGATGCTTTTCTGTCCAAATTTACCAGTCTAGGTCATTGGGTTGAGCTCAGCAAACCTGAGTAATTTTTTATACCCTGCACACGGTGTTCTGCGCATTGATACTGGTAACTTTCAGCAGTTATAGATTCACAATAAGATAGGATGGGGGATGAGCTGGGAGAGCTCAGCTAGGAAATGGACAAGGTTATATTGACGAGGACACTCCAGCACAGATCTATTATATGCGGTAGCAAAAGAACTCATGCTGACGGGATCTGAAGAAACCGGGTTTCACTCACAATATGTACCACTGTAGGCGTGACGGACGTCCGAGTTCAACAACAAAATTTAGTAGACTTGAGAGATGGCGGCAGGTGGGCCTGAGCCGACGGTCCGAGCAGTCAGCCTCGTTCAACTTGAAACGGGACATTCATTACCACGCACACTCGGATGAACCTTGTTGTTCAGAGATCAGTACGAATAGCTTTTCACCTTCAAGTGTTACTAGTAGTATATCGAAATGAAGCCCCAAACAGGATTCCTGTCTCTTGCTGAAGAACTCCAGTCTTACATTCTGAGCTTCCTTCCTTACCGATATATTCTTCGGTGTACATTGGTGGGTTGCCATCATTTATGTTATTGTTATTTTAGAATCTACTAGATAGACTGCTGTTTTGACGATCGATCCTTTTGCAGGTATGCAGAACCCTTCGCCAGACATACTTGTCCTCCTCCGAACTTCAGTACATCGTTGAAATAGGTGGACAACGGTTGCTTGTTATCTCCAACACGGATAATAGCATACCTATTTCTCAGCGTCTGCAGCTTTTGAGAGACAAAGCTCACACATGGTTCATGGTTGACATCTACCCTTTCGAAATGGTCCCCGTAACAAGGGCACCGCTATCTCGAGACGACGTTGTTGCTGGTGGGCATTTCTACTCGTGGGACCTACTAGGGGGTACGGCCATGATCTTGCCAGTACTTCCAAAGCCCTCACAACAGTCAATCCGGAGAAACTGGCTCCCAGGAAAGTTGTGTCCAGCGGTTTCATGGCCCTCACTGCCAACTTGATGTGCTTATGGACCCAGCACAAAACCTAATCGCTGTCGCTTATGTCGTTGATCACAAGACAGTCTATATTAACCTTGGGGCCCTGGATGGTGATGGTATTCACCCTCAGGCTGCTGGAGAGAGACTGTTTCTGTCGGACTACTCGGAAAACCGCTTTGAAACGACAATGGCAAGGCTCAAATGTTTTGGGAGGCATATCGCTTTGTCGCGTTGCTCGGACAATGAAGATCGGACTTCGTTGGACCAGGTGTGGCAGCTGCAGATTTGGGACTGGAAATACTCGACAACATCCGGTGTGAGCTTTGGTTTGAAATAGTTGAAAGACTTGACGGTTGATTCTGAATTTAGAGCATCCTCAGGGGTGCAGTACCCAACGGATCCCCTGCCCCAGTTGAATTTTGTTTCCTCGGGAACAATCGATTGCTGGTTGTAACCGATAACTTGAATCTCTATTCAATTGAGGACATGTCTCAGACGCCGGAATTGCTGGCGTGTTTCCTGATGCCCGGCCCATTGCTGCTACGGTGCCTTCCTATGATAGATGATATTGGGTATGACTCACAGCTGCACATGCAAGCCCAAACGACGATGTACACCTCAGACCCTACACATCGACTCATATGCCTTACTGCGCCTTCTGCTCGAGATAATACTCAAGTCTTCATCATTTCGACGAGGATTTTCTTCGACCTCAACGAAATGGCAGCAGCAATGCCAATACCATGGCAACATTGGGGCCCCTCAAATACTCGTATCCTTTGGCACCCATTTCATTTCAAAATTCATGTTAACGGAAACCAAGTCTTGCGGACATTCCCTGTCGGCCCGCGCAACTCGCAGTTTACATTACAACTATTGGACTTTAGCCCGCTAGCTGTGATAAACAGGCGGGGTCTAGGACGAGTGGTGAAAGAGCCGTCCATGACATACATCAGTGTCGATGAATTTGGCACACAGTGGAGAGAGCTTGACAACATCCCTGCCTTACGTCCAAGTCGTATTTTCGAACAGAAAGTTCGATTGTTCACCGTTGAGGGACTTGTGGATCGACAAGGATAGGATTTATATGCTCTCCAGATCACTGACCTTTATTGACAGACTCGGGGTCATTGACATCCAGTCTGACTTACAGAGCGGTGTGGTATCAACTAGTTGATGATTAGCTAGGTAATTATGGAGATCATTGGTCGAGGATACCATCTTCATTCGACCAAGGCCTAACAATCTGACTATGGTAGACTATGTTTCAAGCATGTATTGCTATACAGTATAACTCTCGAGGACAGTCCCGCATACGTCCAGACTACCACTTATAATTGATGTTTCCCTGTCGATGCCAAATTCATTCGCCATCTGGTCGTGGAACTATTTCCTTGGTCCGACTTTTCACTCAAGCGAATACAGACAGGTCGTCGTGCAATAGCAGAATGCTCTGCTTACAATATTCATCAGAACTCAGTGAATCACCTGTACGTACTAATTGTCGAGACCTCCGCTGATTTGACTAGTAGCATATATTGGGCAGAATGTTCTTCCGACAGAGATTACCAGTCCAAAATGCCCCAGAACCGCGACTTCGCGGGAGTATGTTTTCAGGTCACAGTGCATACTTCGTACACTCTCCAGTATCAATGTCAGACAGCAATCAACTGAGATCAGAGACATCTAGAATTTATTTTCCCTCGAAAGAACTGGGTGAATTGCGTTAGTCAGATATGATGCTCTTCCGCACACCATGTAGGACACTTTCAAGTGATGATGTGGAGCCGCTGCTGGCAGCTGGCAAAAGGTTCTATCTCATTACACGCAATGTGCAGTTTCAGACCCAAGCTCATGGCGATCGCATGGATCATTCAATTCTTCTAGTATTGGTAGGGCAGTAGTAATCAATACATCGCTGGGTTATGGGAACCCAAATTGTCCAGACCTCCTTCAAGTACTTGAGGACCATGATTACCCAAGTCGCTGAGGGCCTTTCTGGGTCCAAAGTTGCTGATGCCATATATGAAATTGGAGGTTGGGATAGCGATTTTGAGCCTGCAGGGTTTGTGGGTCAGCTGGCTGAACCACGCAGCTGTATTATCAACGGATGCAATAAACTGAAAAGTGCAACAAAGCCAACGTCGCAGGTATGGGTATGTGTCCTTCTTTTCGTTTTCTCATCCCGTATCTTCATTTTGTCGCAGAACGCAATGTCATAGACACAATCAGGGCCTCCGCGACAGCAACGAGTACCTGATCGACCTGCAGGCCACGTAACACCAGTGGCAGTGGCATTACATTACTGATGTGTGAAAACCCTTGCTTGGGCCTGGTACTAGAAAATACTCAAGCCAAGCTGCCAAGGTTGAAGGCCACGATGCCTCTAAAATTGCATCCCCAAAACGACCTCTCGGCTCGTGCCAAACCATTGGTAACTGTATCAATGGAAATGATGTTCGGGCGGGAGAGATGGATAGCATTGCAAGACCATTCAATTATGATACAACGTTGTTGCATCATCAGGTAAGGAAATTAAGAGCTGTCAATGCAAGATGCATAGACTCTAGAAGATCTGAGCCTGATCATGGTGAGCACTGTTAATGAGGAGAACACAGAAGACTTGACAGGCGTGATATATGCACACGCTCTTGGAAAGTGATTGAGGTCATGCCAGGTTGCTGCAGTCGGAGTCAGCCATGAGTTCAGCATTGTATTCTCGAATGCCAAGGATCAGCCGTGGTCCTAGCACGAAAATCTGCTGTGACCTCCAAAATCTGAAACAAGCCATACAGAGCCTGATATTCTAGGAGATAATGGCTCTATAGAAATGATAGATCGTGGTCACATGTAGAGGTAAGTGAAAGATTGACATACCATTGATGAACTGGGAGAGAATGCCATAATGAGCTTGAAGCAAGAGGCAGTAACAAAGCTATCATGTCTGACCCTTCAGTGGAAAAAAGGACAATAATCACAATATGAACTTACCTCGCAAAGTAAACCACATGAGTTTTCATCAACACCAGTCAAACAGTCCCCGATAATCCCTCCTGCATGGTGTAATCGCAGTTCACGGAAGTGTTTTACCTGCAATCCAGACTGCAAGACATAGTGTGAGGACCTCCCAAACAATGAAGATTATACAAGTAACGGAATCAAGAACTAGGGTATCTCCTGTATAGCCAGTCGTGCACTGATAGGTGCCAGAGAGAATGATTTCCTCTGGTATCCATCAATGAGCCTTATGCACATTCGTTTCATCCATAATTAAGCATACCTCCTGAAGTATGCATCGTTAACATTAAGACTGTTGCTCCACCAAAAGTGCTGATTGCCAGGAGGGTGGCAATGAGAAATATCAGGATCTTTCTGTCTCGTTGATACATGGCATGCAGCCAAGTGATGATGATGACTTGCAGCATGTTTCAGTCATTCCAATATCACTGAGGTCTCGCAAGTGCAAAGCTTACCCCACAGCATCGCAAATACCACAAGACCCATCCAATATAATATAATGTACATCATCCAGCCTGACAAATCCGATCAGTGACCAGTCTCACGTAGCACACACCCCAAACAGACTCACATCTTTGGTAGTATAGCGTGGCAGCCATCAGTGGACTGAGAAGTCAGCAAAGAACCCCACCCACTGCTGCAGAACACCATGGTTAATTTGAGGGGAATGGTAGGCATTTATACAGAAGACTCACTGTATCTGTCAGCGAGATGGTCGGAAAACTGCCTGAATGCAGTTGGTCAGAAGCAGAGAAGACAGAGAATGTACTAAAGAAACATACTCAGGATATCCAGGCTGATTATGAGAGAGGGACGATTAGTACAACAACAATTGTTTAGCCTTCCGAACATACGCAGCAACTAGGATTCCAAGGTAGCGCACCTAGGATACTTTCAAGTCAGCACAAAATGGCAACTTCGACAAACAAGCTACATACACTGAGATACATCACTGTCATTAGGGACCAGGGTTGCCTCTGTAAATAAGTGCATTTTCATGTGTGTTCCTTCTGCCATGAGACTCTACTCACCCAGATGAATTCGACCTATAGAAGGATTCTTAGCGAGATGGCTGCTCCGGTCATGGCATCGACATACCTCTTGTCCGAATGTGAGTGCTGAAAACACTTGTAAGATATCAGTAATCCTTTAATATTATCGTGCTCACCCCAATCATATGACATTACAACAAAGGCAGCAACTGCAAACCCGTAGCCAAGTTCAGATTGAAACATCAGCTTCAACATCCGACTGCTCTCCACGAACCTCCAAAATAGCTGGCAAAACGATATGCATTGATGGATGGCCACCAAGTGGGATCGTTTGAGACTATCATCATATTGTCAGAGAATGGGTGTGGGTGAGAGGTGAACTTGGTAAATGTATAGCGGTGACATTCGCGCTATATGTACGCCGTGCTCACTATAGTTTGGTAACCGAAATATCAATAAGATCAAGGTAAATATTTGTGCACTCCACAGAATTAGATGATGTTGCACAATGTTGCGGTTCTTGTATTCCTTGTATAGAAAATTGATGAACTTGTTCCCTGGAAGCTCCGTCTGTGGCTAGGTTGGGCTGTGCCTAGAGTGTTACATTATAACTCTTCGCAAGCAGATGAGTATGAGATTTGGAGGTACAATAACTTGTTCTGAGGTGTTGAGGTGGACACGACGACGGTAGATAGATTCCATCTTTGTTCTGAGGTGTTGACTCGGAGGTGAACACGACTGATGGTAGATAGATTCCATCTTTGGCAGAAGCACTGGTGTTGGCACCAAATGTGAACACATTTTGTAACACGAATATCACTGATTTCTGGCCATGCTGTGGCAATGAATCAGTACTTGATTAATCTGATCAGTCACCTGCACCTCTTGTGAAGTATAGCGCTATCCACTTTTGGTCCTTTCCAATTCATTAGTGACGCGATCACGTGCAGGTGGTGCGTCCTGGCTTTGATTCTTGTCTTCTTCTAGAATCTACATACTCATTGACGACACCCAGGATAATCACTACAAATATTTATCAATTAAAACATGGCCGATGTTACAGACGACTGGATTGTCGCTGACAGGCAGGACGAAGATGCTTTACGACCTCTTGACCAAAGTGGCCTCTTGAGCGAAACCCCGTTTTCTATAGGCCCGGAAAAGATACTACAGCGTTAGGAATTCTTCAAGCTTTATGTTCTCAACCGCATGCTAACTGGGCATGGATTTGCAGCGTCAAAAATTCAGACTGCTTCATTTATTACCAGCCAAGCACAGACTCCCCAGCAGAGGATGTGAACCTCTCGACACAAGTAATGTGTCTCTGTTTACACCACCTCCAGGGTACCAAGACTCTGAACCACCAAGTTCTTCTCAGTTACTTCCTCATGGCATGGGAATGCCTGTACCGAAGTCTAAACCGCGCCCACGTCCTGTGCCGTGAAAGTCTCGAACTATGAGTACCATATATGACGACTTCATCAAAGATGATTAACTTCGTTCCTCTGGCTTATTCATCGGCTCTGCATCTGCAATCCTAGCCAGTACCTTGGCTGCAGACAGTATCCGCCTTACAATCACACCATCTGCGGTTTCAGATCTCATCGAGGAGGTCAATCCTGTGTTCAGCATTGCCGACCGAGCCAAGATGCGCACTCGAAAGACTCAGGTCAAGAAGCCGAATTACGAGCCTGTCAACCATGATGTGATAGAGTTGACATCCGACTCCAACCTCGACGAACTATCACTCAAGCCTCCACGGAAGCGGCAGAAATCCCAAGACAAGCCCGTCGAGCCCAAGCTGAGACCCAGGCCTAAACCGAAACCTAAAGCTAGGACATCACCTTCACCGAAGGTCCCTGAACACAGCATTGTCGATACTAAGCCGAGCAACATTGTGGTTCTCCTTGCACCGCAAGAGCCAGCGCTTCCGTCTCGACTATATTTTGCAACATCATGCCTCCTGTCTTCTATTCCTGTTTTACCCGATTTGTCTTCTCCGCCCTCTTCTCCACCCAAGATAACTCGTAAATGGAAGAAGGTTTCTCCGCTTCAGTCAGAGGTTTCATGGCGAAGAGATGGATGTAGACGTCCCCGATGCTTTGTCGTCCTCTATTAAAACACCTCCTCTGTTCTCTGCACAATTGTTGCCCGTCATCCCAGAAATCGACAATTTGCACACACTTGAAGATGAAAACGGGACGCAGACATCATCGTTGCTGCGAACAAGGGCAAGACAAGGGACACAAAGTTGTCTTCTTGGGCGAATGGGAAGAAAAAAGGCCGGAAGCAGGCTGACGTCGAACTCGACGATCTTGCACACAAATCCCCCATTGATGAACCAGCTGCAGGTAATAATGGTCTCGAAGACGATGATTTCATTGAGGAAGAGGAAACGAAAGTTAGATCGAAGAAGAAGGCACTATTGAAACCCACCTCCGCTGCAAAATCAAAATCGTAACCTAAGGCAAAAGGCAGAAGGAAAGCGGTGTAGAGACTCGTGCATCTCATAGTGTGATATGGCGCTTTACACTAGGGAGTATACAGCACCAACTCGCAGCATCACTCTGTGTACCATCCACAGTGATTCCTATATGACGCGCAGCTTTCCCGCGCAACGCGCGCCATGCGCGCACCATTCCCGCGCTTCACGATGTATACGCGCGCGCGCGTTCCCGCGCTTGCGCGCCCTATAGCGCCAGCCATCCAGATGCATCCATCCATTGTCCACCAAGCTCCCTAGTGCGTATATTTCCATTTCCTTTATTAGCATAGTTCCACCTTTATTTTTATCATAGTTTCTCACTCATATATATTTTTACATACCTACTCGGTAGCGCTTCGGCTCCGCATGAGCGCGCTTAGGCGCGCTATATAAGCGCCAGCAGTACATACTATTATTTACCTTACTTTTCACCCAACATTACCTAGTACTTACTACTTAGAAAGTCGCAGTAGAAATCTATTCATTAGCACAACACATCTCACATCCTTTATCTTGCTTATATCTTCACATAAGTTTAGTCTCTCTTATTTCCGCTTACACGCGCGCGCGTTCCCGCGCCTTCGTACCTTGCGCGCACCTGCGCTTTCTCGCGCTTCGCTGAAGTGCGTACCTCTAGATCTCCGCTGCACCTGCTTCCCCTTTAGGGTCGAATGCACTTGCCATCTCAAGTATCGCAGACTAGGCAACGCACGACCTACAACTTTTTAGATACAGTCAGGAGCATTTCTTTGTTCCTCTCAGTATTGTTGTTTCTACAGCGGTTCTCTCGGAAAGTGAAAATGAGGACAACGGTGACGACCCTTGTTCGAGGTCACCTAACCCAAGTAGGCATTTGCCCGAGGACGAAGACTCAAGACGACAATCCCAAGGGATCCGAAATCATTGTAACCCCTGAGATAACCAAGGTACTACACTTCTGTACTCTTTGATATCCTCGCTTACATTCTACCTAAAAGATTCCCCCGAAAACTATAGCTCCCCCACCAAAGCAGACTCTGTCTGTCACTTTCCAGTCACGTGCCTTCAGCATTAAACCTAGGTCGACCCCAATATCAGAGCTCATCCGGTGTGTCAACTCATAACCAACTTCACTGTTCTCAAATGGTCCTTCCTATTCGCCATTGGATTGCACCGCTCCACCCCAACCGATGGACTCCTCCTCCACCATTACTGAGACCTCCTCCACCGAAGAAGAGCAACAAGAACATAGAGATGGAAGAGCGTATCGAGGAAGATCTGTCAGAGACTATTGAGGGGTGGTCGTGTATGATTGACGAGGAGAGAAGGGACTTGCGGAGAGCACGAATTGATGCCGAGTTGTGTTATGAATGATTGCGAGTCGTGCCAGTGTATCCTTATTCCTTATCATGTAGTTTACATTTTTATTACTATGTAATGTGCAACTTCATGGAGAGCTTGTATATTAACCAACGGTCGGAGACTCATCATGATACTGCCATACACTAGTGCTTGTGTGATCATTCAAGTTTACCGGAATTTGCAATTGACCAGCATATTTGGGGCATTTTCGCATTCAACCAACCTGGGCCCTGCCAGTCCGAGCGCTCTGCGGAAACACAATTGGAACGCGTGACCCATGTCATATGTTTGTACCAACAACATGACCAAACATATCAGCAGCGTAATTTGGTTGTCTAAACCATTATGCAAAGGACTGTAGACTATATCGAAATGAAGCCCCAAACAAGGTTCCTGTCTGTTACTGAAGAACTTCTGTCTTACATTCTGAGTTTCCTTCCTCACCGAGATATTCTTCGGTGTACATCTGTGGGTCGCCATTCATGTTATTGTTATTCTTGAATAGACTGCTATTCTGACGGTCCTCTCGTAGGTATGTAAAACCCTTCGCCAAACGTACTTGTCCTCCTCCAGACTTCAGTACATCGTTGAAATGAGTGGGCAAAAGTTGCTTGCTGTCCCCAACACAGACAATAGCATACCTATTTCCAAGCATCTGCAATTTTTGAGAGACAAAGCTCACGCATGGTTCAAGGTTGACCTTCACTCCTTCAAAACGGTCCCCGTAACAATGTCACAGTATTTTCGCGAAAAACCTAACATTGTTGCTGGTGGGCATTTCTGCTGGTGGAGCAGACAAGAAGATACGGCTATGATCTTTCCGGTACTTCCAAAGCCCTCGCAACAGTCAATCCAGCGGAACTGGCTCCCAGGAAAGTTGTGTTCGGTTCCACACTCACGCAACCTTGATGTGTTTATGGACCCAGCACAAAACCTGATCGCTGTCGCTTATGTTGTTGATCACAAGGCCGTCTATATTAACCTTGGAGCCCTGGATAGTGATGGTGTTCACCCTGAGGCTGCTGGAGAGAGACTGTTTCTGTCAGACGACTCAGAGAACCGCTCTGAAACTAAAAGTGCAAAGCTCAAAGGTTTTGGGAGGCATATCGCTTTGTCGCATCGCCTGGACGATGTAAATTTGACTTCGTTGGACAAGGCGTGGCAGCTGCAGATTTGGGACTGGAAATACTCAACAACATCCAGTGTGAGCTTTGGTTTAAAATAGTTGAAAAACTTGACAGTTTATTCTGAATTTAGAGCATCCTCAGCGGTGCAGTACCCAACCGGTCCTACACCGCAATTGATTTTTGTTTCCTCGGGAACAATCGATTGCTAGTTACAACCGATAACTTGAATCTCTATTCAATTGAGGACATGTCCCAGCCGCCGGAATTGCTGGCGTGTTTCCTGATGCCCAAGCTAATGGAGTTACGGTGCCTCTCTCCGATAGATGATATTGGGCATAGTTCAGAGTCGCATATGCAAGCCCAATCGACGATGTACACCTCAGACCCTACACATCAACTCATATGTCTTACCGCGTTTCCTACTGTTGGCAGTCTCCTTTCTAGTACTCAAGTCTTCATCATTTCTACGAGGATTTTCTTCGACCTCGACGGAATGGCAGCAGCAACGCCAATACCATGGCAACATTGGGGCCCTTCAAATACTCGTGTTTTCCACTACTGGCATAGTTTCCAAATTCACATTAACGGGAATCGAGTCTTGCAGGCATTCCCTGTCGATACACGAGCAGAAAAGTGGCAGCCCGTATTACATTTGATGGACTTTAGCCCGCTAGCTGTGACAAACAGGCGGGGTCTAGGACGAGTGGTGAAAAAGCCATCCACGACATACATCAGTGACTCTAACGATGAATTTGGAGAGTACTTGACCACATCCCTACCTTACGTCGAGGTCGTATTTTCGGACAGAAAGTTCGATTCTGATGATTCAGAGTTGCAGGACATATGGATCGACAGGGATAGGATTTATACGCTCAATGCAGATACGGAACGCGTATGGTTCGGTGGCAGTCCGCTTTTCCAAGCAGGGTCTACTGGCAAACTGGAGGTCATTGACGTCTAGCCTTACTTACAGAGCGGTGTGGTATCAGCTAGTCGATGATTAGCTAGGTATTTATGGAGATCATTGGTTGAGGATACCATCTTCATTCGACCAAGGCCTAAAAATCTGACTATGGGAGACTACATGTGTTGCTATAGAGTATAACTCTCGAGGCCAATCCCCACATATTTACGTCCAGACTACCACTTGTAATCAATGTTTCCCTATCGATACCAAATTTAACCATCTGGTCGTAGCACTCTTTCCTCGGTTCGACTTTTCACACAAGTGAATATATACAGTCGTTATGCAAATGCAGAATGCTCTGCACACAATGTTTCTTAGGATTTCAGTTTGATTCGGTCACCAGGCGTTCACCCGTTGCGACCTACTCACCGGTACTACCAACTCCAGTGTACTGATTGTCGAGATCTGGATCCCCTGTTTTCGCAACGTACTTATAATGATATTGGGCTGGACGTTCTTCCGATGGGGCCCGTAGATTGACACACTTAACGTAAATTCGTAGCGGGGGATTTCCCTGATGCGCAGAATGATCACAGTACTAATAATTATGCGTCGTTTGACGCAGTTTGATATTTACAGCTTTCGCTGCACCTTGCGGCAGCCTTGCTGGGACCACGTGTTCGAATGTTCACGAGCCAGGCCGAGGATTCGTGCGTTCATCCTCTCGTCGACATTAGCTTGGGCTAGCAACGTGTGGTACGTGGTCTGTTCTTGGAGTTGTACGTACCGGAACCCGTCCAAATTCTTCATCAACATTGATCAAACATCGGCGTTCGTATTCATCATGGGGTTGCGCAACGGTTCCCTTGTCTGCGATTACTGCTCGAGCACAGTTTTTTCATTCGAGCCATTTCAGATTGCATGGGCTGCAAAGGACTCGTCAGATCCTAAAGCAGGCTTCTCATATATCACTCAAACTTGGCAGGAGATCGACGACGGAGAAAATAAAGGATGTAATTGGTGTGATGTTCTTTGGGGAGAGATTCCTTTTTGGTATCAGCACCGCAAGAAAGAGGAATCGCCTATGCCAGAGGAAACTTTCAAAATAACTGTACGGTTCGAAAAACGAAATTCAGAAGATGAGATTGTCCTGAAAGTCACGATTGAAGACGACTGGACGCCCAGGTATCAAGTGCGGTGCGACCCAGGTACATAGTCTCTTGTTGTTTTCGTGCGATATGACAAACTTCTGTTTTTGCTAGATGAAAATGCGGCTGCCTTTGTCCCTGGCAGAAAGCTGGTGTGGCAGGTTGGATCTCCTCGAGCCTTCAAGCTGGCCTCAGACTGCCTCACACAATGCACTCTTCGTCATAATTGTCCAAAACCTCAGGAAACAAGCCTCCCAACCCGTGTAATAGACTGTTCGGATCCAGAACGGCCAAAACTTGTTCTCACCAAAGGCATGCAAGGCTTTTATGCAGCGCTTAGTTACGTCTGGGGTGAACCACAACCGCACAGCGTCTGTACCACAAAACTCTCTACATACCTAGAATCAATCGACATACTCCTCCTTCCGAAAACCATCAGAGATGCCATCTTTTGCACCCACAATCTCAACCTCCGTTATCTTTGGGCCGATACCTTGTGCATTTTGCAAGATTCGGACGAAGACAAGCAGCGCGAGATTCCACAGATGTGCGATATATACCGATGTGCATACGTAACAATCATCGCAGCCAGCTCGTGGAAAGTCAGCGAAGGATTTCTCCATAACCGCAAAAAACCAGTTGAAACGCTACTGCCATTCATGTGCCCGGATGGAAAGCTCGGTACCATCTCGGTTGATGAAGACGATCGTCCGATGCCATCCAAAGAACCAGTGAATCGCCGAGCTTGGTGTTTCCAAGAGCGCCTCCTCTCCCCTAGGACCTTAGTGTACGCTTCGCACACTCTCCAGTATCAGTGTCAGACAGCAATGAGCGAAATCGGAGACATCTGGAATTATCTTCCCTCGACGAAACAGGGTGAAATGCGTTTGCCAGATATGATGGCTTCGCACACATCGAGTAGGACGCTTTCGAGCAATGACGTAGAGGTGGTGCTGACAGCCTGGCGGAGTGTTCTACGGGACTACACACAACGCGCCGTTTCGGATCCCTCTGACAGGCTTGTGGCGATCTCAGGGATCGCTCAGCTTTTCCAGCGTTGGTGGGGGAATAGCAATCGTTACATCGCTGGACTATGGGAACGCGATTTGTCCACCGACCTCCTGTGGTATAGAGATAGCCCATCCTACGGAAGTCTCGTTACAGGGCAAATTCTTGCACCCTCGTGGTCTTGGGCTGCCACGATTGGATGCATCGCTGCCGGGTGGGACAAAAGAGCCGGAAACATCATATGGGAAGTGCAATCATGCAACGCGATCCCAGTCTCCGACAATCATCCTCTTGGTCAGGTAAAAGGCGGGAGATTAATTGTTAGAGCGATCATGAGAGATGTGACCTGGGATCCTGCAGAGCCCGAGCTATTCGAGCTGAAACGACCTTGTGTGTCGGTAACGAAGACAGGTGATGAGCCTGAAGACCGCGATGAAGCTTGTAGCATCCGAAGCTTCCCAGCTTCAGGAGCAGCTGATATCACTGTTGATACGGGGCTAGCGGTCAAGAACTCAGATCAAATCAAAATCACCATCCTTCCCGAGCCGAATGGCATGCCCACTTCTGCTTCTCCGGTGGAATATGCCAATACTCGAATGTGCATTGGCAAACTCAGGAAAAAGGCATTGAAGGCAGTAAATATAGGTCGTCCCTTCATAACAAACCTGTTCTTGAAATTGGTGCCGTGTCTTGTGCGCCGGAAAAACGCGCATACGACAGGAACCACACCCCGAGGACAACCTTCCACCTCCCATCAGATCACTAGCAATGACACTAATGAAAATGACATTCAGGTGGAAGCGATGACACCGCAGGACCATTCAACTAACACGGACATGGTTGTGGCGTCGACAGAAGTTGTCGAAATAGGATGCATACATTCCGGAGGAGAGCCTGATCACATGGGCTCAAACAACCATGCAAAAACGCGCCAATCCAATGAAGTTACCGTGCCTTCAAAGGAGCGGGAACGACACATTGGTTACGGGTATTTTGACTACGATACTGGAGAAATTGGAGCTGACAAGGGAAAAGCTGTCGTGGTTGGTTCAAATAAAGGGGATAACCCTAGCCACTTAACGGGCTTGATTGTCGTTCCTGCAGGAAGCACAGGAGAGTACCGCCGCGTGGGCCTATTCCATGTTCATGGGAAGTCTTACGAAGACGAAGATGAAGAAGCCCCTCATTGTGATATACAATCATGGTTGAATACACCTAATACTGAAGTCATTACGATAATTTGAACTAAACATGTTCGTCACTTAGCATTATATCAATACTTGGCGTAGTGGCCAGTATCTATGCGTTATTAATTGATCGTTTACCTAGTCACTGAAAATGGGGGAAGAACTGAGCAATATTCATGTGTAAGGAGTAAAAAAAGGTTGTGAATTGTGTCATCAATTTTAAGTTCTGCGTCAACCGGGACTGGGATATTGATGGTCGAACCCGGTGCTAGGCCATGGGAAGTACACAGACCTATCATTGGGTTGTTTTGCTCAGGAAATCTTGATCGCACGCGGAATTGTGCTACTTGTGTCCACTGGTGAAATATGCAACGAAGGAAGACCGAGAAACGAAGGACAGGCCCCTGCTGGGAAATGGACAAGATCACATTGACGGCGACGCTCTAATTGCGCTACAGCACATAACCCTATACGGTAGCCAGTTGGAGAACTTCCAGAGAACGGTGTTGAACAAAAAGAGCAACGAGCGTTGAAGCCTTGAGGCCTAGCTTATCGTGGGTCCCAACGTGTCTTGAAAGTTCACGAAGCACGAAATCAATCGAGGGATCCGTAAAAGCCCACGTGTGAAAATAATTGCATAACAAACCTGGCAAAATTTTCATGTTGTGTGGAGGGAAAAAAGGTACGAATCAAGATATTTGTACGATTCGTGATCATGCGTCAGCCGGGAGTCGAACCCGGTGCTAGGCCATGGGAAGACCCAATGTTACCGATACACCACTAACGCTTGTCGATCGTGGTGATACAGTACATATAACCTTTGGGCGAGTGATTTTGACTTTGAACCATCTCGTCGTTCAGCTCCTGGGCCTACTAGAAAGTGGATGTTATGTGTTATATTCCGGTAAGATTAGATGATATCCAAAAAGGTGTGTTTGTATCAGATAAGGAGCGGTATGGGTGGAGAAAGGTCATGAATAAATTCGACAGCGCCAGATTTGTTGCTCAGCCCAACATGTCCTTTCTCAGATACAGTGTCGGAGCCCGTCATTGATTGCGTATCTACAGATGAATCGTCGGTGTCGTCATCTTCAGTAGAGTCGCTCGGCTCATCAACATCAGTGTCTCGCAGAGGGCTGCTGATGCTCTCTCCAGCCTTTGGTTTCATGATCGGAATAACATACTCCTCATCTTCCTCCGCAATGCTGTCAGTTCGAGTCATGTGACTCGCAACATGTCTGATCTGACGTTCCGTATCTTGCTCAAAGCTGGAGTCGTCGCTGGGAGGTACGCAGACACCTAATCTCCGAGCCTGTTTCCGCTCGCGGATTCTGGCAAGACTTCGGCGTCGCTCCTCCATCCATTGTTCCTCATCCACCTCAAGGACAAGAGAGGCCCGGCCGGCGGGATCAGATGAGACGACAGATTTCGGCTTCTCACTACGGAGATAAACATGCACCCCTGCAGCTGTGAGCACCCGAACGATAGGCGCATGTGAGCTGCGACTTCGCATTCGGTGCGCATACGATGCTGTCATTCTACAACATGGATAAGTTCGCATCAGCAGAACATCTGGAACGTAGACTAACCCTGGCCCGAGGACGAACTCGCCACCAAGCTGAGTAGGGTCTCCGGCTTTCTCCCAAACAGGCATGCCGACACGCAGAGCATTTGCGATCACCATGGCAATGCCTCCCGCGCGACTATGTCGGACGTAACTACTGCGCCGTTGCTCTGCTTTTGACTCGACCGCCTTCACAGTCATCCCAAGAATGCCATAGATACGAGAAGATGGATCGGTATACACTGCATAGGGCGTCCGGAAGATTTCTTGGGGAAAATGAGCATGGGTTGAACGAAACGAAGGGTGGCATGCTTACGTCGGTAAGACTTGATCATGTTGTACGAGCCATTGCTGATGATGACAAGGTTGATCCCTG